GTTGCATTCCCCCCCCCCCACCACCATAGCAGAAGTAACACGTTGGAGGCTTGCAATGAAGTAATGACGTTGATTTATGCGGCGAAGCATCACGGAGTCTCAAGGCACTTTTTTTTAAAGAGTGTCCTGTTTGGCCATTTTACACGTGGGAAAAAAAAATAAGGATACAATATAATAATAATATAATACATAGATACAATATACCTGGGGAAAACCCCACTCGGGCGGGGATAACGAAGGTTCGCCTCGTCGCCCAAACCGGTTTTGCACTTTCATCAGGTTACGTGATCTAACACATTCTTTCGGAGTGGGCAGGTAGGAACTTGGTTCAACCAATCCGGGAGCGTACATGTTTGGGAGGTGCGCACCTCTTGTTGACTTGCTGGCTCGCGGTCACGTGACGCACTTCAACCAATCCGAGAGCGTACGTGTTTGGGCGTGGCTATGCACGACAGACAGACAAATAATCCCTGGTGGGCAGTGTGGAACTGTTGTTCCTACCTGTATGAAACCGTGCCTCCAAATAGCTGCGTAACATGCGTGCAGCATATCGCTAATTTGAACTATAGCTCCAGGAGATCACATCATGCTATGGCGCTGGCAGGGAAAGGTGTTTGGTGCTGTAATGAGCAAAAGTAATGGTGCTGCCACATTGGATGTGGACAGTATTACACTAATTCGACAATATTGTCCCGTGTATGTTGAACTTCTTTCGCACCGTACGAAGCCAACCGTGCTAAACGGAGGTGCTGTTTAGGGTTAGGGCGACGGATTTCTCCCTTTTGTAAGTGTTCTTGTTTTTTTCCAATGTTACGACGAGACGAAGTGTGCATTTAAAACTCTGGCAGTACAATTTGTTTTTGCCAACACCCGTGGAACGTGATATTACAACTACAAAAACGATGCCTCATCCACACAATGGACTCTGCACATTCCCACAGGCTCTGCTATGGAGATGTCTGTTTGCATGACAATCAATACTGGCTGCACATATTTAATGAAAGAGATGGAATTTTTGGGCAAATTCGGTAAAAAAAACACTACGTCAATATTTAGTGCGGTTACTGGTGCCTGGGCTGAGACCATCATCTTGCTAGAATTGGAATGCCACTTTATTCACAGGTTAGCTGCCCAGATTCAAACCCAAAATAGCATCAGTACCAGATCATGGTTAACTCCTGAGCCACTTTGCCACCGAAGTACGACGACTAATTAATTAATTAATTACTTAATTTCGCCATTGATTTGCTCAAACCAATTCCAATAATGCCATAAAATAGCCAAATACAGAACTTCCCATACCAATTATACGAGAAAGCCCACTAAATCCAGGCCAGACACAATCAACAGCAGCTTATGCCAGCCAGGCGATTGTTTATTTGCGATTTCAATTACATGAGCAAGCCTCCATTCCACATGAGATAAAAGGTTCAGGATTGAATGCAGATGTCGAAGACTCAACTCCAGCCACTACAAACCCATGGCTCGGACAGTGTTTTGAAACATTTTCTAAAGCGGTGGCGTTGCAATTGTACAGCGTGTATCTTGAATGGAACAAGCCATACACACATTACCAGTTGTAACGCAACATCATGAAACACCGATGGGAAAATGCACATCGTGACATTAATACGCACGAGATTTCTAAATCGCATAACCCCCCCGCCCACCCAAACGTGCAGATCTGACAGACTGAAGAGACACGCATGCAATCCGGTTGTCCCTTAGGTGGCTCATTAGGCATACTGCAGCAACTGTTGAATCCAACGGAGATACGTTCCACCACCGCTTGTTAAGAGGCACCCAGGAACGTGTGATCTTGTTTGATCAACGTCAGAGAGATTCGTTTAATTTCGATTTAAAGCTTTCGTGACTTGCAGGGATTCATCTTAGTTCTTTCGGTAAAGTCACGTAGAAGGAAAAGAATAAAATAATAAAAAATAAAACATAATAAAATAATTCTCACGACGTTTCGGCCACAACGCAAGCAGCCGTCTTCAGGTGGAGAACAGGTCTGTCGAGAAGGCAGACTCTGCCTTCCAAGAAGAGGAGAGATGCGTTTGTTTTAATCCCAGCCAGGGTTACATCTGTGGCAATATCCCCCCGCGCCAACTCTCTTCCCCCAATATATATTTTAAAAAATCTGTGCTCCCCTCTCGACGTCTCCCTTACCCCCCCCACCACCACCAAACCATGAGCAATATTTCGGGCTTCTCTCCGCATAATGTATTGCTCGTGCTCTCTACCAGGCTCTTGTCGGAATAAAAAAATAAAATCTGTGCAAGTCCTCCAGGGTCCGTTGCATAACTATGTGTGGGAAGACAAGTGGCTTACGTATGGAGTAACAACTCGCTACGGTGCCGAGATGATATAACTACCTCGCCTTGTATGGAAGAGGTTGTGGGTTCAATACAGACCGTGACGCCTGCTGGATATTTGGAGTTTGCGTGTCTCTCTCTCCCCGTGGTCGCATGGGGTTTTCTCCAGGTCCTCTGGGTTTTTCCCCTTCACATTTAGAATGAACATGCGTTTGGAGTATTTGGCTGCAATACATTTCCACGTAAGCCACTTAGCTGAGCTGTCGTTTGTGGCCAGGTCGTTTCTGGCAAAGAGCTATATAGATCCGTGGGCATTGCCTGGTAAAAAAAAAAGTTTAGTTTAATAGAAATGCGGAATTTATGTAACTGGGACAGGATAATACAATGGAGGCGAGCACTGCCCAACATGCCATTTGAGCATAACGACACCAGACTTTAGTTTCTCAATATTAGGGGCCGTCCATAAATGACGTCACGCGATTTTGGACGATTTTGACCCCCCCCCCTCGTCACACGGCATCACAAAAAGTCCGACCCCCCCTAAAATATGACGTCACAAAGCTCTGCCCCCCCCCCCCCCCCAATATAAAACATGCTTGAAATCGCTTTAAACTATTGTCATTGTAGTGCGTATTTAATGCGCCGCTGCACTCTGATGTTGTAGGAGAAAACATTTATTTAAAGGTATATTTAATTAAGTAGAACGTGTCGTCTATAATTATTTAAAGTTGCGCATTTTGATGTGACGTCACATTTCTCACCCCTCCCCCCGTCACAAATGTCTGACTCCCCCCCCCTACTAGGTGCGTGACGTCATTTATGGACGGCCCCTTATTCCAAGTGCTATGGGAGTCAAAGCCACGAGACAAAATGTCAATCGGAACTCTGTTACCATGTTAATAGAACATCCGCCTGTGGAAGACGATACCAGGGAATTACTTCTGAAACCAATTCGTTTCCCCACTCCGCACGAGGGGATGCATTCACACAACCTTCTAAAGAAATGTTGCGCGACATTTCAACTCCATATTTTCCTGAGCTAATTCGGGGTGATTTTTCCAGTCATTCGTGACCAGACTAAGACCACTATCTCACCACTCAAGAACCATTTTCAATCATGGGTGTATGTTGAACGTCCTTCGCACCGTACGTAGCCAACTGGACAAACTCAACACAAAAAACAGTTCTAGAGAAATTAGTTTACATATATACGTGTAGTGTCCTTCTCGCTCGAGGCTTGTGTGTGCGTGCGGGTGCCGTGCGTCGCACACACACTCAGTAGGGAGACGAGGTAGTCGCAGGAGCAACCATCCTCCACTTTTATTGTCGAGTTCACGCTACCACTCGGGCCCCCTCTCTCCCTCACGACCACGCTGCCGCACGACCCGGCCCAGACACAACTCTGTCCGCGTTGCACCGACGGCGTCGACCGGGACAACCAAATACTGTCCAGCCACGCGATGATCAGGCGATGATGAAAACAGCGATGACGAGACGAGTCCACTCCCAGCAGCCCGGAGCTCTCGCTCTCCGCTGCTTTTATTCCCCTCGGCGCGGCTTGGCTCCGCCCAAGCCGGGTCTCCCTTCTCGAACCCACCAAAGTTCCAGGGGCTTCCCCACGAGGTCTACCGTGACCCTTGCCCAGTTCCTCCGCCCTGCCGGCACACACACCGTGTATATGCTCAACGGCGTGTGCGCCAAGTGCCCACCTGCAGTTGCAGCGGCGGAACAGTCAGCGCTATATCACTACACATGTGTAGCGACATAGAATCGGTCACGTAGCAGCATAGCGCTGGCTGCTGGCAGGGAAGGGGATCTGCAGCTTACAGCAGCCCTGACAGCAGGTCACGTGATAGACCAGAGGGATCTAGGGGAAAGGTCACGGAAGTAGTAGGTTCCAGAAGGGGGCGTAGCCGGGTGCGGCGCCAGGCCACGATGACCGTTAAAGAGGGGCCCCGGGAGGGGACCTCGGGGCTGTCTTTTGGAGCAGGATCCCCACCGTGCTGCTGGAGTCTTCGTCACCGTCTCCACCATCTCGGCGTCGCCAGTCAGGCAGTCTGCCCGCTGCCCTGACTGGGAACCGTAGTTACTAAGTGTTGTCAGGCAGTGTTAATAAACAGTGCCTCCTACTCTCCGAGTCGGTCACTACACATGCAAAGAAACCCAGGACATCAGTGTTGCTGGCTTGGTGATCTCCTCCAGGGTTGCGATTTCCGCATGGAAAATGCGGAAGGAGGGTTCAAATTTTCCCGCATTTTTGCTAAAGTCAACCGCAAACGGTGGAAAGACTACTCCTATGACCGCGCGCTTTTAACAACACGTTAATGCGTTCTATTGGAAAGGATACATGCAAGGCCCAGCATCACGTAGGGCTTTGAGTTACTGATTGGAATGAATATATGATTTCCGCATTTCCGCACAAGAACCACATACTTTATTCAAATGCGGAGCCGTGATTACGAGCACATGTACATGATGTATCCTTTCCAATAGAACGCATTAACGTGTTGTTAAAAGCGCGCGGTCATAGGAGTAGTCTTTCCACCGTTTGCGGTTGACTTTAGCAAAAATGCGGGAAAATTTGAACCCTCCTTCCGCATTTTCCATGCGGAAATCGCAACCCTGATCTCCTCCAAGCCAAATTGTGACCAACGATGAAAACAAAACACTAGCATAGAATCGGGACGAAATGCTTCATTTGCAAACAGGTCTTCAAATTTATTAGTATACAAAACATGAGGCGAGTGAATAAACATAACATTCAACCGTTGTGCCAACAGCCTAGGGGCGCTAACATGGCCGAGCGTTGGCACGTTTGCAACTTTCTGCAGGTTTATCGTTCGAATCCAGCGGCTGCCCTGGTTATTACTGCGGGTTTAACCATATTTCGCAGCCTGCTTCGCAAGTGGACGTTTGGAGATCTGGTGAGATCAATGAAAAGTAGGCCACTGCTTGTGCTCACATGTTACAAATTTCTTGCGAAATTTGAAAATTACATTTAAATATTATAGGTTTCTTGGGTATAGATCACATAAATATTTACCTATGTTAATATTTACGCAATCCAACCCAAAACACCTATATTATGGACATTGGTTACGAAAGCCTTCGTGTAATACATGAAAATTATTCAGTTGCATTCAGATAAATCATTGCCCCTACTTCAAAAAAAACCTGGCGAGACCCTCTGATAAAACCATTGAGACCAAGGCTTTCCTGGGTAAAACAAGTGTAATAAATTATTGGCGATGACAATGAAGTCTACTTGGCTACATCAGGCAAAGTCAATATGAACTGAACATACCAAAGCCTACTTTCGCTGCAGCACTTTTATATTTTTGGAACGTTGAACCAATAGTTTGCACAATATTATGCACCAAAAGCCCCTCCATGCTAGCGACTATAATGTCAATCACATCAGTCCAAGGGTACTGCTGCTTTCGACATGTAAACTAACCGCATTAAACAATGAAACATAGTTTACGTTTCTCAACAGTCATGCGTTGTCCTCAAAAACATGAAGTCAACGTTAAAAGCATGTTATATGCTTTTGACATGTACAACAGCATCAACAATTGCTATAAAAATAATCTGCAACACACGTACGTTTATTTAATAGTAAAATGAAAGTTCTGAAACATACGTCTTCATGAACTGCTAGTCAACTTAGAACACATGTTACATGCCAATCAAAACAATTTCACAACTCCCAATATACACGATACAAACCAACAGGTTACTTTGTCCCACTTTTATTACATATGCATTGTTCACAGTTCTGAACATCAACATTTATTTGTGCCAATGCTTACTCTTTTCTTTACCTGCAAAGTGTTTTTTTCTGTAGTTGGACAAAAATAAATGACAAAAAGTCCCAAAGACAATAGTATTAAGTTATTACCCCCTTGAGCACCAAGAAACAATTACAATATTGCCTTAAAATTCTAATGCTTCAATCACCTGCGACTAAGAAGAAGATGTACAACCATGGGGAGGAGGGGAGGACAAAAAAGAAAAGGATTGAGTTTTCAACAAAAAAAAAAACAGCAGCTCGAGGCAAATGCTGATGATCTGGTGTGATGTGTGTGTACAGTATGTCCAAATGTAAAAGATTCCATTAAAAATATAAAAACAATCAAAAATATTTCAAGATACCTGCTGTAAAATTCTCTAAATAAATTTGCATTCTCCTTGTCAAGAGTTATAGAAAACTGTGTAAAATGTTCAATTAGAAGACCTTTTTTTTTTAAAGAGTTTTATATTTTTTTTAGAAAACCTGCACGTCTGAAAAAATGTACTATATATAAACGTTTACCTCAAAGAGGAAAAAAAAAAGTTTCTACAGACATTTCTATTTTACAACAAAACAGTCAAACAGGCATTACATTAGCCGTGTGAAATAGGTCCTCTCTTTCACTTTAGTTGATTCAGCTGCATTATAAAGGTGAGGAAAGAAACTAAGCCTCTCTCTCACTGTGGTGCACCGATATGGCAGAGCCAACATTTAAACAAGTCCAAATCATATGAGCAAGTCTGCGCAAGATCCAACACCGGCGCGGATCAACAATTCTACAAAGCACCAAAGAGGCAAGTGATGTACCTGCACACGTGACCGGTTTGCGTCCTGTTTCAATCAGCCCACTTGTATGTAGTCAACAGTGCAGTGAAGATAAAATATTCCGATAAATACACTTCATAGAGGGCTCACGAACAAAAAAGGGTTCTCCCTCCTTGGGCTCTTGACATTCGACATTAGGATGAACTACCAATTAGGATACACTACCAATTAGGATAAGCTACCTTTACAGTCATTACTAAGGAGACCAGTACATCTTATTGTTTTTTTGAAGATTACAAACACAGTAATGCTTTGGGCTTTTAGATATCTCAACCACTCAGAGACTAATGCGTATCGTTATCTATTTACTAGAGCCTTTCACAAGCACAACTGGGTTGCCCGTTTTTAGGGATGAAGGTACGTTTTTAAAAAAAATCAAACATTTAAATAGAAGACACATAACAAGATCACCGTTACCTCTACCACAAGGAAGCCGCCTCCATTAACGTTTTCACACCAACATGTCTTTGCAAATCTACACTGCAGTTATTGTCACGATAATTTTGGGTCAATTTTTTTTTCCTTTAGTCTCCCTGAAAATCAAACCGCAAAGCAAACTGTCAAAGCAAGACTGAGGGGCTTCTTATCTTGTGGAAATGTGACGCATCCTCTAGGTTCAGTAGTTTGGGTAAGTCCACCCCCCTCCCCTTCCATAAAGCCAGGCGAAATCGTGCTTCCATATTTTACCGCCACGCTCAGGTCAATTCCAAGGCAACAGCATTTTACATGTACTCGTATTGGTATCCATATTTATGTATTTAAAAAAAAGGTAGGTATTTAATTGCACAACTCTGTAATAATTATATGGGTGGAATGTCACCTTGATTTATAGAATGAGAAAAATAAACGTTGGCCTGTTTGACTACAAAACCAGCACAAGGTTAATATTTAAACCTCTTAAACCATGCTCAGCGGAGGAGAGCTGCAATAACTTCACCCACGTTGGGGTTAAAGTACTAGGATAGAAGGGGTGGAGAACTGGAGATTGATAACAATGCTTAAGGAAGAAGCTTCAACTGAGCTTCCAAGTGTCACCTTATGGATCATGATAATGCACAATGTATGGAAAAATTCGGATTAAAAAGGAATACAGCAAAACATTGTATGTAAAATGACCATGACAACTTCAATTTCTGCAAACATGCACGCGTGCGCATATGCGCACACATGCACTACACACACACACACATGCATTATATACATGACGCAAACCTATACATCTATATTGTATGACGTTTTAAATCGTATGCTACAGCTAATGTACATATTAGAAAGAAAAGAAAAAACCTACTGGAGAAGCACGACACAAAATCTTCACACCTCAGCTTGAGGTTGCACATTGCTTTCTGCCACATTTTTCAAGCCCACTACGACGACGCCCTCCGCCGCATCACCGCCGCAGGCTCGCTCCAGTTTGTTACCCATTTCCCGAAACCTCACTCCGCCCGACCGCTCGTCCCCCTCCCTGGAACTGGGACTCTGCCCTTCGTGCTCGCTCGACGCGGCGGAAAACTCCGCGCCGGAGTCTACCCCTTCATCCTTCTCCACTTTCGTGCGTTTGTGACTGTCGGCTGGCCGGTCGTCTGCCGCCTTCCTTTCCCCTTTGAAAACGTCCTCCGACTCGGGTTTCCTCTTGCACGGCGCGTCATCTCTGTACTCCCCCCCGGTATTAAGTGCTTCATTCTCATGCTGAAATGTTACATAAAAAGTGGAAAATCATTATCAGAGAACAAGTGTTTCCCCCTTTAAGCATCATATTTTGAGTTTTTACATGCTAGGAATTATTTGTAAGGTCTTAGTGCGGCCGGGAATGACCGGATGCAAATGCTGATCATTTCCGTCATGGTTGGGAGGACACAATAAGTGTCACACGTAGCTTGAACATAAATAAAAATAGGTAGACAAGTTAATTTATACCATTGGAACCTCATTTGCCAGTAAAAATATGATAATTGGTTTTTTACCCTTCTATCTGGCAACAAAACTGACACCTTTTATACAAGGAGTCATGTTTACATAGACCACAATACCTGCAGTCATAATGCAAACAAAAAATATAACTCTGATAATGTGCACTGTCACATGACGCCTTTTGGCGTCATCTGGTCCAACCAATGTGAGACTAGGCTCTAAGGAAAGCTGTCTCGGGTGTGGACCAATCAAGGACAGTGCACATTATGACTGCAGGTATTGTGGTCTATGTAAACATGACTCCTTGTAAAAGAGGTGTCAGTTTTGTTGCCAGATAGAAGGGTAAAAAAAACTATTATCAAGTTAATTTATGTAGGAAATACAAGTACAAAGCAAGAGGTTTTTTCAGAAATGTCAGATGCTAGTACCTAATCCACTGCCCTCTGCTGGCAAAATATGAAAAGTAAACACATGTAAACCAATTTCAATCTTAGAATCGCATTTCACAGAAAATGTCGAATTAATCTGGAAAACTTCGCAGTGTTGGCTAAGCAACCAAAATAATATCAACAACGTTCAGTGACAATATCAATGCCTTTACATGCCAAAAACACTTTCAATAAGAATTTCCCAATGATTTGCAAGGGCACTAAAAAAGAAAAATTATAGTAACACAATGGCTAAACATTTACTCATTTAAAATGTCATTCACTATTGGTTATGGGAATGTAATACATTTTGAAACATTGCAAAAAATATACATTGATTATGTATGGGATATGACCTTTAGTGCAATTGTTACGATGGCAAAAACCTTTTAAAGAAAATTCTGCGTGAATATAATATTTTGCTGCATGAAGTACAAATATTCCCAAATACAATTTTTTTTAATTATCACAAAATTGGTTAAAATGCAGTAAAAAAACGAATTACGTGTTTCACATTCGAAGAAACGAGCACCCGATAAAAATGCAAAGTAATAATTACACAGACCTCTGCGCCCTGGTCAGCGGAAGACGAGGGTGATGACAGTAACCTCCAAAGAAGCCGCGTCTCTTGCAGAGACACTTCTATCAGGTCTCCCTCCACGAGCAGGTCCTCAAGTTGTGCCAGAATAGTGGGAGGGAGCAACAGCGAAGGAAACATCTGCTGCGACCTGGAACCTGTCACAAAAATATCAGTAAAAAACGTCAGTGCAAGGCAAAATGTCTCTTTTTTTAAACATCTATATAAACCTTTTAAATAACACCCTCGCGTTTGAAACAAGTGCCAATGACTTCTATGATTACAGTGTAGTAGTGTAATGGGCTTTAGCCTTGCTTAATCCCCCTCCAAGAAGATTAGTCACATGATAGTGTCAAAAATCTCACTTTGGCTGCTGCGCACTGAAGACTGAGCGAGCTCAGTGCGGGAGGTAGAAGTCAAAGGCTGAAGGTCATAGGTTGGATCATCATTCCCTCCGTGTTCAGAAGAAACGTTTGCGAGAGTTCCACACGATCCATTGCTTGGGCTTTCCTTCTGTACAAAATAAATTAGAATGCACGTAAATATAAAAAAAATACACAAGCAGCAAACATCACGAGCTAATGACAAGTCAAATTTATAATTTCACAAGCACAGATTAAATTTATTGCCCTTGGGATAGTCGCATGCCGAAACCTGTTTTGATTGCACATCACAGAAATTATCAGATACTGCTAGCTTGCCGTCATAGACTATAGCCAAAACAGGTCAATGAGCATTGTGCTATATTTTGATCCACTACGAAGAGCAGTCCACTTAGTCTCTTATCTTCTCTTTCATGTAATGACCACTACAAAAAATAAAGTTTAGAAAAACGCATCTATAAATTCAAAACAATTCTCATACGAAACACCCTTTTACAGTCATAAGAGCAAGAAGTCGCGTTTTTTTGTCAATAGTATCTTTTATCAACAGTGGCAGACGTTTTGGCCAATCAATCTAGGTTGTTGCTACGAAAAAAGGCCACTGGCACCTTTGTGGCTCACCCCCCCACCCCCCCCCCAAAGTTTGGGAACAAGAGCCCCCCCCCCCTGTGTATAAAACAAGAGCCATCCAAACACTCGCCTGCCCGATGGTGGTTCTGGACTTGGTGTTGCGTGCCACTTTATGGGAAGGGGGCTGGGACTTGAGTTTTTCAAGGGCCCGTACAACCTCCCCCTGGGACAGGGCTTGATGCACCCGGTCCTGCCAGCCCATCGCACGCTCTGCCAGGCACTGCAGGGCCTCTCCTTCTGGCAGCCTGACGGGCAGGCCCTGGCAAAGGGATATGGACACAACTTTCTTTAAAAAGAGAAAGGGGGCACAACAACACTTTCAAGCAGGACTTGGTCTAGATACAAAACGGCACTTGTCATGAACCAACCAACAATTGTCTGACATTCAAACACTGGCAAAATATCTATTTTTGTTAAAAAAGTGCCACCTTACCACCCAAGGCTACTTTTTCACACAAAAAATTTAGACAAAAGACCTTTTCTGAATATGTAAATGAGATCCAGTAATTTTCATAATTAATTTAAGTAGCAAACTATTTATTTTTATTTTGGCTGTGTTCACTCATGAATACATAGTACATTAAACCATCGTTGAAATTATAACATAATACAAAATGTTCAAATTATTATTTCAATGCAGACTTTTACACACCTTTACATCTAGATATGTAAAGTAATGGTACACTAATATAACATTCCATTCATAACAACATTGAGAGTTTATTCACCCTACAAAAATAATGCATAAACAAATTACAAGGTCTAGCATATTAAAATGGTAAATAGATTGGTGAGTTAAATACATGTCGCAATAGAGATGTATAAAAAAAGTATATCTATCTATTGCACGAATTTAAAACACAGAGCTTTGCACCAAGCTAAACTGTTGTTGGGCAGCCTATTTTTTTCACAGCTAATACCAATAATTTAAACCATACAGCTTAAAGCGCAACAGATCAATGTGTACACTGCGTACCTGTAGACCAACCAGGAGGTTCAGTACAGTGGCCATTTGCGGCCGCTTGGATCGAACGCAGCGAGTGCACAGCGCCCTGGCACCGGCTCGGCGGTGAGTCGGTGCCACACAGCCGTGGTGGCAGGGTGCCCGACACTGGTGGCACTGTCTCACCAGCCCGGCATCACCATGGCCACACACGCCGCATGGCGTCGTGGAGCCCCCCTCTGGAGGAGGCCCACTAGCGCGACTGGCCTCGCGCATTCGCCGCATGGCCTCCACCTCCTCGCGCTCAGCGGACCTGTACGTGTCCACCTGTGTCAAAATATTCACGGACATTCATAATTGCTCAGGATTGTCGTCGCAGAGCGGACGTTGCGTAAGATGCAGAGGACACTCCACAGCAGAAATAAGAATTCATATTTTGTACACAACCGAGCAAGCAAAGCTAGTCCGCGGCAAGGTAAGAACAACGAGCCTACCTTTAGCCTATCTTTTAGCCTTACCCCATATAAATGACCCGATTACAGGGTAATTACCGGGGTTCTACACATGAAAAAGGTTTATAACAGGTAAATGCGAGGTAGAGTGCTTTATTCGTATAGAATACTCTCGAATCGGGCGTTGAGGCTGTCGACGACACCGTCCTCCATAACCTCATCCTAGTCATCTTGGTCGCTGACCATCTCAAACAACCTGATTTCGTCATTTGCTGCCGTCCTCGGACCAACGATGGGCAACAAGATCCAGATCGCTCCGGCCTGGTTTGACGGGACCTTCAGGCAGCCGGCTGCGATCCATGAGCGCAAGCACATGGACTTTATGAAGAGCGTCGACAACCGTGACTGGCGAACGCGCGTGAACTCACGCCCGGCTTCGCTATTCGCGCGTTCGCAGGGAGTTGACGTCGCCGGCGCTCCCAAGTAGTCGCAGGCCATCTTGTAGTGGCGGAGAGTACCTCTTTGCGGTCGATGGAGCTGCCGACATTGGTGAATAGGGTGCTGAACAGCGACCCCCTCCTTCATATGGGCAGCGACTGCCGTCGGTGGGAACGCGAGCACGTCCGAATAGCGATGCTGCAGGACAGAGCGGATCGTGGCCTTCAGTGTAGCCAGCTCGTCTTGGTCTGTCATTTTCGACAGCTGTGGGTTCAAGTAGGATACCACAATAGCGGGTTCCTGAACTAGGAAGTTGCGGTACCGCACCAGCTCGGCCTTCATCCCTGTCGCGGTCAAGGACTCATCGATCGCTCTAAGAGCAACTTCACCGCGATCGCAATAACGGATCAGGTGCTCCATCATCACCGGCACGAGATCCAATGTTGACTTGCGGTCCCGCCGACAACGAGGTCATGACCTGGCGCGGCATTGACAGGAATGCTGTCACGCCCTCGATGTTTGCCCACTGCAGTTCAGAAAAAGCACCGACGCCGATCGCATCCTGGAACACGCTTCTTGATGGAGTCGTCGCCCATGTCAAACGTCGAATGCCACCTGGTCGACGAATCCTGGTGCGTCGGCTCCTTGCGAGCGAGCTTGGCGATTTCGGCTTCGCGGCGGTACGACTGCCGGACGACCTTGCTGAGCCTGGTATTGACGAGTGCCTCGCGCAGTTCGGCGTTGGTCGACTTGATCAGTTTGAGAACTTAGACGCCGCTGATCTGGACCGAATGATTTGCGCAACGAACATGGTGGCAAGCCAGCAACTGCTCATATCCGGCGTCCACGTTGACCAGGACGAACGTCTTGACAGCAAGACCAAGGTCTTGAACTTGTCGCTGCCGGCGGCTCGCAAAGAGATTGCACCCCTTGGATAACAAAATCAACCACCAAGTTCTCAAACTTTACCAGGAGGCGATCCGGGATTGCTGGCCGGCTAAGCGTTTGCTGCATTAAACGGTTCTCCGACGCCGACGTCCCGACCTCGCTGCCTGGGGCGAGCACGTTGGGCTTCTTGAGGGTGGCTTTCCACCCCGACACGTTCGTGTGGGAGGAAACCCACTTGTGGCGGTGCACGCACTGGCGCTTTTCCTTGCTGCACACGGGGATCACCCTCCATCCAATCGTGCGTGTGCTCCCACGGGAATGCATGCCGGCTGCCTCTTTCGATTGGTGTTCTCAGCGACCCTGGAAATGCCGTTGCTGGCAACCTCGACCTCATCCTCTACCTCAAGAACGTGGTCTGTCTCCATCTGGTCCGACATCAATGATTCCAATTTCAAATGGAGGCCACGGACTGCGCCACGGAGCTATTAGTGAGCAGTAAACAGGGTATTTACCAGGTAATACTTCAAGCTACCTTTACCCTACCCTTTACCTTACCCCTTGGCATGGTCGACACCTTTACTCTTTACACTTTTACCTGGTAAAAATGGTAAATTACCTTACCTTGCCGAGGCCTAAACAAAGCCATTAAGGTTTTTGGGCGAGAACGCGAAAGTATAAATGTGTCATACCCCTCCCCACCACTGCCAGTAGGGTTTTTCACGTAAACAACGCGCAAATTAGTTACTACTTTAGCCCACCGGTGTGTTGGAGAGTAAATCCACAACATTTATAATTTTAATATGATGTTTCGCTGGTAATGACATCCAGCATCATCGGGCGATTTACCAGAATAGTCAATTGATATCACGGAGGAGCTTGACTTTGTAAATATTAAAACTTTAATCTCTACTGAATGTCGATAAAACTTATTCCAAAGAGATGTATCGTTCTTTTGAATTTCAAAAAGGCACTGCGAACTTATATTTCTCAATATAAATACGGAATCATTATACTTTTAAGCAAACATTCGAATTAACACGGTAGTTTTAAAAGACAATCCGGTATTTTTTTTGCTGCAGAGAAACAAATGTTGAAAAGGAAAGCTGCTCTTTTTTTAGACTTACAAAAGAAGGGTCAGTCCCTTGGGACGGAGTTCTTTTGTTGTCACTGCACTCGTTCCCTTTCTCCGCATCACCAGCACAAGTCTTTGGGTTCAGCACCTGCAAAGTTAAAAGACGCCTTCAACTTCACGCATTTTATTATCACTTTGCAAAATTGTTACGCCAAGTCTCAAAATTCCTATGTTATGTGCCAAGAGTAATGCTATATTTCGAAACATTCCTTCTACCAGGATATTCCTACGTAGGACACTATGGTACATGAGTTAATACCATTCCCTCTCAATGAGTTGCAATTGAACTCGCTGCTTGGACAATATGAATGGAACTGCTTTTGAACATCTCCTGCCTCATTTAAATTCGTATATTCCTGATATTTGGAATTATAGTAAAAACAATATCACGTTATTATTTTTTTCTTGCTTTACAATATCCATAACTGATGTGTTTTTCCCATTTTTATTATCTTTCAACTTGGTCTTGTTGTTTTTGATATTTTGTAACATGTGTTCTATATTATGTGTGACCATTGAAAAAGAGTATGTTAAGACTGAATGAGCCATCGCCCTGTTTTAATCAGCGTTTAATACATAGTTACTCAGTGAAACCATGGTATAAGATCAGCAGAAACTCACGTTACAGTGAATTATGCATTATTTTTAAGCGTTCTAAAAATAACCCTTCATGTCATGTACTCACCTCTAGGAGGGTACAGCAGGAGTTTCTCCTAAGAAAGGTCCTTGCAGCACGTCTCTGCCAAATGCTGGTAGCCTCCAGCCACCCCTCCAACTGGGACAATGCATCCAGCTGCACAGGAATGCAGCGGCCTTGCGATACCATCCTCTCCAGCACGCTGCAGTATGGATAGTGATCTCCTGCCTGAACATGCAAAAACGAACCACCCACGTAAGTAACGGAAACGGTCATTTTCGTGTCAACAACCTCAAGCCTCCAAATGAGGGCAGGTGCAATCTCCAATCATTAACGCGAACAGCTCTGGTGATGTATTTTAAGTACAATGTTTTTCACAGCCACATGCAACACACAAGAGTTCAGCTGTCACACTACCTGGATCTTTTCCAGGTCAGTAGTCCAATCGTCAGCTTGCTGTAAGGAGACCTTCAGTGCTCGCACAGTTGGCAGATGAACTGGTACCCCATGAGCCTCAGCAACAATGGACTCAAGGGTACTTCTCACCATCCTAGGCCTGTGGCACAATCCAAAATTACAATGTTACTGGAAATTCCTTTAAAAAAAACCACGTGTCCCTACGACATGAAATATAAGGACAATTCATGGCATTTGCTGAATTTGTCCAACGGCGTGTAGGGAGGCGTGGAAAAAATGTAAATACATTTAATAAAAATGCATCAAAATCTTTCTATAATGCTGCAGAACCAAATCCCAATCATAATCATAATAATTTACATTTATTTGTAAGACGCCTTCCACCAATGTTTCAAGGCGCCTGATTGCACTTGCCAACTTCGCAGGCCAAGTGCAATCAGCCGCTATTTTCTTTGCGTAGCAGGGTGAAGAACTGTGCCGAGAGAAATATTCCAATACGCACCCCCCCCCCCCTCACGCACCCGTGGCTCGATTGCATAAACACAAATAGCATCAATGTCCATACGTTACATCCCCTTCATTTAGGGGTCAATCTTTCCCAAACACTGTACAGAAATGGTAATTTTCATAGCGACAGATTTCAGAGTGTTGTATTGTTTCATAAAAACAAGTGAATTGACACTGGACAGGCAGCAAACATTATCTGGTCGCAACAATGAGTAGCCCTTCAGCTCTTCTAAAATGTACTTGAACTGCAATAACTATGAGAATATATATACACACACACGCATACAATAAGTAGCTGATATGAGATGTACGTACACGAAACATGCGACACTCACCTGGCCTGCAGGCAAGCACGGGCCCGATCCTCCCAACTCTCTGCCACGGTCAGAATTTCCTGCAGCTCAGCCACAGCTCGATCCATGACAGGTTCAGCTCCCAGTGGCATGGCACTGTCTATCAACCTGCGAAGCACCTCTATGTTCAGGCAGCTAATGCCTCCACCCATGGCTTCTTTCTCAGAAAGCCCCTAGCACAGCACAAGACAAAAGCAAATCAAACATAACATGTTGTGAATGCTCTCAAATTAAAGGACTGTTGAGCAAGTTAGGACAATGTATGCAAGCAAATGCTCTCACTCACATGTTTGTCTTCAGAATTATTCATTAGTATGGAAGCTGAGAGAAAAACGTTCTTGAATATTTGCACTTTGTCCCTTTTACTCTGATTTGTGTGCAAAGTTAAGTGAAACCCCTTTGATGCATTTTACAGCTTTTAAATATGGCAAGAATCAAATGCCAATAACAACTTTAGTTGATACTGGATCTTGTTTACGAGGGTTATAAGTGCGCCACCCCCGTTGCGGGTGGACAGAGCTACTGCATTGTAATTTTCAACCTGGAAAGCGTTAACAATGAACATCCAAGTAACCTTAACAATAAATGTGGATTTCTATTGCCACTCACCTGGTCTTGGCTGGACAGTGAAAAGGCCAGTGCAGTGTGGACCTCTTCAAGCCAGCGCTCCCTCTGCACCCTCTGTTCCAGCTGCTCTTTCTCGGGCAGATGAACAGGAGCCAAGTCTTCGGCCTGCTTGAGCAACTCTTGCATCCGCACTAAATCTGGTTTGTCCTCTGCCACCAGCAGCAGCTGCACAGCATCCCTGAAGCCTTCCACTCTCTCCAGCAGCTCCTGAAAAACAAAATGGCCAACCATAGGTTTTTGCTCATATTGAGTTCGGTGTTAATAAACAGCAATACAAATGTCATATTAACAGACTCGAATTAGAATATGTATTGATACTGGAGGAAGCCGATGGGGGTTAAAGCTCCTTTTTAACAGGTGTTCAGAAGGGGCAGGTCAGAACATTAGAATACAAAACATTACAATGCACAGTATAGAAAAGGTACAAAAATCACTTAAACAAAAAAAATGTCATCAATAACACAATGATGTAATCCATTCACGAAAACACTTTAAAAAATCCCAAAGTAATTTTACTCCCACAATGTGCACACAATAAAAAGATCCAATTCACAAAATGGGAGCAAACAAGGCAAATATATTTGGTCTCCGAAACATGACAGGTCACCATCGAAAACACAAGTTAATGGATTAACAAAAAGTGACTAAATGTGCATATAACTTGCATTCCATTTCTTTGCATGCATCTTGAGCACCATCTAGCGGACGGACTAAACATCACCACCCAGTGGAAATGAAACTATTCCTTGCAATATTATTTTTTGAAAGTTGTAAGGTTTGACGGTTGGGTGCCCATTAGGCATATAACAATTACTCTCCTACACGGCTATTTGAGATTATAATTGTATTGAACATATTCCTTATCATATCCTTTTAACCAACTCTTTTATATAGTTTATGATTTTGTCTCATTTCTAGCCGTGTTTGCACCATTAGCCTTAAAGTATCATTAGGAAAATTGTGCGTAGAATTTGCAGGCATTATGAACAACAGATTATCATATGCATAATTGAATTCACCACGAGCCCAAAACTATTTTTTATTGATGAACCTATATCTGTTACAGACTAAGGGTCAGGCTTCTGTTCAGATACGAGCTAATGCTGACCTATTCATCCTTTAGACCTCCCAGAAAGCGGTATTGAGTCCATTACTTAGCTCGGTTATAAATGTAATGTTATAAAAGCTGGTGAAAAAAATCTATAATTGAGTAAGAGGACTGAAATAAAACCTGCAATGCATCAAACAAAAATAACAAAATAAGTAAAAATGTAAAAATAAACGTTGTTACCTTTATTTCATTCATATGGTTGACAGTGCAGGGAAGTTTCTCCAAACGATTCACAAATGTTTTGAACTCTTCCAAGCTCAGTGTCACTTGCTCTTCAGTTGCACCACTTTTGTCTCTGTTGTCAGAAAGGTTGTGCAACGGCATCGTTTAGTGAACATTCAACATTCAGCTATTTTTTCATTTGCAAGAATTACACTGCCCCACCCAAATCTGATTGAGCAGTCACAAACTATAATTGCGATTTGATTAAAGAACACATTCACTGTATTGTATATACTGTCCGGATAGCACTGTCCATCTCGTTTGTAATGGCCCTCTCAAATGTAATGCGTCAGCAGCAGCATTGTCCGTCCTGTTTTTTGTTTGGATATCGAGTGTCATTATTTGCAGGAGTCCCTCTAACATGCTGCCTTTCATATTTGTATTGCCCTCCTCGTCTGTATCCAATGGCATACATTAACAAATGTATCTGCATGTAATCTATATAATTCACACATTATCAATATTTACACGCACGATTCTATGCACACTTAATGAAATAACTAGCTTTTAGTAAAAAAATTAAAATAGGAGTAACAATTACTTCATAACAGCAGATCATAATAATATGGCCACAATCCACCAACAAAAGAGTTTCAGATTAACATTCACCACAAGGATAACAAATGTGGATGCAAGAAGCCAAAGAGCCAAACATTTCCAGAGAGAAGGAACGTACTGGACACAGATCCGAGTGGTCATCAGATCCTGCGCCATCGAGGCACATTGGTCTGCCTCAAGTACGAGCAGCATCAGGTTCTGCCGTAAGCTGCTTTCGGGGAATTCGTGCATCTCAGACTCCTCCAGCAGTGCCTTTAACGCCGACAAATCTGCACACAACAGGATACACAGTCAGGTTTTTACCCTCGGGGTTTTACATTGCCATCAGAAAACATATTATTCCTGAATCAGAATGCCATTGTAGGTTCGCGTGTGCTCTTTTTATGCTTGTGCAACTTCAGCAAGAGATGGCATACCAGACTTCTTGCCATTTTCCTCGTCCAATGCTCTCCTCACTTTTTCAGCCCAAGCATCAAATAGCTCTGCTCGAGACTTCAGCTTGTGCAGCATTGGGGGCAGTTCAGCCAGTGTATATCTGTACCTGATTTTAAAAATACATTCCCAACATTGTATTCCACTCAAAACTGTCAAGCATGTAAGACTCACTTTCAACTGTAACTGCAGATGTACAGTTAAAATAATAACAAATAAATTAAGTCACTGTGCTTACCTGCAGTATCAGCAACTTTAGGATTGATTCATTTTATACGACTTTATATAATTATGATTTAAACAGTAATATGAGAAATAAACACTGAAGCCATGTGCCATGTTGATTTCAACAAAAAAAACATTAATGCAAGTACAATGCAATAAGGAAACCAGGAGACACAAACGTGTTTTTGTTATTAGAAAAGTCAGAACCAACCGGAGACCTGAGTGAATACATTATAAAACACGTTCAAAACATTTCCCCACAAACCTGAGTATCTTGTGCTGTGTGGGACAACGGCAAAGGTCACGGATGTGATAGAGGCACACCAGGCGGCCTGGGCAGCAAGGGCACGCGATAGCAGACAGGTAGCAGGTCGTCTTGCAAAAGTGGCACTGCCGCTCATCATCCGCCAACAACTCAAACTCAAACAGCTCCGACTTGCTCACACCCTGCCAGAAACCACACAGAGGAGAGACAGGTTGGGAGGGGAGCGGGTTGTGCCATAATTAAATGCTTTATATTGAAACCATTCTAAGATAATATAATTGAGCAGCAAATTAATGCAAGAGATGTTTGAGGAAATATGCTTAGTTAGGCTAATGCAGGGGTGGACAATCTACAGACCATGGGCCAATTATTTGTTTAAGGAACGTTGCCCCACGAGGCCTACTTCTTTGAAATGGCCTGCACTTGATATTTATCCATTACTGCATATTAGCTGCACTCATCAAGCAAAATATGTTTGTGCCTGGCAGCACTGTTTCCAATGTAGCATGCTCCGTCAATTGTCAGTGCAAGGGCCCTTTTATAATGTCGACAAGCACAGTGTGTCACGTTATCATTGGATCGCGCGAAGGTGTGTGTTAATGTGTGGCCTGACGAAGGTATATGGAAAGTCGTATTTGGCAATCCGTAAAGAAGACCCCCCTCAATGTCTAGGCTAATGCATGCCAGAAACACGTGTGAACATTTGGCATTTTGACGTTACAAAATATTGCCTTCACCACCTATGACCAGCTACCACAAATACATGAAAGTAATAGCATGGTAGTGCTCAGAAAGTTAAAGGCACCAACTCCTGTTTGGCATGGATATTTCTTTACAATAAACGCCTCGTGTAAAACACCACTGAGGTATATATAAAAAAAAAGCAGTGCAGCCTACGTAAAAAAACGAGAATAATCGTGGCTGATGGCATCTATAAATTATTGGCTTCTGAAACACTAAATGTACATGTTAATGTGAATTCATTGTTTGTACCTCAGCGCACATAAATCAGACCGTATATTAACATATGCACAAGGGCTTAATTTATACAGTCCTTTGCCAACAACAATTGGCTTATAATCAAAAATAAATTAACAGCATTCATGTAACTATTTGTGTTAAATGAAAAAACATTCTACGCCTATTGAGATGTGAACAACAAACTGCGATTTATGAAGGGCTTTGGATATAGCTTTGTTTAAATAGTTCAAGTATCGCTCAGGACCAGAAAAATAGAAATCAAGTATGACCTATGTCAACAGTTTTTGACTTGCATATTTTATGTTTATTCACCCAAACAAAAGCCTGGACCTCGAGCACAATTCGGAAGTGTTATTTGGGATTCTGTGCACAATATATACATTGAACATATTCAATGATACATGCACATAATATGCAAAATTTAGTGCGACTAATATAGAGCTAGAAATAAATACGTATACAAGCAAAATAAACAGGTACAGAATTTATCCTGGAATCAAATTGTGACTGAAGAGTGACAATTCATCAAAATGCTGGGGGGAGGAGGGGGGGGACCAGGGAAGGGCCAAACACCATCCCTGCTCATACCATTTCCCAGGCCTCCCTGCGCAACTTCCGCTCCTCGTCAATGGCAATCTCGAGCTCGCGGCCAATCGCCGATGCCATTGGCAGCGCCAGGCCCTCCGTCTCGCACGCCATCCTGCAGAGCAGCTCCTCGTGCGAGAACACGCAGTACCTCCGCATCAGGCGATAATGCTCCACACACCGGCGGCCCATCGGAAGCTGTTCCAGAGAAAAGTGTCACAAAACAGAATGCCTGTGTCAAGTTGCACATCAATGTAACCTCAGTAATACCAACAGTTAAAACGTGTATGTTTAAGTAAAACTTTTTTTTTGGGTCACTTTTCATCAGTTGGTTATTTTAAAATAAGTTCCTTATTGCAATTGGGAAAACAATGCACATATAATATGCAAAACTTTGTGTGGCTAATATAGGCCCTTTTGTAAATTCACTGCTGGATAAATGGGCTCTGCACGATGTGTGGGTCATGAAGGTTGACAGGTTTGTGAGGGCAGGAAGCAGACGCGAGAGCAATGTACAATAAATCTTGCGACACTGCCATCCACTCATATTGTAACCCCATTGCAGCCTATAATGCCTCTTTGTATGCATGGTGACCCACCCAAGCACTTGCCTGGCTCATTCTAATTAGCTTCCAAAATCTCATGAGATTGGGTGCATTGCAGGTGAATTAGTCAAAGGCTAACATTATATACATCTTTAACATAAAATTAATAAAAATATGCAAATGTGTAACTTCACGTAAAATTCCGCGTGTGTGTTTATGCAGCATAAACACACATGCCTTAAGACAACACAAGCAAATAATAAAGCACAACCCACCCAGTCTGCAGTGCAGAAATTCACGGCCTCTGCAAAATTGTACCCTTGGTTAAATCCGCTGTGGTAGGCCCGTGGGAAGGTCACCACAAACTCTCCGGGGCACTGATTGGTCCTAACCACCTGCGAAAGGAACCCACAAGATTAACAAAATAAGTATGTAGGCATATGTAGGTATCCGTATATAAAAACAGAAAACATGCCATAACACGTCAGTGCAATGTATAACAATTCTCAACACAATGATGTAATTGTACAATCATGGTTAATTCTCACAAATTAATGGGAGTTACTCAGCACTGCCATCTCAGGCTCACCTCATACCTCCAAACGTACGACATCTGCCAAGCCCTAGTGGTTACCCTTCCAAGTACTTCATAATCACACCAGCTTTTGCATTCCTGACGATAAGATGTATTTAAGGCAATTTGGTCATACACCGTTTTCAGGATGCAATGCTATAGACTGTCTAAAGTGTATTGACCCTTGCTCATGACATAATGCAATTTATCTTCCTGTTGTTTGATTGAACGGTGGAAATACTCTATTCTGAACGGACTTTGAGGTTTGAATGCATAAGTGACAATTTAATGAACACAAATCAGGAGTTAAACAAAATCAAGCTAGCTATTACTTTTGAGCAATCTTGAACAAAATGTATTAAGACTATTAGTGCTGTAGGTTGGACAGCTTGTGCCACTTGCTTTTAACCAATACAAACATTAACCTTTGCCCAATTGAGTACAATATTTTACTTTGTCAATTTAAAAGTGAAAGTGCAATAACAGTGCAATCAATAATTTAGGATGCTAAATGGAATGCAGAACGGAATATTAACCTAGCCAAAGTAGTTTCATAATATGCTTTTAAGAGGTTACGTAACCAATTGCGAAATAAAGTAGTAGGGCACATGGAATTAATTTTTTTTCACTTCCAAAATTAAAATGAGCATATTCTGAATAAAAAAACATAGGTCAGTAAATATATAACAGAGCAGTAAAGCCCACAAGACAAGAGGCAAGTGACATTAGTCAAACAAAAAATATTAACTTTACCAAGCCCCAATTTGTCCAAACATGGTGCTTGGACAGCCAATGTCAGTCTTGCCATTTAACGGGAGTTAATTGATGAATAATTGTTTTTTTTACCCTTTTATCTGGCAACAAAACTGATTGCATTCCGACCGCAGGTATTGTGGTCAATGCAAACATGACTCCTTGTAAAAAAGGTGTCAGTTATGTTGCCAGATAAAAGATAAAAAAAAACAATTATCATATTTTGCTACTGGCAAAGGAGGGTTCCAATGGTGTTGATTGATCAAGTTTTAAAGTTTTCCCTCGGTAAAAATGATTTCTACAATCAAAAGCAAAAAAAAAAAAATTGTAATCACAGCTTTCATTCCAGCTATACGTACGGGAACATCGTGGGCCATTAGTATGTTGGGATTCATAATCGTGACCAACTGATGCAGCAAGTCGGGCTGTGCCAGAAAGAGCTCTGGAGCCAAGGTCCTCATCACATTTTCCAGTGACTCGGCAGCATACGCAGGAACACCATACCATGTCTTTGGCTCTCCCCTGTAGAATAAGCAAAACACCACAAAAGACAGTTTCAGGACAATTTTATCAGCCGCCTGATGCACACATTTCCATGCATCAAAAAGGGGAAATTGAAAAAGTTGAACAATGCATGCAAAAAAAACGGGGTTTTTTTCGCTCTAAGAAATGGCTGCACCTCTCTCGCTTGAATAGTTCAAACCCATGAGAAAATATTCCACAAAGGTGCAGGACTAACACTGAAAGAAATGTAGCTCAAAACAATGGATTGCTCCACTGACTATCATCAGGTTTCCAAAAAGGACAACTGGTTGACCCGTCACGCCGTGGTGAGAACACACTACACTATGAACCCAATGACGATAGTTCAATTTCCAGCCATGGCAAACACCAGTGGTGAGTGATAACATAACAAATCCTGGGTGCCCTTATTAAACAACCCACACACGGACCAGTGACAAGAGTATGGGCAAAATATGCCTTCATCCGCCAGTGAATTTACAAGTACCGAAAAAGAATTGGCACATCCACAATAGCTTGCAGACAATGATTGAAGCCATTCATTTTTCAGGGATTTTAGAATTGGGAAGAGAGGTTTCAGTGGTCTCCCCGACCAGCTTTCTCAACATACAATACACACACAACAGCTTTGCAACGATAGACATAAATCATAAAAGGGCAGACAATACTATTAAAAACTGGAAAAAATTTAATAGACAGTCGTAAAAAGTTACCACCTTTCTCCCACATATACATCTACACCCGACTAGATTAATCGCTTAGCCAACTTTACAGTACAAGGAATAATGCACCTCTTGTGGACGTCACATTCTTGTGTGTATGAGAACAAGATGTGGAATTATTCAGGAATTAATGCAAAGTTCGGCATTGGAGTAAGAAAGAAGGTGGACATCTTATAGCAAAGATATGAAAATAACAATACCATATTCAAAATAAATAGGAAATGAGAGTGGAGAAGACCAAATGGTGAAATTAGGAACAAGATGGAATGTATCCTCATGACAAACCACAGATGATCAGGAGACGGTTCTGTCCGCAACAAATTAAACGCATGCTGGAGTGATGCAAGATCAAGTTCAACATTTCCAAACATGGCGCAAGTACAGTTATAGGCAAAAACCAAAAAGTTAAAACTAAACATTTAGTTCAGGGAACAGGAGATTTGGACCAATTCTAAGCAACAGATCGAAATCCCAAAATTAAATATCACTACTTCAAATGACATAACACAAATGCTCAGTGCTATGAAAGTCAGGTATAAAGTAAACACCAAAAAGGAGAATAAGTAATCTGAAAACATGAAAAGCATGTTGAACAGAAATGAATAGGGATAAAACTGTAAAATAAAAGAAAGTGTCGAGAAAGATGACAACAGTGACTTGAGATGTCACCACAAGTAATGGGAGAATTAAATAAAGAAAAAGATTGATGGATAAATTACAGTGGCCCTACAAGAGCAAAATGGAACAATGCATGCTGGAGGAATGATAACACTGTGGGAAGAGTCTATGCAGATCTCCAGACCAAAATAAACCTTATATTCCGGGAAACAAGGCATTTGGCAGATGAGCAGTATTAAAAAGGAAAAAAACCTGGTCCAGATAGACTAACTGTAGACACCATAGGACAATCTGGTGTATCAACATTATTGGGCCTGTTTTCTAGACTTTTACACAGAAATGAAATATCTCAATTGTGAAGTGATTCCTCAATAATTTTTCTATTTAAAAAAGGGAGACAATCGGTTTGAAAAATTGCACTCAGCCTATTTTCACATGTATATAATTGTTCACCAGTGAGGAAGTAGGATTTAGAAAGTTTGTTTTAAAACATTGGCCATATGCATACTATCCATCAGATTTTAAGAGAGACAATATCAAGAACAATTAAGCCTGGCTTTTGTAGACAAGGAAGGCATTTGGGCAAGACCCAAAATGATGCCATCACGCAAGCTCTCAAACCAAAGCGTAAATACAAATAGCAACCAAAACCATTTATAAAGATTGAGTTTGCATGTAGAAAAATCAAAACACAAATATGAACAGGAGTTACTAAGAATCCTCAGTGACAATGGAATATATTTTCTGAAAATGGGATAGAAGAGATGAAGGAAGACATTTGTAAAGTATGAATATAGTCTCAAAATTGCTGATGACGGTCATTATAACCAGTGAAATTAGTTAAGAAAATTACTTAAGAATGAAGGAAGCAAAGTTGAGCTAAAAATGAATACAAACAAAATAAGTCCCATAAAACAAGTTCACTGAACAAAAATAAATAACTGGATGAGCACAACTGGAAAACAATACAGAGTATGTGTATTAGGTAATTATAGAAGGCAGACAAGATTAAAACGCTGAAATGAAGAGGGAAACAATAAAACAGGGTGGCGTCCTTTCGGAAAAATTTATTTGATAGTAAAAAAGCAACATATGTGCTTGGAGCAGGACGTTTTCAATAAGTGTCTATTACCTGATATGATAGGGATAAAAAAACGGGGACCAACACTAAGTGAAATGTATGAAAGAACACAAAGACTCATGGAGATATGGATGCTACTGGGGCAGGAGAGCATGGTTAAAAAGGGACGGCCGATGGACAAGATGTGACAGAATGACAAATGGCAGCCAAGAGAGAAAACACTGCAAGAGGACAACCAGCACAGACAGAGCGCTGAGTTGAGTTTCATGTACATTAACTAAATGGATTATGGCACTGTGAGACCATAAGGGATCGACAGAGGAACTTCATCTGATAAGATGGCTGATATTGTATTATAAGAAAAGGAAAAAAAGTCATGCAATTGGATATTATGCGACGTTGTCCATCATGCATTTGTCCTCGGAGGTGTTTATCGATAATGGTAGCAGTTTTCTAAAGGGAAAGTCCCAAACAACAACAAAACTTGATACTAAAGTTTTTACTTTATTGGATAAGTCTATAGGAGATACCGTGCCATCTTTACATATGGATAGACAACTAATGTATGAGCGCTATCAAGTTTAGCTGAAAATTGCATACAAATACAAGAATACCAATGGCAATGTTTTAATACAACTGGAGCCCTGGAAAATACATTCCCAGTGACATCACAACCATTCATTCTGCCTCACCTGAAGCCGTTGAATGGATTCCTAACATCAACTACGACTGCTTCCCCAGCCATACGAAGAAGCACTAGGTGCAGATCCTATGATGTTTTTTCATCTGCACAAATATCTCTTTATATCCAAACATTAAAGCAAAGATAAACCAGAATAACGGGATTGACTTGTCATAACTAACACTTATCTGTGCTCAGGGTTGGGTAACAGGATGAATTTAGTACTTCTGGGATACCACGTCAGGCTGACGTATCTGCACCAAGGCTCTGATTATGGGATTAATTTACCAAAAACTAAAAAAAATCGCTTCTGAGAAACCACTGCAAAAAATGATCAGTGCAAAGTTTTAGAATATAATCCTCAGGCAGATGACAGTATTTTGTGAACATTAATTTGCAGCCACGAATCTGAGTATCGTATAATTCGTGTTTCACTATAAATTGCAATTTCTGCCCACCACAGTTCATTTTTCCCCAGACTACATACTTTCTAATCGTCTCATTATGTCACAGTTGATTGGTGCGGGATGTATATAAATTACTGATCACACACCAGTGCAAATAGTTAATGGAGTAGCTCCAGTGGTCCTCGATGTGCCAGCAGAAGGATGAGAAACACATGCCCACATATAGCCAGGGCACCTTCATGCCAGATATGTCCCCGTCGATGTGACCCAGCAACGACTGGGGCAAGACTGGCATGTTGTTCAGATTCCACCCACTGCTGGTGTACTCCTGTCACAAGAAAAAAAGCAGCCAAATTATTTTCTTCCCTCCATTCAAAATCAAGTCGTAGCTTTATTAGCCCAAGTGTGCAAATCATAGTCTAAAATGTACAATGAGCTCTACAAAATTACACGTTTACCACAGCGCATCCCTGTTTGTTAATCACCACATGTAATGGTCTAACACACACAATGGAAGCCAATGGCATATTCGAGATACAAATCACTTCATAACGATTAGTGAAAATGTTGAAAATGCACTTAAGCAGCAATTCTCTGGAAAATACAATGTTCCTGAATAAAATACAAATTCGCCAATGTTTCGTCCAAAAAAGCCATTATCAAAACGTCAACACAGAAAAGCAGATTACGGCCTGTGTTGTCAAGGGGAGCTATATACATTATAGTTTGCTAGATTCATATATGCTATTTGCTGCGGGAATAACACTAGTAACCTTACAAAAAGGTAGTCAATTAAGAGTAAACATTTATACACACTAGCCTTTTGCCCGTCCAAGGACGGGTGTATTGCAGTAGATCTGAAACTTGCAAGCGAAAAGCAGACCGCGACGTGATATTCATTGCATCCATTCGTGTGCAATTTGTAAGGCCGCTGTGACAGATTTATTTAATTTTAAGGTTATCATCCCTTGTTCATCGTGACGTTCTTTTTACTTCGATGTCTCAACAGCGTTACGGAGATCGCGTGACGCGAGGGTTCTGTCTTTGTAGTGAGGGTTATAAGTTGACGCTGAGGAGGGGGTAGGAGGCGCCTCACCCCCCCATGTGGAGTGACGTCACCCGCTAATAATTATTAATGGCGGAGGGAAGGGGTGTCCATTTAGAGAACGTCACCTGTTCATGATTATTAACGAGGGGGGCTGTTCGATGCGGAGTGACGTCACGTGCGGGACACACAGACATTCTTGGCTTGTTATAGTAGTAAATGTATACACATACCTCTTCCTCCTTGGATAATTTCTTCTTCCCATTCTTCACAGGAAAGCCGCTGCCGTATTCCTTGGCCTGCACATCGGCCCCATACTCAACACTCACGTCCTCCTCAATGCAGCTAACCAGCCTCCAGAACTCTTTCTCCACGAGTTCAGTAGGCACCATCTGGCGACAACAAGCACATTCAACAAGAGCCTGCTTTGAAAACAATTGAACCAATTACCCAACTTGGTGTTTGACTCGAATAAAACTAAATTAGAGGCACTTTAAGGCATTTAAAAGTTCGGGCTTACGTGAACAGGCATGTTGAAGTAGTCCGATTTAAATACATCCGCCATCTCTCCGAAACTGCGCAAGGTGTACACCCTCTTCGCCTGTTCAAATCCAAATGCCTCCTGAGGCTTGCTGCATTCCTACAAAAACAAAACACAGGTTTTTGAAGCAAATTAAACCAAGTACAGTAAAATTCTTCCATGAGACTGGGCATCCAACAATTTTTCAAACTTATATATCTATGCTTAAACGAGTATTTTTGTCTAGATCCATTTCTGAATGACAAATGATTATTGTAAACACATTTGTATATATTGTGCAACTCTTAGGACATCCTAACTTGAGGAATCCACTTCATGGTGTACAAATGTAAACTTATTTTTTAATTACTTAAAGCATTATATATACTTGGTAGTGCGTTTAAAAATAATGTATAGATAACACCACACAGATGTGTTTATTTGCCTTCTCACAAAGACAGTGCCATCAATCCACAAATATCAACTAATGCCATCCTCTGCGCAAAACACAACAGGACCTCCGAGTTAAAAAATCTTCTAAGATTTGTCATAAGTCCGGCAGGCTTCAATTGTAGTAAGATCATTAATGTTATAGCCGAAGATGGATCGTAAGCCCAAGTTATTACGGGTGTCATTGTGAGATCGCTCCGCTCACTCACGTAAGAGCTGTTGCTAGGGATTATGCCATCACTCCCACTGCACCAGCCCATCACCTGCCAGGAAGACAACCCCATGCAACATAGCCCGGCATGACATCACCCATGCAACATGGCCGGCATGACGTCATCACTCCACACACTTCAGCCAGTCTGTGGCGGAGTTAAAGGATGTTTAGGTTTTTGAGATTACTTAATGTTATTAATAATGTTATCAATAATTGTTATTTTATTATCAGTTAAAATTGACTTACAAGTGGTCAGAACCACTCGTAAGATTTTACCTAACTTTGAAAATACTTAATGTCGTTTCCCCCTTATCTACTCGAAGCTATGACAAGTCTGATCTTAAACCGGACTTACGCCGTTTCGATAAAGTCGCAAGCTGTTTTATACTCTGGCCCTAAGTGTGCATGACCAACATCCGTAGGATCAAGTGCTTGTGGAAATGTTTATTTACCTGAGCAACACACTTAGGGCACCTCCAGTCCCCCTTCGGGACATCCTGCAGAGGTGGAATGAGGCAGAAGGTGTGGTAGCTGTCGTCACAGCCATCGCACAGGAGCAGTTTAGCCTCATCGTCCCCTCGCCCGCACACCAGGCATTCGTACAGGTCCACCTTCGTGCGCAGAAAGTAGGAAAAATCAGAGGGGGGGAAACATCCTCGGAAACTTTTGAGCACCTGTAAGCCTTTAATCTTTACCAGATAATTTTAAGCCTAACAGAAAGGAATCGCTCATGGTCTATTCATGTGGAGTTAAAGCATCGTTGAATAAGACCAAGACAATTCTCTTTAGGGCTCCATTATTTACAAATGTAACCAACCAACAGTTTAGAAAGCATGGGTCACATTAAACGTAAATAATGCCCGATGAATAGTAGGGGCTTTTTAAGCATGCCACTGCCAGGTGTGGCAGCTAATGGTTTTGTACGAAGTTATCAAAAATAGTTCAGATCAAAATCACCCAAGAACACATTCAAAAAGTTCAAGCTTGACTGGTTAAACAAGAAAAAAGTAAGCATCCATTCTAATCAAAATCCCCCTTCATCATTTCCCTATTTTACAGAAAACCTAAAAGCAATTCACAAAAAAAGATCTGAAAATAGTGTCAGATGTGATGTAAAAAAAAAAACTTGTTTTAAAAGCTACTTCTGAGCACAAGCAGGTGTACATCTCAGACAAAGTTTTTTCCAGCATATTTCCACCCTAACCCTAATTGACATGCTAATTATGTGATTGCAGGACACAAATGACTGATGGAACAGAGACACCACCTGAGTGGCGACACTTTAATGTCATTCAATAGTGGGCAAAAATGTCATCACCTAACACCTATTCTAAGATGAATAAACAAAAACATGATTTAATTGCATTACAAAGTAACAACTACCATAACAAACCGTATTAAATCAGAAATAAAAAACACTTTTAAATAACATGCTTTGATAAGGACTAGCTTAAGATGAATTGCGGGTGTGTCCAGCCACGTGATTGTGGCTCATTGTGATCGGCCACCAACATCTTTAAAATGAGTCTGGGCACTGGGCATGCACTTGAGAAGCCCTGCATGGGCTGTGTGCAATGCAGCCTGGCAGTCAAAACACGATGGAATAACATTTAACACAAAACATTTACATTTGGCTTCTGTTTGCGCTCAGCACTAGCTTTTTGGTGTAAGTGAAGACCTGTTTATTTACGTTTGTGCTCAATATTTATTAAGTTTTAATAAGCTTTGCGATGCTTACATTCGCAATAATATCAGCTTCTTTAAGCTGCACTGGCTTCAGCTCCATTTTGGAATCCTTCGTAGAAGGCACCTTTTCTGAGATGATGGCAGTCTGTGGTTCAGGTTCAGGACACTGGATGTCCATGGAAGGTAGAGCTTTCACATCATCCAGGCCTCGCTCTCCACCTTCTACAAAATTACAAGAAACAGCATATTTGGGGTCACCGAGTACAACAAGAAATGGGCATGCAAACCTGAACAAATGAACAAAGTGAACCACTTTGCAATAGACGTGAAACTTTTACAAGAACTTTATAAATACTGCACAAATAAACATCAAATTCTGCTGTACCACTATAACATTAAAGAAAGATATGTATACAGGTTGCTAAACTTACCACTTTCCTTTCCATTTCGATCTTTTCCAGTTAACAGGCCCAGGCCTGCCATTTTGGGACCTGCCCCAAAGATTTGAAGTTTCCGTAGCTCCGAATTGGAGCTCACGTCAGCATCAATTGGATCGGGCTGCAGTTTCACATTCCCAGAAAAAAAGATCACGATATTACAAATGAAGAGATCTTCAATGAGTATCAATATATTTAATGAGGACCTTGCATTTGGAATGTTTAGCCCATTTCATTGAATGAGTGTTTTCCATGTAGAAAGAAACCAGCGCACCAGAAGAAAACACGTGTTTACAAGGGGATAAAACTCTTAACATAAACATAGATTGATCCAAGAACCCTTATGCTGCAGCATTGCCATCTTCTGGCCACCTGGTAGCCCAGCAGATTTGGCAGATTCACAAAATGGTGTGATAAACTAAACCTTGCTTCCCAAAGTGTTGGGTTACAGGCATGCACCCCAAAACCCGACTCTACACAACAAATCGTAACCGTGGGAATAATTAAGAACAGAGCTTGTAAGAAATCAAACGGGGTAGAACGATGATAGAGTGGTAATCGCGCTGTGCTATGAAGTCGAGAACCAGAGTTCGATTCCCACAAGGCATGAGGCTTCATCATCCATTGGTGGATTGAAACTGGCTAGAATTAATTATTTACTTGAGCTATGAAATGCTGACCAGTGTGTGCAAGTACAAGTTCTCACCTCTGTTTTCATGCGGTTTGCACGTCGCCCGGCACAGTTCATCTTCCCGTGTTGCAACGACTGCCTTAGCGGGATGCTGTGTGGTTTATATTCTTGGTCTTTCTCATCCGGCTCATACTCTGGCTTCGCAATGCACTGGAATAGGCCGAGGCGTATCAAATCAGCACACGGCGGGAATACTAATATGCAAAGGTGGTCAACAAATTCTAAACGCTTGGACGTGAATAATGTACATGGGGTGCCACTTTGTAACTGATATCAGGACAAACCAATAAACAAGAAAAATGTATGCCAAGTGTCATGCAGTATCAAGATTTTTTTAATCCATCTGTTAAAAAAAATGCTAAATCTTTCATGAAAAGCTCAGACATGCCAAACGCAATAATTAGCAATGCAGATCACATGCAATTAAATTAATCCAATCCAAAAAGTTATATTCAGGACCGACAAATTGTTCAAAACGTCACTAATTATGTAACAAAACTAATTCGCCAATAACAATGCCTTAAAAGGAAAAACATTTCATAAGGCGATGTTTCAGCCAATGGGCCCTTCACAGAGCATGATAAAAATGCTCTAAAAAGAAACATACTATGAAAGGTCATTGCCAGAAACGATGCCTATTATATATTTTTTATGTTTTCGTTTTACGGCAGTTGTTATTGACAAATACGTTTGAGTTCGTTATTTGTGCTTGTGCACGGATGCCAATGCCACACCACAATATCATGATTATTTTTTATTTATTTTGAGCATTTTCCAGTAGTAATGTCAAAAATTTCCAGGTAGGGGAAAGCAAGCAGGGTTCAACTACATTGCACGTGGATGTAAATATTTGGCAGTGGTTCTCAAACGTCCGTCCATCTGACCCTCCACAGTGCGCCTTTCCAGGTTTACCAAAGTATGCGTGAATATGTAAATTAAGCCACTAAATGTTTCACACTCTAGGTGGTCATCAGGACTTGGGTTTCAGAAACGGGGAATAAAGTTATGACGGCTTGAACAATATTTAATTTGTCCAAGTGAATACATCGCAAGCATAAAGAATGGGGTATGTATGGTAGTATGAGGACTCTTTCAATGGGAAAGTGGTCTTTTTAGTTCACACATTAGGGAGATGTAGGCTACAGAAAAAAATGCATCAATAAACATCCAACACTGGGCTAACTTTACTTATAAAAATTAGTCACAAGACATTTGTGTAATAAGAGACAAAAGAAAGGAAGCAGAGGGAAACGTTCATACACAATAAGACGGAGACACAAAAAGGAAATTATACTTTTTTCCATTATTGCGGGAAACAATGCTTAAAACATACCTCATTGTAATTGAATTCTGCAACAGCCTGGCCGATTGGTGTTTTCTGATTGAGGCTCTGTGCTATTGTCTGGTTTGAAAGTCAAAGCAAAACACAATTATACCATGCTGCACCTAACCCAGCTTGAAAAAGTCATTGCACTGCAGCAGACTTAAGTCAAAAGAACTGCCTCAGCTGTACTGGACAAGTAATAGGCTGTTACTAGTGTCTGATGTCCCAATTGTGTACCATAAACATTCAGCATTAAGGCCTCAAATTTACCTGTAAATCCTGCCATTGGGGTTTGTAAACATGGTTTTGATTGGCAGTTTGCAGCTACCGGATTTCAATATATTTATAGAATTTTTTGAAATCTGTTAATACATTTTGAACCATAAATCCCCATACGGAGTCAGTTTCATCAAATTATACCAAAAAAAAGCGAAATCAATAAAAGGAGTGCAGTTTTTTTACCGACTGCAAATAATATTGTCATTGTCAAACCTACACACTGTAGCTGCACGGCTTATATTGTCAGGAATGTGGGAGTGGGCTCAATGTTCACACCAAGTTATTGGAATACAAATTTAGTGGCAAACTAGCAACATGCACATCCTTTGGACGTGACCATCCATCCCTCACAGCCAGCCAGCCAAACTTTTAATCGTATATAGAGCCCTGAAAAAATATTATCTTATAGAGAGCCTAGTCTTCTCCACCTTTCAATTGCCTTCTCTGTAGTGTATATCCAAATAATATCTATTTCTCACTTTTTGTCTGTTTCGCTATTCCTCTTGTCGCCTCTTCTACATCTCCCTCCCCCTATATTCCTTTCCTTCCTCCACTTTATCCCATACACTTCACTCCACTCACCCCTATCTCCCCTTGTTTCTCTCATCCTCGCGCTCCGAATTTCCATCTCTCCCTTTCTCGTTTAAATCTCTTGCCTCTCCCAAATTCTCCCTCCCACTGCTCGTCGTTTTCATCTCCTCTTTCCGTTTTGCTCGCTCTCATTTCCATTCGACGCCCTTTCACTCTCTCCCTGCCCCTCTGTCTCTTCCTTCCTCCTATATCTGCCTTTCTCACCCCCTTCTATCGTAATTGCATGGCTGGGACAACAGAGGGTGGGAAGGCTTGACAGTCAGCATGCACGAATCCGGCTCAACGTGGTGGGATACGGGTGATGTCATCGTGCAGATGTGCGCTATGACGTCATTACCACGCAGAAGCACTTGCGTGTCAGCCAACCAGGAATCCAGCGAGCAAAACTTTTTTTAATGTAGTATGAAACTCCAACCACGGGCATGCTTACTTAATGTAAACACACTAATCAGATTTCCCAGAGTAAAAACATTTAATTCTAATTTTATCCGTGTGAAAAACTGCCATATTTTATTTTAGACCAGCACAATTTCCCACCACTGATAAGTCTATTGTGGGATTTATATCAATAATCGAATATTAAACAAGATTTGAAGAACAGGAGAACCCATTCAACTGGCAGCAGTTATAAAAGCCACAATCCAGCAGGAGAACAGGGCGTTATAATTTGTCGTCAATTTTTTTTTACAAAGCTTTCGTATGGGCAGCATACAGTAATTGGATAAAATAATGGCAAAGTGTCGATTCTAGTCAGAATTTGTATACAGCATTCTAGTAAAGTCGATGGATAAAACAATGGCGGAGTGAAGTGTTGTGGTGCAGTCTTACCGAGAGGCTCACGCCAGATTGGAAAAGGTTGTGGGGGTAGAGGATTCGCTCGTAGTGCACACGGAGCAGTGAGCCCACAGCCTTTCCCGTCATATATCCCATCTTTGCTGCCACGCGTGACCATTTCCTGTCTTTGCACACAATCTCAAAGCCTCCCTCCTCTGCCACCACCTGCAGCAGAAACGATGCCAAAAATGTCACCAACTTCAGCATCTGCACTTGATGCTTTTTTAACCATTGGCAATTTGACCAGAGGCAAAAAATCATACCAGTAATTTGTGACTCAAGACATAAGTATCATATTTCGTGGGAGACAATTGACAGAATATTTTATTATTTGCGCTGGTGCACATGACTGGGAAGAAGACACCCACTTTCTAGCCTTGTGCTTTGCCAAAACTCAACTTACACGAATAAAAATACAGTGTGTATGTAATATGCAGAGGATCAGTACATTTTGTTCAAAACATTGTGTCATGCAGATCTGCTCTATTCTATCAAGTCACATCTTCAATGGAATTTAAGACCGATAAGTCAACATTAAACCGAGATACATTCTGTAGTCATAAGGAATAACACACTTAATTCAATGTTTATCAGCCACATGATAATGTAAACAATATTCCTAACAGCAGCATCACCATCATGAATTCTTCCATTCTCTCCCAAACGTACTTGAGGGGACCAAGTACTGAACTGCGTTGCGAATTAGGTAATTTTTTATTGAAAACAGACTTCATATTTCATGAATACAATGTTTGAAGGAACCTTATCAACTGCTCTGTTTCAACACCTTTAATATATTGATGACCTACAAACCGGTAGAGAATTTGCATGAAAATTCATATTTATGTTTAAAAGCAGGAACGGTAAAATATATTGAGCCTATAGAAATAGGCACCGATTTTTATATCATCTAAAAAGTAAAATGTGGCCACCACATCTGATTCTGTTGCCAATAGAAAATAAAAATAGATTTAACAAAAACATCTGCAGTTATGATCAGCATTATCGCAATTTGTCAAGTCAAAATAACATAGTGTTTGTGGAAATTAATGTGAAATACCCTACACTCAAGCTGCATTTGTCACCTCATGCCCTTGAAAACACGAGGACCTCAATACACATCTTGACACAACTGGTTAAAACAAAGCCTTCCACCGCGCTCGTTGGCAATGGAGACATCGGCATATTTTTATACAAACTTAACAATATGAACAACCGTCAAGAAAGCGGGCTTAAGAGTACGAAATTAAAAAAAAAGTCTGTCCACAACACCTTGCTCAGCATGTAGAGGTCCAACAGCTTTCGCTCCAAAATGGGAATCTTCAAGGTAGAACCTTGTAGCTCCCAGAATTTTGCTATCTGATCCAGAAAGTTGAGCTTCACTCTCGTTTGGGCCTTGAGCAGAGACACACGAGGAAAACAGATTGGAAATCCGAACATCAGTCCAGTGCTTGAGCAACAATATAAAAATCTGCATTAAAGCTACGCTGAAAATGAAGGCTTGTGCCAAGCATCTGTCAATGTGACACAAATAAAATATATTAATCGTGGCCACAATTACACAACATTGTATTGAGGCTTTGGAGAAGAGATGGCCGTTTTCATGGACACAAAATGGGAATTACAGCTAGAAATTAAAGCGAACAGTCAGACATGCTCGGTGTCTTTGACCATCATAGAATTAAGTATGAACACTTATGAATTGTTACACAGCCTATTAAGACACATTAGGCAGCCATAGTTTATTTACGATCATTAAACTAAAGTGGAACAAAACAAAGGTTAATGTTGTCGATGAATCCATTTTGCTCACCTCTAGTTCATTCAATCTCTGTATTCTTGGCGTGAAACGAAAATTATCAACATCCACAGCAAACGGAGGCTGCCACTCCTGGAAAACATTAACACGTTTTTATTATTTTGGGAAGATAAACATGTCACATACACTATGCATTTAAACACCAACATAGGTTACTTTCTTTAAACATACTATAGAGCTATTAATACAATATTCCTGGAACCACAAAAGGTATAATGTTTACGTACCAATGGCGTTAAATTTGCATGCCAATTTTGGTTATAAAATAAGCCATGAGAAACCCTGAACACAAAAAGACTCAATAAGAAAAACAAACTGCACATAAGCCATAACTACAACGAATATTAAGAAAAAAACATTTAATATCTGCACTGCAGAATATTATAAATGCAAAATGTCACCCCAATATGAAAGGTTGTTAATACAATTCTTGGGTCAGGTTAAATCATGCTGTTGTGTAACTCGCAAAAAAGCAATGGTATTTTACCGGGTTTAAAAATTGTTGTTGTTGTACCTGCACTGTAGCCTATTTATAGCTGTATCACGATTACGTTGACAAAAAATCCTGCCCATATTGTAGGAAAAGCAATATTTGTCGTGTGGCTCTTGAAATTATGAGTCCTGATGACAACAATACTCAAACGGTACAACAACGTAATGTCAGGCAAGAACCAATTAGTGCCAAACATCTGTTCCCGATTAGACAACTCTTTTCACGAGAGTCCACCCATGGTCACTAACAATGGGTCACGAGGCACTGGAGGCACTGAGAAGTACACCTCCCATTCAAAGCCGTCGTGGGTAGCGTTAACATTGTTTTTCCCCGTTTCAAAGGTGACGTGCAATTGAAAACAAAGCGTGGTAAACACGTGACTTAATTTTCCCTTCTCAAGTTGTATTCATGCTACTCAGTCGAAGCCACTTAGAGCCCCACGCCGATACAAATTTTAATGACTAATTTGGCGTATGGTGGGAATCGGTAGGTGATAATACATTTGCATGGTAATTGCCATGCCATAATTGAACATGCGTAACCATCATATTCTAATGTTGTCCCACCTCTACTCTTCTCCCAGTAAGATGTGGACAAGCCAGGCCGAGTTAACAGTAACAAAGGCCCTGCCGAAAAGCGGCTGAGGTTCAGTGTTCACGACGCTTAGGCTGGGCAGATGCTGGACAGCGTTAAAATAATCATCACTGCCTTAATTGACCATTTTGTATAAATTGGTGCCTGGGTATTTGACTATCTATTTTGTTTGAATTGTATTGTAATTGTTACATTTAGTATATTAATATTATTGTCTTCTTCCTGGGCCTAATTCCCTGAGTACTGTATTCAGTGTAAAGTACTGCATATCTGTTTACTGAATTCGGCTAGTAGTAGATAATCCTGCAGTAACTCATTCGTACAGCAAGTGGAAATGTTGGGCCTTTAAGCATTGTATTTAAATGTCCAATGCACAGATTCAATTCTATATACTGTAGCTTTTGAACAAATGAATAATTACTGTTATTATTATAATACCAAAAATGTAATTTAAGTTACTCTGCAAAGTGCATTTTTTATTGACAATATGTTATCATGCAATACTGCACCATATTATTTCCAATAAATGGAGAAAAAAATAATGGAGTTGTTGACATAAAAAGTATCCATGTTGTTTGCCAACTTTTACTTAAGGAAACACCAATAGGACATGCAGCAATACCATAATGCAAGAATAACCAACCACTATATTTGTTTTATTTAGAAATGAAATTGATCTACACTCATGACATATGCAACCCAGCCCATGTGTCAAAACTACTGTTTTACTGTGCTATAGTTTTTGTTGAGAAGTTTCGCTTTAACAATAAAATAATTACCCTAACCGCTTATGAAATGTCTAGATTTGCATGATATATGGGTGTCTGAGCCACCAAGATGGCTTTTTTTGTCCCTTGTCTTCATATATACTCCCTATATGTACGTCAACACCCAACAAAATGTCTGCCATTTTGTTCCACGAGCAGCTGGCCAGCAAAGGGCTCACAATAAGCCACGTTAAGCAAAAATGCCACCTAAAAACGGGGCGTTCGATCAATCCACATTTCTCTCGAATATCATCTGTAACTATAAAAATATCTAAGAAAGTGTCTACACGTTATTTTAAAAAGATCAGCTTGTAACAAAAAAAAAGCTCACCATTAAATAATGGCATCACATAAACATTAAAGTAATAATAATGATCAAATCATACCTCGATTTTCGATTCTTAGAAAACCACCTCGTAAATACAATGGCTTTAAGAATAAAATGTAGATTGTACAGCTGACATTGAAAACAATATTACGTGGGCAGGGAAAAAGGAAAAACACCAACACGTAGTTTGGCCAAAGAGCGAGCCAAAATGCTATCCTTTACACTATAGTTTTAAATGACCTCTGGCGAGCACATTCATATCAAATTATAGTCGCAGTATTAATCCACACGGTTACGCTCAACAGTTGTCTCTTAAGTGCCACATATTTTGTTTCTTTTGTTCCGTTTTGGCACAGCCAAATACTGCCACAATACAGTGCAATTTTACCTTAAACATCGGATCGGCTGGCTTTTTGCGGTGCAAAATACAGCTTCAAAACACAAACAAGTTCATAAAAATGACAGGGTTGATACAATTTCATTAAGACGAGCGCCGTCACGGATGTGACAATAAGCCTACGTGTATGTCCGCCCCGTAGTAATGGCCCTATTTTTTTCCCCCAGTCTCATTTTGCGCGTGCGCTATTACTTGGCCTCTCGGCGTGAAAATTTACGTCTTTCGGCCACAAAATCATCCACCACCATCCCAAGCGAGAATCCCACTGGATCACATCTGTACATTGCGCGTCGAAAACTGCTCGGGTAGTGATGTAAATGACCCTCACCAAACCAACCCCCCATCATTGCCATAAACTTCCCTGTGCAAATTGCTGTCCTCTGCTCGCCTGGCCTCCCAACGCCGCACAAAAAGTGGCTTTTAAAGTTAAACGCCGAGCCGCCGAGCGACCCCGGGTGGGATTTTAGAAAAAGCGCCTCACCCCGGGTGAGATGCCATCAAAAGTTGGCGAAAACTTCGCTCAGAAAGTGGCCCATCATGCGAACGAGACGCCACTACCACCACAAACAAGCAGCGACCCCAAGTGCCAGTGTCCGCACGCCCGCCCGCCATGTTGAGAGTTAAAGAGCCAAAAATAAGCCTGAAAATCGCCACTCGCGCTTAATGATTTTGGGGCTGGAGGGCGGCATATTGGCCCCCCATTAAAATAAACAAATCCCACAAAGTCGCAAAAAAACCCGGAGCCACGGCCGACAACATTTCAAAGCAGAGGGCGACGCAAAAAAATCCAAACCCAACCAACAAAAACGACACACAACAGCCAGCCGACTTTAAACTTGTGGTCTTTTCTCTGGGCTCGGTTGTTTTTCTCTCGGTTTCCGTGCGATTAATAGAAGACACACAGATGTAGAAAATACGTGGATGGGTAGAGGGCACCAACCGGAGGCGGCCGTATCTTACAGATGCCCGTCTTCTCGCCAATGGGGCGAATCTTTGCTATGTAAGCCAGCGGGTCCCCGAATTCCTCCCACGTCGGTTGGAAAACTGGGCACTCCGGCGGTGGCACGAACTCCTCTCCGCCGCTGCTGCCCATTGCTTTAGATGTTTTATGGTTTATTATGGTGCCCCTTGGTTTTTTAAGTCCTCTACTACTTTACTTTTTCTTTACAAATGGTATTTGATCTCAAAAAAATTGTCCCACAAACAAAGAAGCACGACCGCCCAGCGTGGCCACAGTCATTTAAATCGCCTTCCCCAACCACGGCCTCATCGCGCACTCGCGGACGATGTGCGCGTGTCCCTCCGCGCCGGCCTTTTGTTAATCCCAGCCCGCACCGGCTCAACGCTGGTTTCTCATTGGATAGCGCTTCCACCGCGTGATGTAATACTCGCCCCCTATTGGACGCGATCGACCGGCGCCGCTTATCGGCTCTACGAAATTGAACGCGTGCCCCCTTCAAGCTTTTTTTTTAAAGAAAAAAGTCCTCGCCCGATGCGAGCGGCTTGCCACCCGATTTAGAGCGATAACCGCCGAGGCAAGGTCGCAGTTTGGGTTTTATGCATTGCATTTATTTTTTGGTGAGGTTGTGTTGGCGTGTTTGGGTGTGAAGAAAAAAAATCGAGGTTTCAGTGTGGGCGTATGAATACATCTTGAGCCACCCATCTCTAACCGTGGGGACCAAATACACCTTTTCGGTTCCTCGTGGCTTTTTTTAATCTTTATTTTAGTAAATCCATTTTAAACCGTTGCTTGTTGAATTTTTCCCTCTTAAAATGATATTTTTCCGACCTTTGTGGCAAGCGCCGATGGAAATTTCAAGACGCGACTGAACAATGGCCACCAAATGACAATATCCCGAAAATGGTCGTGCACTCGTGACCCATTCGGCGCATAAATAAAATTAAAATCACGTTTATACATTCGATTTGTGGGTTTACGTGAGCCCATTCCACGGCCATCGCGAGGCCGATGTGGAAATTTCGTGGGGCGAACGCGTGTTGGCAAGTTTCCCGAGTTTTGATGGGCCAGCAAATGACCGACCCGTGGGCCACCTTTTGTGGATAAACGTAAATGGCCATAAAAAAACAATTGCCTCGTGCCGTGTCCACGATTTTTAACGAACAAAAATGTTCACGGTTGGGATCGGGGAGACAACGCAGCATTTTGGCGTGTGGGCGCGTATTTGAGATTGCGTCGCCTTTATTATTTCGTCACAATTTCACAAAACATTGACCCGTCACATGGACAACTTGGCAAAAGGTATACATTGTCTCAGGCCAAGGTCGAAACGCGCAATTTTGACCCTCCGCGGCAGTCCGTAGCGTTCTCGCCCCACTGAAAAACAACACAAACGCACCGATTGGACGCCGCCGGTCACGTGGTCGGGCGACACATCAAAGGCGGGAGCCATCTTGGGTAAGGAGAAAGTCGACGTGAGCGGGTAGGCGACGGTTGGTGGAGGAGTGTAGGAGGGCTGCGACTCTCAATACAAACCAATGGGATCTATCCCTACGTAAAATGGCCGCCACGCAATGACCAACAACGTCGTCGCGTCAGGAAGACTCCGTGTTTGCGTTGCGTGCTTATTTTAAAATAGGGCGCCCGATGTTAACAGCTGGTGGTGGGGAGGCCGCGGGGCGTCTCACACGCGTGTCCCGACGATGAATTAGCGTTAATTGGCAATCGCCCTGTTGACGTCGCCACGATCGGAGAGCTGCATTAGCCGCTGAACGTTTCGTTTTGAAAGAGTGAAAGACAAATTCGCCGCCGAGATTTTGTAACGCGAACACGCCCCCCGTAGCTCGTTAAGGCGCCAATTGTGGCGGGATTTCTTCGCGCTCACGGTCCGCAGTCTCTTAACGCGGTGATCGGCCAGCCGCAAGGCAGCAGAGGTGAGTTGTGTGGATGTATTTCACCTCATCGTCACCATCATTAGCAGCAGCAGCAACGATGATCAATGCTCGGTCGACCGTCTGGTGGGTTTAAATGTTTGTTCTGCACGTTAATGCCACATGCGTCTTCAGAGAATAACGGGGGTGGTCACTCAACGAAAGCAGAGCAGCAATTGTTTCTTGCTGTGGTCGTACCACCTTGTGTTGCGCCCGAAACGTCGTGATTTATTTTATTTTCTACCTACGTGACTTTACCGAAAGAACCAAAAAGTATGGATCCCTGCAGTCACGAAAACTTCAAATCTAGATTTAACGTGATACAATTCATCATCGGACTGTTGAGTGGTTAGGTATCTGTGCATGGTTATGTCAGGAATGTATATAGAATTAACGCGTTAAGTCAGAGACAGCGGAGATAAATACTGTACTATGATTTAATACAATTCATCACGATTACCATCAGCATCAATCATTCTCTATTCGCTGCGAGATTAATACGTGTGTATGCTTAGTGTGGAATGCATTCGGGATTTACGCTGTGGTCAGTCGGCCACAGCAGAGGTGAGAATTTAGTTGTATTAAATGTCTAGTGACATATCACTGTGTACGGTAATGCCACCCTAGAGAGGCACGGCGTGCTATGTATTGACATCGCGGGCACCACATACATGTGGGTGTAGTACTGGCCCTACAGGGGTTCGGTGAGCACTGACTGGCAGTGCTGGATGGCACCACGCTCTGCGTGCAGTGCCGACCCCTACAGGATAGGGTGTGAGAGTGCCGGCCATAGGATAGGGGTTAGTTACTAAGGGCCATGGCACTCTGGTTGACCCCGAAGGACACGTGACCGGTTCAAGTTCATTTATTAGGTATAGCCCTGTGAGCCATTCGGCTCTTGAATCGGGTGCAACCGCAACAACAACAAAAAACTTGAACAAGAAAACATCTTAAAGTGAATATGTGACTAAGTGCAAACAGAAAATCCAAGAAAAGACAGCAAAATATTGCAGAACACCGGTAAAGTCTACAGATGGTGAGGGGTAGGGGTGGTCACGTGTCAGGGTCGAGATCCTGCTCGAAGGTTCTCGAAGGTGGTCGTGGCTAAGGGCGGGGCCAGCCACACCATGGAGGATATAAGCCGGGTCCCCCAGAGGGACCGGCTGCTGTGGTTATCCTGAAGAATCTGCGAGCCTGGTGGTCCACCACCATAGGTTACTATCTGGTAAAGGAGCAAGTTACCCCTTTGTGTTAGTATCATTAAATGTGTTGCCTCTAAAGAGTGCGTCTGCGACTCAATTGAACTCGCTACAAATGGATCAGCAACAGCCATTGTCTATCCACTTCCACATGGTTTCGATTTTATAAAGTTTGCTAATTCCACGTGTGCCACAAGGGAATAAATAATGTGGCTGTCCACCAGTTCTGCCAAAAGCGTTAATGTTAGCGATACTTATATCATGACAACGGGACCCAAAGCTATCACCTAATCACATTGAGTGGATCTAGGATTTGTTATGTCACGAGCATTGTTAGTACTTATGTAGTGGGTTCCACGGAGGCATACACTTGAACTTGGAGGCAACACCTTTATTCTCACTCCCCAACAGGGTAACTACATAACCAGTGTACGTTTAATTAGACCACAACGGGGTAACTACATAACCGGGTCAGTCGGTAACACACTGCCTGACCCACGATGCCGAGCGTAAAGACCAAGGATCAAAGAGACGTAGCACTGACGGGTTCCATTCCAACAGACAGCCTCGATCGGCTCTCGGGACCTCCCTTTTATGCTCCTGAGCATGGCCTGGCTCCGCCCTCGGCCACGCCCCCTTCTAGATCCTACTAGAAGGTTCTGGGCGATGCATCACGTGTCCCTCTAGCCACCTTATGTCCCCCCTCATTATCCTGTTCTGGTCACGTGCCCTCTCGGGTTCACCGAGACTGTCACGTCCTCAACTGCCCTCTCTCTGACTGTCACCAGAACCATGGCCCCTAGGGCCCCCTTCCATGCCATGCATACTCTGGTGCCAGAGAGAGGCTCTAACACGCACAGTTGCACTATTCTCTCAGTAGCTGGCGCTAAACGCCGTAGTGACCCAATATACGTCACTACACTTTGATCAGTGTTTCTTAACCTGGGATGCGAGACATGCCAGATTTTTTTAGAAGGTAAATCGTCGAAACACAAATTAAGCACGGGCACGTAAGTACAACTACTTTGTTTCATTAAACCTATGTACTGTACTTGTCAACATTAAATACACGTTTTATCCATTGAGAACCAAAGGGTTGCAAGGCTGCAGTAAAGGTTGGATGAGACTGAGTGCCTGGGAATACCCAGGCGTTGTAGATTTGAGTTTCAAGGTGGCCAGGAAATGGCAGTGCGTACAGAAGTAGATTTTTTTTGCCTTCGTGTTTGGGTTTTCTCTGCATACTTTGTTTTCCTCCTAAATTCCAATACAAAGGGAATTGTCATACTACTGTATATTGCAATGCAGGGACCAGCAAATTATTGTTGGCAAGGCCTTTGCTGCGTAGATAATTGCAATTTAATGATCACTGCATTTAATATTTTAACAAATGTTCTTCACTTGTGTCTTAAATGCAGTGGCTTATTACGACTGCACTTGTATTATTTTAACTGGTTTTCAGAACATAAACTGCTGATCAAGTAGTATATATATTTATTTAGAATTTACTTCGACCGATCTTATCTGAACACAGTTTTTCTTAATGTATATGCATGCGATGTTATATGCATATGCAGATTTTCGTGGGGAAAATTAGTTGATCAAGACTTTGCCTCCCACATTTATTTTCAATTATATCATTGTGATCTTGTCATCATTCCATGAGACAAAACTTTACATTCGGGACTCTGGAGCGTGCATTGCATCAATCTGTCAAAAAAATCACCCCGAAAGAGATGCCACAGAACTACTGAGATCACTTTAATATGCCTGCTTATTGACACTAAAAGCATACATTTTTATATGCCGAGCAAAGAGTGTGTATCACATGTCAATCAAACATATTACATTTTTATTCTCGGCGCTAATATTTGCCAAACGTGAAACAAATTTATGTGATGGGTTTTCTGTGACCTCATTGGTGACAGGGCCGACTACAGGATACATTTTGAATAAGTCGGTTTGCTCACAAGACGCGGCCTTGGTTTAAAACCCAAGATCTCCGCAATACCGGCTTGGTACTCTAACATTGTCTTAGCTCCCTGTGCCACCTGGCCACCTCCGACTGCCCTTGAGGACTGAGCATGCCCATCTATGCTACGGAACGTGCGCTGCTTAAAAGCGTCACTGCTGTGTGCATACGCAAATGAGCTCCGAGGGCTCTGATGGTTTTTGGCACTTTAAGTTGCAGTGTACATTTGTTCCATGGTCCCTGAAGTATTTAATTGTACATATTTCCCTTGTGGCTGGCTTTACATGTGCAATAACTTACGTGCCAAGATTTCTGGTTAATATTGGATCGCATAATGTCAACATGTTTTTGCTCTGATTTTACAGAATGGCTTTGGCAAGTTCAAGTAGGGTGAGGTCTTCCCCAGACAAGGCTACAAGGTGGTAAATATTGCATGTGTTCAATTTGTCTTAATAAGCTTTAACCTCATTAATAAAGGTAAACCAGATAAATTAGAATTACTGTTCTAATTCGGAGTATGGTAAACCCATTACACACTGTAAGGGCCCTCCCACTTGAAAATGAGAGCCTTTGGATTAATGAACAGCTGGTACTTGTAAGAATGTTCTTCATCAATTAATGACCAATGAATGGGACTGACTCCCAGTGAGTTATGATTATAAAATATGGTCAAAGTTACATTGTAAATTGTAAAGAGAATTGTAATATTGATGGCTTTTTATTCTTGTAATAAGTAATATGCGTCATTTCCAAAAAGTTTACAGCCCACATTTAAATTTCGATTTAAAGCTTTCGTGACTGCAGGGATTAATCTTCTTGGTTCTTTCGGTAAAGTCACGTAGAATGGAAATAATAAAATATTATGTTATATTATTTTATTATGTTTTGTTTTTATTATTTTATTATTTCCATTCTACGTGACTTTACCGAAAGAACCAAGAAGATGAAGCCCACATTTAGTGAATCAGTTTAGACAGGTATGTGCCTGTGTCCAAAATAATATTTTTCATGCAGTCAACAGTCCACTTGATAGGCTTACTATCAAGGTATATTGTACATGTGCAGGCCGTCATGGCTATTTACCCATTCTTCACGCTTGTCTGTGCAGCTTGGTGAAGGCGGGTAGCGTAGCAGTTGTAGAATAGTACAATTCAACAGTGAATATTATACTGCCATACACTGTACCTGTGCTGTATATTTTACATTTGAATATTTTGCTAAATCAGACGATGCTGTTATCGTGGACCTTATATTATATATCGTTGTATTGCCATATCGCGGTACCGCTTGGTAAAAGTTATGAACTGCAAAGCAACGACTTGGGGCTGTATCGCCCACCTGGATTGGAGTCATGCTGGCAGGCTGCTTGACCATTTCCATGGCCCACATTCTTGCAAACAGGTCCCCGGCGGCAGGCGGATGGCGCAGTGCGGGCAGCTTGCGCGAGTCGCCGCCCATTCCTCCAATCAACGAGCGGCTGGCGTTCCTGCGTCCGTCCCGCGAGCTGCTCGAGTACTACCGCAAGAAGATCGCCGAGTTCGATGGCGAGCATGAGGACATGCTGAAGCGGCTTGACGCCTACAAGGGGACCTACGAAGAGCAGGTTTCTAGCAATTTGAATGGGGAGGAGGGGGGTGGATGCAGCGTTAACGCAGGCCAACACGCACACAGTGTAACGTCACACGTGCGATCGTCACGTATCTGTCCTAATGATACAACTCTCTTACAGTGCAGTATTTGTGCATATTGTAAACTGCCATTTTCTAGCATCATTGTCATCATCATAGAAATGATAGAAAATTACATTGTTAAACCCAAGCCAACGCAGAAGCATACCTTGCAAACCAGACCATCGCATATTCATCCACCCTGTCCATTTAACCGCTTGCACGCAGTGCATTATTTATGCATGGTGCAACTCTCAAAATTGAACCTTTTCACATACAATCATATATTCTTAATATCATGTACATTTGCTTTGAAAGCACAATTAAGGATTTTAATTCATTTAGAGCCGCTTATTTTTATCCAGTAACCTATTTGTATGTGGTTTAACTGTCAATATGGGATAGATATCAGACCTTTTCACCTTTCTGCCATACCTTAGTCTCCTTCTAGTCAGATATGAGTCGTAGGCTGTACATTTTTTTGGAACCGTTTTACTTCATTGATTTTCATCGCAAAAATTGCGTAATTTTTTTTCTTAAATGTATGAAGCAGTATTTTTAGCTTTGGAAATCTTTTGGTAGTAAATTGGTTTACAAGTCCTCACATTACCGCTTAAATCTTTAGGGTTCACAAGTACTTTCGGCATGGTTAGATGTGTGGGTGCGTTTATTGCATGGATGGATGGATTTTATCTACGATGAAAGGACCAGAATAGGTCCATCTGTTATGAATTCTACAGAGTATGCAAGTTTGCATTTCATGTGCTGCATAGATAGGGTTGTAACACAGGCTGCTACACTTGGCTGCGTTCAGAACATTTTTATGAGAACCTTCTGGCATATGTACGTGTATGAATTACAATCCTCTTATAATCACACATGCTGTCAGGCATATTTTTGGGTCTTTTTTTCATTGGTAATGTAATTGCCTTAAAAACACCAGGAGCAGTACTGTGTGTAGATGCACACGATACCACCTTGGTTTGTCCCATGGTTTCATGTATGTGGCCTTTTGCTTCTTTGCAAAACCCTAGGCTTCTATGGAATAGAGATGCTGCCATCACTCAGTGGCGAAGAATGATTTTTCCATTTACATTCAATTCCAGCTGAGCTGTCAGTATCATGTCACAACACAAAAAATCTATACTTTGGACCTGTCACAGTGGTGCATTCTGTTGTGTCGGTGAACAACTTTATAAGATGACATCACATTCCCACCAATGAAGTCGCGTCACTCGGCATCATTGCTTGCGCTCTATACACAATTTTATGTTTTGCAAATGGGTTTTAAACGAATGTCATTCATCACATGTTATTCGCCACGAATCGGCCACAAACTCATCACATCTAGGAAGCTAAGCAAAACTGAGCCTGGTTTAGTCCTTGGATGAGAGACTACCTGGAAACACTTGGTGTAATTAGACTTGGGCTGCAGAGTGACCAGGATATGGTAGTGCATCAATGTTTTTTTTTAACCCATTTGCACAGAGCTTGAAGTGTTACCCTTGTGGGTTTTTTCTGTATGTATATTGAACTTATTTCGCGTCGTATGTAGCCTACTGTGCTCTGGTTCCCTCCTGCTGCACATGCATACACGAGGCCAAACGCTCATCATTAGAATTGGCCAAACATCCCAATGGAGAATCAACCTGAAAAAGAGTCTGAACACTCAGTCAGTGAGGCTTTCTTGTGTGCATCAAGAGCATAATCATATTTTTGTGTTGTCATTGTCATGTTCAGCACAAGCTGCAGTGGGAGATGCGGCAGCGCGAGGAAGAGATTGCCGAGCTGCAGAAGGCGCTGAGCGACATGCAAGTTTATCTCTTCCAGGAGCGAGAGCATGTGCTTCGGCTCTACTCGGAGAACGACCGCCTCAAAATACGGTGAACCGCTGGCGAGGGACGCAAACTGCCAAACATACGCACCTCCGACCCACACGCGTTAACAGCCATCTTTTCTTCTTGTAGGATAGATGTACTTGGCCGAGCCTAGTTTTAGTTTGCTTTCCTTCCCCCCCCGTACCACTCATTAGCACGGTTGACTACGTAGTCTGCTGCCATAGCTTGTAGAAGTATAGTATTCACCCTGGTGAGCTCTGTTAAAAGTATTATACAATACAAATCTTGAATATTGATATTTTTATGGAGATTACTAAGATGATGTTGTCATATGTATTTTCTTGTTTTTTTATAGCGAGTTGGAAGATCGTAAAAAAATCCAGCATCTTCTCGCCCTGGTGGGTCCTGATACAGGGGAGGTCACCTACTTCTATAAAGAGCCTCCTCACAAGGTGACTCATTAAACCCTGTAAAAGGCCACTTATAATAAACTAACCACCCACCAACATGTAATGATGGCAATGTTCGTTTTCTCTCATCATTATCACACGAACATTGCACCTCCTGGCTTTGACATTCCTCGAAGGCAATGGTGCACCATCAACTGCACCAGAATATGAACAGGACGATGAGCGCATCTCCTTCGTGAATGGAAAATTTAAGAGCAGCCACAATCCGACTGGCCAAGGAACCCAAACTATTGACCACATCATAGACCACCATAGCCTGCGCTCCAATGGAAGAGGAATAGCAAAACTACTCGATCACTCTCCTGAAGCCTTCTGGTGGCGAGCAGACCTCAACATTGCCATTTAGCTCCTGAACATATTGCTGTGCAAGAGTACAATTGAATCATCATCGCCAGCCACGATAAATCCGCTGCTAGATAAAAGCCTCCCCCAAGCGTTGGTCGTCCGGCACGATCCTGGGATGTAATCGGTTCATCTAAGCTGTTTGCTTGGCCGCATCTCTCTGGTGGACGTTCTGTCAGGCGTGTTGCTTCCTTTCGCTTTCACTCCACCATTTGGTCGCGACCACCAGCAATCATCGCTTCTAACAACGTGTCGTGCCCATGCTTGCTTATGAATAGCCAATATGATGTCGAAATTCCATACGTGCAGGTATGCCGCTATTATTTGTACAGAAGACTGAAGAATGTTTTAAGCACTTGTTTAATTACACTCGCAAGGTTTTAGTGTTTTTAGCTACTATGTTATGTTATCACATGATAATTGCTAAATTTACATATTCTACTGGCAACATACAAACCATGTTTAGGTTGTACTACATAATGCCTAATATTTAATTGAATGTACATGGTCATGCTGTAATTATAGTATACAATTTGTCTTGCTAAATTATACAATTTTGATCGTATTTTTGTGGTTGTGTTTCAGGTTATTATCCCACAAAAATCAACCAAATCGAGTCACCCACTCAGTGCCAAGGAAAACCGACCTCAGGGCAAATCAGGTAAACTTAATCAGGCCTTCACATAACCTCACATGATTTTGATTAACATTCGCAATGAGGAGTGCAGGGCTTGATGCAGTGGTTTCCCCCGCAACTCCGATTGTCCTTCCCCTGCACCTGCGATTAGCACTGTTGGATACGTACGGTGCGAAATAAGTTCAACATGCATACAATTTGATGACCTACGATCGATTCCCACCCGATTTAACGTTGGTGGCTTGTGATATCTGAATTGGTCCCAGCCCCCCTTGTACCGACCCGCACAGAGCAGCGTGGTGAAGTACGGTCAAATAACCCCGATGACAGACGTAACATGGTGATGGTGTTCATTTAATAATGGATTTAGAAAGGGATATAAGTTATATAATATCGTATATTATGCAATGTGATAGGACTCCCTATTTAGATTATATCACAGTTACTAATTCGCAGCTTCGTTAACCATGCCGTGTCCTGTTTTACGTTCAGGAAATAAAAGGCCAAGTGGGAAACCAACGAACGGTGCAGACAGTCCAACAACCCCCGAGCGCTACCAAAGAGACAAGCAGACGCTCGTTCTGCAGGTATTGACTGAGATGCACTGCTGTATATCCATTGCGCGCACACACACTATCAAATGAGATTGTGTGGGAATTGTACAAAAGCCAGCGTCATTATTAATATGAGTCACAAACGTTGGTTGGGTGGCTCCGAAGTCGAGTACTAAGTTGGCACTGCCGAAAACCTGGGTTCAAATCCAAATTGATGATTTAATTCTGATCACCAATGATTGCATAGTAACACATTTATATAAAATATTATTTTTCACTTTACTGTTTAAAATATAGGCTTCACTCGTATGAGGAGCATTTCTCTATAGCAGGACATGTAGAAAAGGGCTGTCCCCCAAATGAGGATAAGATGTCACTAGGAGAAATCTCAGAAATAGTTATTTGATATCTACTTCTGCGGGTCTTTCTCTAACAATGCATAAAACGCTGCTCTGCGACAGATTTTAGGAACATATTCTTCGTCATATAATGTGATGCCGAAAAACACAATTGGGATTACATTTGGGAAAATGACAAACGAATTGAAACGTGACATTGAGAAGCGACATGGAAAATTATAATATTAATATTTAAAGTATTTTTTTAAAGATCGATCACGTAATTGTGTGTCCGTGCCACTGTTGATAAACATGTAGTTGGCATGGCGTGTGCCCTGCAGGTGAAAGCGCTTCAGGCTCAGCTGGAGGAACAGACGAAGCTTGCCAAGGAGCAGGTGGAGTCCCTCCTGGAGGATCGTCGAATTCGCGTGGAGGAGATGCAAGTCCAGCAACGCCGCGATCAGGAAAAGATCAACGCCCTGACAGAAAAGTAAAATGCACTGCCAGTGAGACAGCCAAATGATATCCCACGATTTTGTGCCTGTCGACCATCGAGTGGGAGATCAGTCTCGGTGGTTGGGTAGCAACGCATTTTTTCCTCTACACATCAGTCCGTTTTTCAACAGTCCCACTGTTATCAACGAATGTCTGGCTTCATTCAAAGTCAACTTTTTTGATACCAATGGCGTTGGCTGGAGTTGAAGCATGGACTGTTATCATCTCCACCGTCATTGCATATCTGTTCACATCCTCTTTGAAATTATGCTACCATTTTGTACAAATTTGAATGATTCACACATCTTTATCATCCTATTGCAGCCTCAATTTTCAATACATTTCACTTGTCCTTACAGCCTTCGTTGACAATACAATTATGGCTTGCTGCTCTTCTCAGATGCAGAAATCCAAGGGCACCACTACCTTTGGTCATGTGATAAATTTGCCATCTGGGGAAGATTCAGTAAAAATATATATTGCACATGAGTACCAGGGTTATATCGTGTACACTCGGCACTCTTTAAAGTCGCTTAATAAATTGAAAACCCTCGGATCAATGCATCAACATCTTTTATCTCCAACCTAGGCTACAAGAGACACACTCGCTGCTGTACGAGAGCACGCGGGACTTCCTGCAGATGAAGTACGAGGGACGAGCCAGCGAGAAGCGCTGGATGGCGGAGAAGGACCAGCTGCTGCAGGAGCTCGACGCGTGCCGGGACCGACTGTCCCGTGGCCAGGGCACCGAAGAGGATGGGCCTCCTGACATCTTCACTCCCCCGTCTGAGCGGCAGCATAGGGCACAGCAGGGCGAGGAGTTTAAGGTGAAAGATATTTCGAAAGGGTTTTGACAGGTCAATGGTACTGCCCGTTCGATACACACCTTAACATGTAGGCTTTTGCAACCAATATTCATAATAAAGGTTTTTTTTTTTGGGTTGGTTAGATCGTGTAAATATAAAAGTGTGGTTAAACCCACCACCACCTGACAACCAATTAGTAAGGTTTGTTATGTAAACAAAACATGCCAATTAGTTACTAGTTCACCACACCGGTGTGTTGGAGAGTAAACCCACATTTACAATTTGAGTGACGTTTCGTTGGTGATTACAACCAGCCTAATCAGGCAATAGCCAGAAATGTGAAGGAGTCTTGTTTCGGTCTTAAATAGGGGTGTTAAGATGATGTCATCACTGTGAGCCTTTAAGGCGCAAAGACCGGAGGGGGGGGTGGGGTTAATGTAGTCCTATAAATTACAATGGATAATGTTAATTTGACAATATGCAGTCCCTATTGGTTGGGTTATTCACAGTTAATCAACATAATGCAAAACCTCTATTATGGCTACACACCTTCATTTGGTATTGTGGCTGCTCGTTGGGTTACGTTTCCGGCATCAATCAAGGAGCGGTGTGGAAAAATGCGTTGCTGCATTGCTCTTCTCTGCCTCCACATGCATGCTGCCCGCTTTCATCAAACCAGCACTGACAAACATGGTGAAGTATATAGTCGGTAACCCGCACGGCGTGGGGAGGTCATCTTCCAGAGTGGATTGACTCAAGGGTGTATTGTGTATCATTGCTATTTTAAACCTGTTGTGGCTATAACAAGGAGCGCCTAAAATATGTATTTTGTTATCGTGAAGGATGATGTGGGGTATAGCGGGGTGCCGCACTGGTTCGCACACATTGCCATTGTCCCAGTGACCTGAATTTGATTTCCAGCCATGGCTACAACATCAGCGGAGTGTGGTATCTGATCTGATCATTGTGGTGAAGTATGGTCAAACAAACCCCAACGACGGATCCGGCATAATAGGAAAGCCCTCATCTGGCAGTGAATTGACAAAGGGCTTACACTTTTTTTAAGGATGACATCTTACCCACTTAAATATGGTTGGTAAAGCAGGATCACATAACATTAATCATTGGTGATAATAGTGTGGAAATGTCACCGTATAGGTTGTGTTCCAAAAACCAATTAGGCAGTCAAATGTCTGTGACCTCTGTTTATTTAATCCTAATGGACTTGATAAATACGAATGTGTTTGACATACTAATATAGACGGCAAACTAAACAGGGGATGGCTGTTTTGGACCTGGCTTAGACTCGAGCCTTTAAAATATATATTTGTGTTTGCTGAACTAAATAGTAAATATTTCCATTCTCAAATACTCATGTAGAATCTACATTGCAATAATAGACTCCTACTACGATAACGTGGCAGGATCCTCCTGAAAAGGAGTCATGAGGCTTAGTGAGGCTTTTCTGGGTAAACACTTCTAATAATAAAGAAATTAATGAATTGTGACTTATTGACATTCTAGATTTATATTCAATTGTTTACGCTGACATTTTACGGACTGCATTTGTCCTTCCAGGTCTAATCATGAGTCAGGTTTGATAAACAAATCCTGTTGGTTTACCGGATTGTATTGGTAAGAGCACTCCCTCTAAATGATTGGGGACCCTGGTTAACATAAGCACGGATAATTTATTGGCCAAAAGGCCGATAGGCCGCAAAAAGTTCAAGATAATTTGTGCAGTTGTAGAACGGCGAGTAGATTTGTAAGAGTGCATGTGTGCATGCACGCGTGCGTACAAACATGTTTTTCTGCGTGCTTACATCCCTCGTGCCTGGCAGGGCCTGCAAGAGGAGTTGAAGCAAGCGCACCGTCTGGCTGAGATGTTCCGTGAGCAGTGCGTCTCCCTGGAAGATGAGCTGTCGCGCATCCGTGAAGAGGGAGATGTCGGCAAGGAAATATTCAAGGTACTGTTGGCTAAATAATAGAAAGCGTGTCATGTAACGATTCGTCACAACATGTCTTTGTGTACACGTGCTAGGTGGATTTTAATACCACAGGATCGTGAGAGATTTGCAACAGCTTGGGGAAGCCTTAATCCAATCCAGCAGTAGGGTTGATCATGGCTTATGATGATGAATGATCAAAACCCCTACCCACTCCCCGTTAGTGATTCACAAATTACCACAACTTTGGGCTGCCATTGTATTCAACAACTGATTATTTTTCACCTCATTTGTGTTGGTTGTTTTTTTTTTGGCTGTTGTAAAGTTTGGTTTGTGCCATTCTCGATCTACTAGATACAATGCATACATTCTCAAATAGATTTTGATCAGATAAATACGTGTGATGGACTGCCCAGGCATTTAATTTCCAACCTGAATGTTGTTCATGTATAGAACTATCTTTACTACCCGGCTTCGCCGAAGACTTGGATTCTTGTTTTGGATTGATACACGGCCTACGCGGAGGGTGGGGGGGGGGGAATGCGTGACGTCAGCAGGCACACTGCGTGAAGCTGCCGCATGCGGGTGATATCACAGATGTGGCGTCGCCACTCACTTGCCGTGCAAAATATATCCATTATTGCGCCCCCCCCCCCCCCCCCCAAAATACAAAAGTCTATTTTTATACTTTTTGCATTGTGTACAGTCTGGAAGCTACCCACATGCCAAATTTCAAGTTTGTTGCATGTTGGGAAGTATGCAAAAAATTTCGAACAGACACACATATTTACAAATTTCCCTTTTATATATATATAACAATGACCAAAATCTATTCGGAAATATTATCTCTCTTGCATGTTGAACGACGTGAATATTTGGAAAAATATATATATCAAAAGGAAATAAATGTTTTGCAAATGTATAATGAATTGTAATTTAACCTTCGCCCCAGTAGGTGGCATTGACTCTTAAGGCATGGAGCTTAGTCCCCTCTTCCCCCAAGGCGATTCTGTGAATCGTCAGGGTTCAGAGTTTTCAGTCAAGCATACGATTTCGTTTGTCTTGTTTATTCCGTCTCATCTATTTCGTTTGGTGTTTTCTTTCTACTTTCTCGTTTTATCTGCGTTGTTCGTTCCCACTATTAATCTAAAGTTCGAGATGGAAGAGAACATTTTAAAGTTAATAGAGTAAGCATGATTTTAAAATAATCTTGTTATTTTTAACATGATTCGATGCATGTATAGTGAGCAAAAAAACCACAAATGTAATCAATAATGAAACATGTGCTTTTAATAGACCCAATTATACTGATACACTATTGATAGGAACAGATATTGTTAATTTGGTTCTTACAGCAAGACAACCCAAACATCAAAAAGCCCTTGTAAATACTTACCTAGGCGATGTGACCTGGCTTGTCTAACAGACATCCGTGATATCACCATGTTGACGACACCATATTAACACGTACGGGAATGGCCATTACTCAGGGGCCATGAACCCACGCTCACCCAGTAATTTGATTGTGTTTTTTTTAAGTATCTGACGAAGATCTGAACTCTTATATAATGGTGCACCATGTGTTTTTAAAATTGTCAGTTACGTCTCTTAAATTGAATGTCGAAAGTGTCGATTTGTGAATGCACTTTTCCAAGAACATGTTTTTACAATGTAAGTGATGCTTGCTTTCTGCATTGCGCCTTCAATCCAACCACATGGTGGGTATTTAGCACAGTGGGTCTCAAGCTTATGTTTTATCACACCTCAATGTTGTAAACACAAATATAGTACGTTTCCTGCTGTTTTACCAGTGGATACAATATAGTTTTGACGTATTTATAGCATCTATATTATATATATAGACATACCTCAGTCACTTCTGTCACTTCAAAGAAGCCATAACAGTGATAAGTGACTGAGTGTAATAAAATAAAACAGAGCTGCCAGATTGAAAATATTCCCCTCCAGTATCCGATGAGTGCAGATAAGATGCTTTCACTGATGGATAAATCATGTTGTTTTGCAGGCTACTTCGAAGTGATAAAATTCGTAAATTATGAGAAAAACCCCATCGTAACAGAATAACAGTGCAGGCTCGTAAAACCACAAGTTTCAAACAACACACAGGAATTCGAAGTGGACGTGTCCACGGGCCACATGAAAAGAAGTTGCATGCCGTAGGCTCCCCACTCTTCGATTGAGGGTTGTCCTGTTGTTCCTGCGGTGTTGGGTCCGCACAGCATGCCCCCCCCCCCAAAACCATCCTCCCGATATCAAGCGGCACGCGCCCTCCTCTTAATTTACGCGGCGTCCCTCCTCGCACCGACAGGATCGCTCCGACAAGATGGGGAAGCGGCTGCGAATGGTGACGCAGCGCTACGAGGCGCTGGAGAAGAGGAGGGCGATGGAAGTGGAAGGTTTCAAAAATGACATAAAGCTGCTTCGGCAGCGTCTCAAGGACGTGGAGAAGCAACTCTTCAGGGTGACTTTTGCATCGCAGTTTACGTCTTTAAGTGTCAATGCATACGTGTTTCTGCGTCCCACGTTGTCTGTGCATCAATTAGTCTACGCATGTTGCTATGCCTGTGTGTTGTCGTGTGTCTGTGGAAAGTAGGCATTAAGTGTACCCATGCTTTTGTGTGCCTTGGGTCTTAGTGTGTGTAAACTAGGCATTGTGTCAATTAGTGTACACATGTTGGTGTGTCCATGTGTGTCTTTGTTGAGGAGGAGCGCTAGTGTAGCGGTTGGCGTGCTGCGCTATGAACTTGGTGACCCGGGTTCGATTCCCGCTCATGGCCAACACCAGTGACGATTATCTGAACCGGTCCTGGGCCTCCCCTAGGTCGACTCAGCCTGAAATGAGTACCTGGTGCGGTGTGTAAACATCGCCACTGGGGAGACTAAGGCGGTCGGGCGTGGTGCTGGCCACCCACCCCCTCGTGTACCGTTCTGGCCTTCATAGGTGCTCGCTAACAGCACTTGTCCCTACAGTCTGTTAAGGCTTCACGGGGGATCTTTGTCTTTGTTGACAAGGCTCGTGGGGAGCGGGTAGTGTAGCGGTTATCGCGCTGCACTATGAACCAGGCCACCCGAGTTTGATTCCCGCTCACGGCCAACACGAGTGACAATTATTTTAACCAGTTCTGGGCCCTCCCTAGGTCGACTCGGCCTGAAATGAGTACCTGGTGTGGTGTGTAAACATCGCCACTAGGGAGACAAAGGCAGTCGGGCGCGGTGTTGTCCACCTATGTCTTCGTGTGCCGTTCCGGCCTTCATAGGTGCTCGCTAACAGCACTTCCCCCAACAATCTGTTAAGGCTATACCGAGGATCTTTGTGTGTAAACTAAGAATATAACAATCCGCATCCCTCTCAGCGATTCAATACATTTTTCCGATTCATGTTCGCGGTTTGATTTGAGGCTTATTATCTCGTATTTTCTGTCCCGCTTGTATTGTCTTCTCGTGTCATTTAGTGTCATTCATGCAAATTGACATTTGCATATACGCTGCATGAATCACAGTTCACACACGTACAAATAAACGTGTGAATAGTTCGCATAATAATTTATTTTAATTGCTGCATCATTAATATCTTAGTATACTGTTAATAAATATATATTAATAAAAATATATTTTCAACATTTTTATGTTAAAAGCTGTGCATGAATATGCCTACCTCATTTATACACGTTTATTAATACACAAGCAGCAGAAGTTATGAAATATGGACGTCTTTTTTTTTTACTTTATTTGATATAACGCGTGCGCGCGCGCGCGCGCATCTGATAATACTTCAAAGGCTGTAACATAAGGGGTAGGAGTTTTCATCCTGCCTTACCTGTGGGAACTTGCCTGTCTGGCCGCAGGTAACCCTGGGTGTCGGACCCAATCAGGACCTGGCTATCCTGCACGAGGTGAGGGATTCCAACACTCGTACGCGCAAGATCCAGGGGGAGCTCCACCGGTTGAAGGCGAAGATTTACGGCCTGGAGGGCGACCTACGGCACGTGTGATCCATCGCTGACGTCATGTGCGCGTTCGTTCGGGGTGCCACGGTGGCGAGACGTTAACTACCTCGCCCTGGTATACAGGAGGTCGTGTGTTCGATCCTGACCCTGACGCCGGCTGTATTTCGAGTTGGTATGTTCTCCCTGTGGTCATTTGGATTTTTTTGTCTGGGCCCTCCAATTTTCCTCCACATATAGAGTTTTTGGTTGCTACAAATGTGCACATAAGCCACTTTGCTGAGCAGTCATTTGTGGCCAGGTCACTTATGAAAAAAAGAGCTTTGTAGCGCGGTGGGCCTGACCTGGTAAAATAAAAAAAATGCAGTTCCTCCCGAGCTTGTCGCGACATGAGCATGCAGGGGATAGCCCTATGCAAGTTGTTGATTTAGTTTCGCCTCATTATTGGCGTGAGTCGGTGTCTGAGTACACACAGTCATCCCCAGTGTCAATAATTCCAAGGGGAATTTGCGGTGAGCCAAAGAAAAGAACATCTCCACGTGTCGTCTTGATTGTGCAAGGTAAACAGCTAGTGGAATAGAAAAGGACTGGCTTTGTTGAGAGATGGTGATCAGTCAGGCCACAGTGCTTGTTGACTTAACTCAAACGCACCTTTTAAGTGCAAGTTTAATTTAGTGGAATCCGATAAAGCCCCTTTTTTCCCACAACATGCTATTTGGATTTGCCTGTTTAGACTTGGGTGAGGATTAAGGCTACTGCTCTGACCCTAAATGCATTCAGATGAGTTGGAACAACACGGTTCTGTTACCAGAAGTGAAGGCTGCAGACATTTGCCATCGATTTTCACCTTGAATATTTGTCCACACGGAATGTTTAGTCATATCTGGAACATGCCCGGTCAACCGTGAAGATTTGCCGGAGAAACAATGCGAGATTTAGTGAGAGAAAAAAATCCCATTTTATGACCAGTATGTGCAAGATGAACAAAAAAAAATTCGAGGTCGGAATATTTAATCAATATTTTTTTGGCCATCTGTGATATAATGAAACTTCAAAAATTTATTTTTTACTTGCGTACAATTATTTTATGATCCCAATGTTTACTTGTTTGTATATTTTGATTGTGTGTGTGTGTATAATAAAAGTGTTAATACAGACCTTGGCAAGGAATGCTTTTTTTTTGCAATGCACCCTGCAGATGACTTGGCATTTTTTACCAATGCACACGCAAGTCTCAGTGCAGGGAAAAGGCAGGAGTTTATTACCAACAAAAAAGCTTTGACGTCAAATTTCTGGTTCCACTGAGGTTGCGATTTACAAAATGTACAAAGGCTTTCGACTGTACCATTTGTTTTGCAAGGCCATCCTGTGTACCAGCATTCACGCTTAAAGGTTGTTGCACGTCACGAGCCGCGTGGTGAGCCAGTTGACGGTGGCCTCGTACAACTGACGAATTGAGTGAGAGAGCTCGGGGGAGCGGGGGGTTGAGATTTTGAAGCAAAGCCGAAAATGTTGTCACTCGTGGATTCAGTCCGAATTTACACATCCTCACAATCACAACATAACAATTCCGCAGAGGTTTAGCGTTACATCGCTAAAGCTAATACAGTGTGTACGTTTCCTCGCAACACAACACATTTGCAAACTTAAAAAGGTCGACATTTATAGACATTGTCAGGCTGTTTGGGGAAAAAACAGTCCACAGTAAAATACAAAACATTAACAGCCTTAACACTGAAATTGCAATATACCTTTTCTGGGCAAACTTTGATCAAGCATGCAGCTTTTTTTTTATATAGTTTTTTTTTATAATATATTCTATATACTTTTCATTTTTAAATAACACTTCTGCCTTTGGGTCAAAAAAATGTCATTCAAGCCATCATCAAGTGAGCAGAGTGATTATGCTAACAAAACACCGGCCGTTATTTACGAATACAGTATCATAAAAGCACATATCGGCATGTGGATTCAACACGTATTCTAGGGGATAGATATTGCACATTCAAGCAACAATAAGGTCTTCACCTCATTAGCACATCACAATATTAAGTCGACGAGTGCATGTACTGTGTAACCTGTAGCAAAAATCGGCAGTTCTACGGTTGGGGATTACGAAGCACATAACGTGTTTATATATCGAAGGCTATTTGTCTACAATGTACAATCATTTCGAGTCAAACATTGACAATCACTGAATTTGAAACTTAAAAAAAGGATGCTGGTATGCAATGTCTTCTCTTTCCTGACATGCCTTACAGGTATTTAACTGCTTAACGATGCTGAATGTCTATTGATGAAAGCGATTTTTGTACAATGCACAGATTTGTCAGCTTTGACTCAGCCTGCTGAGGTCCACATTCTTAATACTACAGTACAACTGAATGCGTTTTTTGCATGTTAGAATACCAGCCTCTTAAATAGCTTCAACTGGAACATTTGCCAACAGCAGATTGTCCTTAAGCTTGAGCTCCTCCTTCGCCGCCAGCCCGTCACCGTCACAACCACAATCAATCACCGTCATTTCCACCGTCGGAATCGATCACCACCAAACTGCTCATTTTAAGAACTACTGGACGAACGGAACAACACTGGCAGGTTTTCTTTGTCGATCTTTGAGAAAGTAACCACCGGGTACTTGGGTTCGCCAATATCCCCAATTCGCAACACTCACACTTTTCAGTACCCACAGCGTGAAGTGATCAAGTCAGTTTCTGATGTTTGCCTATTTACATAATTCACAATAAAATGCAAGGTTCAATGTACACGTGTGTTGTTTGTTTTTTGTTGTCAAAGATCATATACAGTAATAAATTTTGAATGTTTGGTAACCAAAGTGAAGTCACTGCCGGGCATGTGTGAAAAAGCGTTTCATAGCTCATCGGATTTCTTCCAGTATAAATAAATATTCTGATTCTGATCATTAAGGTCGGCAGAGTGGCACAACCTCAATTGATTGATGTTCGGTAATCGAGTCACAGCTCATGATGGCTAAACTCTGAAAAAGAGGAACAGTCAACACCTGCAGTTATTAACTTACATTCAAGAGCTGTTGGCCATTCATTTTGATGTGGGTCTTTTTTTTTCAAACATCTTAAAATTTCACAACCGTGGTCCTCATCTGTGGTATACTCAGAGATTAACAAACATGGCACAGCCCCTGTGTCTACTGCAGCAAGGTGGGAAGCTGGTTACCACCAATCGTGATCACCATTCTCATCCACAAACGTGCACAATAACAACAACGATTGGAGAGGGGGGGGGCGCTGGGGCAGTCTGCAGGCGGGCTTCCTTTTTTTCGATCATCTCCAACATACAACGCACGTACAACCGCCGTTCCTCACTCTACCGTAAAACTCTTGTGGGTCTGCATAATATTGCCATGTGCTGGGAAACACATCGCTGGCAACTTGTGCAAGCATGTGCATAGCTAGCTCTCCCTCGGCCTTGGAATAACCACACCCTGTCACCGCTACGTAGCCGCAGCCACAGCACTCGAGTGCCCGCCCGGGCAACGCCGATAAGGGGTAAAGGGTTAACGAACAAAAAGAAACGTGACGGGCTGTGTAATTCGTAACATTTGCGGTTGCGGATGGACCGCTTACCCATTGCTACGAGGTCGTCTGTTATTTAATGCATCGGCGCTGTTCCCACGTGGCTTTCCCCACGGCCGCAAGTGGACATCATCGCCTCGGCTTTTGCACTTCGAGACATCGCAGAGGGTTGTCGAAAAATATATATAACACAGACCACCCCCCCGCTCCCAAAAATCGGTGTGGCCAGGTCACGGCAAGGTAAGCGGGTGTGACCGAGCGTTCGTACATTGCCAGCGACGTGACAAGACGTGACGGCATGCATACACCTGGCGCGCTCCTCTGCAGGAATCAGTAAGCTCGGCATTGTATTCTTGTTTTTGAGATTTCTCACTAAAGCTGCCACTGTTCGGTGGACGTCCGCCCCTTGCTTTGTCAATCCAGTGATGGATGAGGGATTTCCCCACGAGCTTCATGAGCCACGAAGGGCATTTGACCAAACTCAAACTGGCTGGTCAGTGTGGATGTGGAGATAGGGGGAAGTACAGAATAATCGGTTTTGTTTTCTGCACTGGCCTCTACTGCACCCAACGCTGATCGCAACTTTCTTTGGGGCGAGGGGTCATCCATCTGAGCACCATTGGTGGCTCAACACCATTTGGCTTCCGAGATCTGACGAGAAAATTGTGCATTCTTGGTGATTTGGTTATAATCGGCAGCATTAATTTAACTCCCCCCCCCCTACCTCCACCCCCAAAGAAAATGAACCCGACGCTGCCGAAACATTGCATCTGCGTGTTCATCTCTCGACAAATCGCCAGCCTGCCTCGCCCCAACCCCAGCCCACCAGCCCCCCCCGAACCTTCTCACACGTCGGTGCTGATGCTGCCCGACGGCGCCTTGGCTTTGGGCACGGCGGGCACCTGCGGCGGAGTGCCGGGCGTGGTGTGCGGCGGTGGCGCGGAGTGCGCGGTGTGCAGGTGGACGTGCCCCAGCGCGGCGTGCTGGCACGGGTGCAGGTGCGGGTGCGAGCACGTGTGGTGCGCGTGTGCGTGCGGTGGCGGCGGCGGCGGCGGTGGCAGCTGGGGTTGAGGAGGAGGCAGAGACGCGGCGGTAGCTGGCGCCGGGTAGTATGGGTCGCCCGCTGCATGCGCTAGGGCCTGCACGGTGGAGACCCCCGCGGAGGGGGCTCGCGTGCCCCCCGCGGGAGGGCCCCCCGCGGCGGCGCCCTTGCCCCTCATGCTGCTGAAGAGCGAGCCCAGGAAGGAGCTGGAGCTGGAGATGGGCTGAGTCAACGTGGCCGAGGTCGGCGTCTCGTCCGCTGTGGCAGCCACCCGCTTGCGCATGTGAGGGCTGCCCATCATTGAACCCTGTTGGGAACGACAGGCGGGATATTCGCTGGGTTTTCGTAATGAAGCAGCAGCAATAACTTGAGTTGTTAGAGTGAAAATGTCCCTTCTGCGTAGGTTTTCACAGACGTGATTTAAACGAGAATTACGACTCTGAACTGCGACAACCACGAATCGTGACTGGCGGGGGCCGGATGGGGTTAATTTCTCCAAGTCTGAATGCAATTTTTTTTAAATTATCTCCAGGAAGTTAAGTCTGGACCTCAAACTGCCTCGAGTTAATTTCCAGTGAACCCAGTGGCAGGCAGCAGCACTCGCGGACAGATGGGCCACGGTTCAAGTCTGCCCTGGATGTGGGATTAGTATGCAGCAGCAGCAGCAGCAGCAACAGCAGCTCCTGGCAACATACAGCTGTTATGATGCACCACGCGCGCACATACCGTACCTCCATTGTGCTGTCCAGGGATCCTGCACTGCTCCGTCTGCCTCTCTTTCCTGAGAGGCCAAAGAGAGAGAGAGAGAGAATTTGACGGGTGAATTCTGCTGTGGAGGGCCTACGGAGGCCGTAAAAATGCACCGAGGCTGCAGTGCAACTAATGAAACCGCAATGCGAGCCAGTGATTTCATTATAAATTCGTTTGCCTCTCAAACCAATTTTATCCCAAATTGTGATATTTGTCTCGCATCGCAATACGAAGCTTCCTATTTGTAAATTTCACAGATAAGGGCATTACCCCGTGTTAGAAAACGATCCGTGGAAGGTAATATCACAGAACTGCTTCTGAGATTTTCCTTCCAGTGACCTCCGCTCTACACATTCGGGGGCAGCACTTTCCCATCCGCCCTCTCCTAATGAGATACATGTTGTATCGCATGACAGTCAATCCAATGTCTTTTAATTCGCAGAGATTAAGTGCAAGACCAAAACATATATGGAGCTCAGTGGTAGAGTGAGCAGTCTGCAATCAAAATGTTGCGATTTCAAATCCTGGTTGGGGGTTGGCTCAGACCAATCATCCCTCCAGAGTCAATAAATTGTAACCACTTTGTGGGAAAGTCAACAATGGTGGTCCTATAGATAGACTCGTCCCCCCCCCCTCTGCCAAGAGATATTGGCATTTTCACCACTGGTTCCGCAGGGCTGTAAACAGGAGGTGAGCACCACCTCCAATAAATAATTTTGACCAAAAAAAATGCTGTCATTGGGGACCAAGTTGAAACCATCGACTCACGACACCTGCGAATATTGCTTAACCATGGCCGGCTGCCAGGCTCGAACCCAGGATCTTAGCAGTGCGAATCAAGCACTTTGACATCCTGACGACTCAACCACCTTGCAAGCCGGTACGTTGTTTAAAAATCAATCAATATTTAAAGTGCCCTACGAGCGACGTTTTTATTTATGAAATCGTATGACAAGACAATGAGCAACATTAAATGAATCCACAGCAACACCACGATGGTCAATACTTAATGAATTCTGCAATGGGCTGTTTGACCACAAGCATGAAACGCCAAAGCTGTGGAATTCCCACGCTCCGGACGAGACATTACGAAAACCGCCGGCGCTTCGTTGCGAACAGAAAACACACCGTGCCAACACGTGCAACATAAAGGTGAAGCGAAAAGGCAAAGGCGCAGCCCTGCGATGTCTTACTCACGCCACTGCTTATGGAGGGGGCCTCCAACTGGAGGGTAGTCGAGAGAACCTCCCACCCCCCTTTAAAGAGATCTTTGGCCAGATGTGGGAGCGCACACAAGTAATCCCACCACACGTGGACCTGCCGATGTAGCGAATTGTTGCGGTTGCGCCCATTTACGCTGCCGGGGTGGACCGTGGCGGAGAAGGGATTTAGTGAAATTAAACATTCTCCATAATAGAGATTTCTTGGTAAGATCGCCTAAATAGAAATGTGTCAGTTTAACATGTAGTAGGCTTTCGCGACCAATGTCATCCATGATAAAGTTTTTTTTGGGTTATATCGCATAAATACATAAATGTGTCATTCTGTTTACGTGACAAACCTTACTAATTGGCTGTGTCGAGTGGTGGCTGGTTTAACGACACATTTATATATTTACACAATCTAACCCAAAAACCTGTCACATAAAAGAAACATGACAATTTGTTAGTCGTTCAGCTCGGTTTAACGACGCATTTATATTTACGCGATATAACCCAAAAACCTCTATTATGGATAATATTGGTCGCGAAAGCTGACGTGTTAAAAATACACATTATGATGATGATGATAATAATGTCGTATTTATAGCGTGCACAATTCATGCAGAGGGTTGCTAACACAAGTCAGAAGCGCAGAACTGCAGCACCGGGATTGCAAGCATACTGGACATCTGTGAGAAAGAGTTTTAGAGCTCATCGGATTCCTCCAGTAGAAATGGAGATTCTAATTCTGAAGTGCAGTGCATTAACCATTATACCACGGCAGCATCCCTAGCAATGTATACACAGTCATAAAGAGAGTGCCAACTGGAGTATCCACTCTGTTAACTTCTGTAGTATAAAGTACAAAACTTGAACACTCCCAATTGTCAGATTATAAATGCCTGCCGTGTACAGAAGGGAGCGCACCGCTATGCCTTTAATTTTATATATATAAAAAAATACATTCATGACAAAATAAATAAGTTAATTATTTGCTGAATGCAGCAGTGAACTACAGTCAGGTTTCATAAAATTACACAATATTTTTGGCTAAAGATTACAAAATAATTGTTTAAACACCCCATGGTGAAGCGATACGTTTCCCAATTAACTTTCCACACCTCTGTGTATTCCATATTCACCTTCAAAGCGATGCACTCGGTAGCCTTGTGTGAAATTAATAGGCAAATTTAGCGCCTTGCTCACTGGGTTTTCATTCTAGCTTGCGTTCCTCATTTAATTTTAGCCTCCCTCAATCAATCAAGATTTGTCTAAATCGGGGCTTCTCAACCATGGGTGGGTGAACCCCGAGGAAGGCTGCACGCATATGTAGGGCTCTGAAAAAGTCAAATGAGTCTCTAGTGAGCCGGAGAAGTGGTAAGTGGTTCATGTAGGCAAAAGGGTGTCCGTGATAGAAACACCCACGACCAGCATCACAACCCACGCTCGAGCACGCTCTGATAATCTGGCTGTTTAACAAGTGGCATAATCATGAATGTGGCCGAGCAAGTAGGTTTTCGCTGCCACAAGTAATCCGAGTGTGCGGCCTTCCGGTTTCGGCCACGTGTTGACCATTTATTCTCTCAAGCTTTCGGCACGCGCTCCTGCCGGAGTTCGAGCGCCTGTAGTGGTGCGTGGGTAAATGTGGTCCCTTTTAAAGGTAATAGGATTTCTGCTGACACTGAAGAGATGCCCGGTTTCGTAAAGGGTGAATATCGCGACAATACAGGGCCCTAATTCTAGATTTGAGCACTCCGTGCTGTCTTTGAGCCCCGCCCCCCTCCCTCCCGATACGTTTCCATTCATTGGCTACCACATTCTGATGAGCTCCCCCCCCCCTCTCCTCCCCTTCAACTTGCTTATAAGGGATTACATCTTGAATCATTGCCTCACTTGATGCAGCTAATTCGGCTGTGACGGTCCCACCTGATGACGGAGACTTGTGTTGCCTCCGAAACGTCGTGATTTTTGTTTTATTTTATTTTCATTAATTTTGATGTTTTACCTACGTGACTTTACCGAAAAAAACCTAAGAATACAATACAGGGCCCTGTTTGTCAACCCACAGCTGCACGGCGGCCCCCTGCACCGTGCGGGCTCCTGGAGGTTGTTTGACTACTGCTGCGTCACGCTGGTCAGGCCTGCACTGGTGAATGAGGGCAGCATAGATGTCTGAGCATCGTACACTGGATCGTGCTGTATTGCCCTGTGCTGACAATGACTGCGTCTGCCAACAACGTCTTTTTGTGTGCAAGGTGGCTACCAATCCAGCCACTATCCAGGGTCGGCCCAGCTGAGCTTATGATCAGGTGCAATCTCGGTGATTTTATCATAGGCACACTTTGCATATATTAATACAATTTTAGCAATTCCATTTATTTAGTCGGGACATCTTCACTGAATTTCAAGACTCTATTTATTACACGCTTTTATATTAATTCACTCTGTCTGTTGTTGTTGTCGTATCCTCAATTTTTACCCACTTCCCAATGTGGTATCGACTGAAAACTTGGTATACTTATATCATACTGATGACAATACTTAATTTTATAATAAAAAAATGAAAAACATATATTTAAAAGAGGAATTTTTTATATGTTATGTTTCGGCTTGGCTCTAATTGTCCACGCTCAACTGACGTTGGCTGTAAATGACCACGTTCCCTTACGTCATGGCAAGCTTCGGGGCCACTTCCTAGAGTCGTGGAGTTCTTCCATTGCTAGTACGGTACATTTCATTAAAGCGTGTTTACATTATTTTTAAATATTACTTATTGTTGCAGGAGAATCCTGCACGATTGGGTTGACGGGCGAGTTCCGTTTCAGCATTTTAGGAGCTCCATAATAAAACCTCCCCTAATTAATTTGCTCAATCATAATCCAACTGATGCCTGGCACACATGAGCGAGTGAAATATCGGTTCATGAGAAAGCTGCGTTGCTGCCACAGCAAGAAGAGCAGACTCAAAAAGCAGGGCTGGAAAGAACACAGGGTGGAGGAGCGGTGGCGCAGTGGTTAGGGCACTGCGTTATTACACCCCCCGCCCCCCGCCGGCACCCAGGTTCGATTCCCGACCACGGCATTCATCATCAGCGAGCGATGAGATCTTCACCGAACAGCATTGACCAGCGTGGTGAAGTACGGTCAAACGAGCTCCCGACGACCAACACGGTGTCAGGAGGCCCTCCTCGTCCAGCAGTGGATTGACACAAATTGTTGCGTGTTAAAAATAACAATTACAAAATAAATAAATAAAAACGCAACCGAAAGCGTCGTCAAGCGAAGAAGCCAATGAAGCGGAGAAGCCAGGGCAGCAGGGAAGGAGGTGTTTCTCTTAGTCGTATTTGGTGTCAACCTGCTTCCGAGAGATCTCGCAAAGAGCTGCTCAGCGCGCTCCTCTTCAGCACCTCGCTGGAAGCGTAGCTGTCGTCCAGACTCGCTCGCGGCACGCTGCCGTTGGCCGGCGGCTCCTTGACGGCGCTGGGACCCTGAGACGGCGGCGGCGGCCGCACTATGCCCTTCTGCTTGTCCAGCTCAGCTGCAACAAAGACAAAGTTGCTCTTGTATAGCCGACGGAGACTGCAGCAGTGCGCACAGGGGGCTTCAACACACACAAAGATCAAAGATCCCCCGTATAGCCTTGACAGACTGTAGGGGCAAGTGCTGTTAGCGAGCACCTATGAAGGCCGGAACGGTACACGAACGTGGAGGTGGGTGGCCGGCACCACGCCCGACCGCCTTTGTCTCCCCAGTGGCGATGTTTACACACCGCACCAGGTACTCATTTAAGGCTGAGTCGACCTAGGGGAGGCCCGGGACCGGTTCAGATAATCGTCACTGGTGTTAGCCGTGAGCGGGAATCGAACCCGGGTCGCCAGGTTCATAGCGCAGCGCGCTAACCGCTACACTACCGCTCCCCACACACACACGCACGCACAAACACATACGTGCATACATAATCACGAGGACAAAGATTGCACCCTTTCCCATTCCGATGACGTACGCGTACGTCGTAAAATTTTCTTCCGATTCCGTTACGATGACGTACTAAATATAATATACATTTATCGGTACGTCTTCCGACCTGAGGACATACTGAGGCTCCCACAAGGCCATGCGGGAGGGCGTGTGGCACAGTTTGGTGCCAGCTATCATAGAGTGCTCCAGTTCTCTGCGGTGAGTGCAATGTCTTTAAAAACAAAGGCGCGATGCCTCTCTCAATGAAATTAACGGTGACCCGCTTGCGCGTTCTGAGTCTCAATTTGCAGACACCTCGGAAACGGTGAAGGGTTAAGCACGGTGAAGATGTGGCGTTCACGTCATCGAGCACGAGGCGCTATGTTGCATAACAAACGAAGGTCACTCACACTCAATGCGGATCTTTTCCATTTCTTGCACCTCCGCGATCGATTCGCGGAGGTCATCGACAAACTTCTTGCGGTCGGTTGGGTTGGGAGCATTGAAAACCATCAGCACCTTGGTGTCAGCACCAGGGACGGCGGAGACAATTTTAATTCCGTTAGGGTAATCTGAAAAACAAATGATATTACAATAAAAAGACACATTTGGCATCCACGTCACTGGAAGCTATGAATGGATAGCTCCACATTCTATAAACACTGGTCAAGCAGAATGACAAATTGAGTTTATAAAGCATTTACATGTGATCGCATCTCCAGACACTGTAGAAAAATAGTGGGCATATTTGTTTCATAGAGAGAGGCAGATAGTCGGAGGTAGAATAGAAAAATAAAAGTTTGCAGCCTGAACTTGCACAGGTGGCCAGGGAGTCAACAATACGGATAGATTGGGAAAAGGTGTTCCAGACTATGGGCACAGCAGAGAAGAATGAGCGACGTCCCACTGAGCGAAGGTTAACTTGGGGGGCTTCGACAAAGGACCTTGACTGCTGGAATAGAAATTGTGTGGAGGGGTAGTAGAGAAAGGTGAGATGGGAGAAGAGTGCATGGAGCTGGGAAGAAGTGAGATGAGAGGCAAGAAGTATGCAGGGGTGAGCCCTGCCTATAGAGGATCTTCAAGACGGCGAGGGCAATCTCTAAATTGATCTGGGATTGAATCACCGTTACTTAAATGGCAATGTCACAATTGCCATCAGCGTTACTGACGTCTTGCCAAGATGCATTTCTGGCAGCTTGGCGCGGGAATGTCTGACTGAAGACGGTGTTCTGGGACGAGACACTTTAGTAATTGCTCGTAATTCTCTTGACGTATGTCCGGCTCAACTCTGCTACACAGCGTCCATGCATTTATCGTAAACAATGTCCCAGCACCTTTAAGGACCACGCACGTGATTAGAGAGATTATATACCCTCTGCATTTTATTGTGAGCCGGGGGAGAGTGTGATTGCTGGGCCAGAGAACCTCCTAGTCTAATTTCAATGTAAGATGCAAATACAGTCATTAAGTAAGGCATGCATAACGATTGTTGCTTATGCTGAGAGCTGTTTGGAATATCCACATTTAAAATTGCTCCGAATGAAAGTATGCATGTGCGTATTGCATTATTCATACCAACTCGTTCAAGTTTTTCATTGGTGTATATATATTACCTGCTATGTCACGTGGATCAGAAACGTGGACTAAATTGTTAGAACTCAATGTGAAAAGTGCGAAAATAAGCGTGGAGTCGGTGCACGTCTGGAATTACGTTGAGGGACAGGGACAGGAACGCGTGGATCAGAGAGTGTGCACGAGTAAGAGAGAGAGACACCACATCAACTTCAGGCAAGTGAGTTGCGCTCGAACAGGACAGCCGAGAGAAGGGACCACAGTCGGGTTTCGCGACGAATCAAATCACAGTTGCAAGTCGGTGTTGCAAATATAGCTTGAGTGGACATCATTGGCGACTCGGCTGAGACCACCAACTCGCTACACTTAAGAATCCGTTTTTTTTTATAATGGACGGCTGAGACCCATTTTCAAAACCAGGATCTCAGCAATGCCACCACATTGTCTTGCCTCCAATCCACCCAGACGCCTGATAAATGTCGTGCTCTTAAAAATTAAAACAATAGGGTAACAGCAGCCCAATTCAATGCACGATGCTCAGTAATTTCGTACGTTAGGAGAGTGTCTGCGCGAAGTTCGCTGGCTGGGACGAACAAATTATCCTTATGGCGGTACCCCGGGGTTCTAAATAATAAAAAATGGCCGAGGCAATTAAATAATTTTCTTCTGGGACACCATTATTTTCCAGGGGTGTTACTTAACTCCGCGACTGGGGTACCAATCAATCCGAAATCGGTGCTTCTCCACGATGTCGAAACGCCAAACATTAGCATAAAAAAATACGTTATCGAACTTTGAATAGTGCATCGTGCACAGCTCGTCGAGACGAGTCGATTGCCGCATCGCCGACCATCAACAGACTAAAAATGACTGCATCACGGACATGATGCGAGAGCCGGGGTACTATGGTACCCCGGGGTACCGCCATAAGGTTCATATAGCCAAGCGTGCTTTGCTGTAAAGAGACTCACACTGATTCTCAAAGAGGAGGACTTGCATCCCGTACAGAGAGAAGGATTGCCGGAAACTGTAGGTCACTGAATTCTTCTTTTTCTGGAAGATTTTGGTCACCTGTGGGAGCACATTGGTGTCAGAAAACTACCACTGACTCTTTTTGTTGAAAGATCATTGCAGAGCCAAAGCGTAGCACAAGAAACGAGCGGGAACGCCATGAATTAAGGAAAACAATGATTCCGCTTCCTTACACGCAAGTTATTTTTTGATGTGGTGTGAATTTCACTTGAAGTGCACACACGCGTTTTTGTTCAATCGCTGGGTTATGGTTAGTCAGTTGAACACGCAGTAGTAGGAGGCTTTATCCATAATTGTTGGGTTAGATTGCATAAATATAAATGTGTCGTTAAACCCGCCACCACCCGACACAGCCAATTAGTAAGGTTTGTCACGTAAACAAAACATGCCAATTCGTTACTGGTTCAGCACACCGGTGTGTTGGAGAGTAAACCCACAACATTTACAATTCGTAACGATTTGTAAACGTAATGATGAAGTGACGAATGGGCATATTTTATTTACATGACAAACCTTACTATTTGGCTGTGTCGAGTGGTAGCAGGTTTAACGACACATTAATAGTGACGCGATCTAACCTAAAAACCTATATTCTGGGTTGTGGTTGCTTGCCAAAAAACAGAAGCATGATATAATTACATTTTTCTCATTAGCAGCACTCTACCATTAAATTATTTAAAGAGAGGTTCCTATCGGCCCCATACCACGATTAACATTCGGGTTTCCTGTTTCCACCTGTCCTGGTTTTCCCAGGAGGCAGCCGTGCTAGGAAATCACGTGAGTTCTCCCAGCACGTTAAAGGTCCCAGTTTTTATCGGTTGCACAATAGTTCACCACTCAAGGAAATCCAGTGCATTTACACGTAGCTCTCTCCCCTCTTCTAGGGATTGTGAGACATTCCTCGTATTCTTCCCATGATATGTCCTGGTTTTTGTACTTTACAGGTAGTAACCCTGATTGATGTATCTGTGCCAAAGGATGATGGTGTCTGACGCAATTTAGTTATGCAATTCACTTTCATTGTATTCTTTACGGATAGCAGAACCCCTCTTAACGACGGCAATTGTTTCCACGAAAACGGTCGTTAAGTGGTTTGGTCGTTAAGCGAGTAGATGTTTGCGCTTCAAAGAGCAGCAGTCGCTGGACGTGAAAAATGCCCCAAAGCTCATGAATGGACATCACTGATTGGCCGAGGCTTGTCCGGTCACTTTGGAGCACGCCGATTGGCCGAAATTCGTGCCCGCGTGCTCGTCGTAAGCCCGTCGTTAACAGGGTAATAATGGTCGGTAAGCAAACACATTGGGCTCTATGGAGGCCCTTCGTTAAACTACTAGTCGTTAATAGGGGTGGTCGTTAAGAGGGGCTCGACTGTAGTTGTTAGAAACTATTATACGCAACACTATTGGCCCTGCATGACAAATTCGTCCAAAGTCTTCCTCTGTGTGGCCGGAGAGGGATTTGCGAGAGCGACCGGGAGCTAGGACCACTTCGGTCCCACCGGCAGCGCGGCTCTCACCACGAGGAAGTCGTTGAAGAGGAAAATCTCCCGCTGGTGAAGGCCGAGTTTCTGCGGCCGGTTGGTGTCGGGCACCTCGAAAAGGCGACAGTAGCAGACCAGCCTACGATGGGGCAATGCCAAGACCTGCAACGCACGACACAGCGACATTGTTTTGCGTACGCCAAGGAAACCCTCCGCCTCGTGCATGCTGGGAATTACTCCGAAAGAGGAACACACGGATCGGAGAAATAAACACAAATGAGAAATATTATAATTACCGTGAACAAAAGTAGAGAAGAACCCGTCTTAACGAGCACCCCTGTTAACGACGGACCTCCATAGAGACCAATGTGTAGTGTATAGTAGTGTAGTATATAGTGTAGTGTATAGTAGTGTAGTGTATAGTAGTGTAGTGTATACTGTAGTGTATAGTGTAGTGTATAGTGTAGTGTATAGTAGTGTAGTTTATAGTGTAGTGTATAGTAGTGTATAGTGTAGTGTATAGTAGTGTATAGTAGTGTAGTGTATAGTAGTGTATAGTGTAGTGTATAGTAGTGTAGTGTATAGTAGTGTAGTGTATAGTGTAGTGTATAGTAGTGTATAGTGTAGTGTATAGTAGTGTATAGTAGTGTAGTGTATAGTGTAGTGTATAGTAGTGTAGTGTATAGTAGTGTATAGTAGTGTAGTGTATAGTGTAGTGTAGTGCCTCCATAGGGCTTAGCAACCATTCCCCAACCATTCCCCTGTTAACGACGAGCTGTTGTAGGTACTGTACACTAAATCTTAATTAATTCATTGATTAACCATGTTTCTTTTAATGTTATGTGTTTATAATGTTGTTAGTATGTGTTTGATTTATTGATTATTATCAATTATATAATTGATTTATTTTCATTTATTATTATTTTATTTCTATTATTCGTTTTTACCTACGTGACTTTACCGAAAAAACCTAAGAGTATGAATCCTTGCAGTCACGACAGCTTCAAATCTATAAGAATGTGTATGTATTAATATCCATTGTCGGAATGGAGTCTGATGGGCGAGACTAGTGCGGTTGGCTACGTACGGTGCGAAAGGCGTTTGACGTACATACAACGGAGCGGCAGTCAAAGGGAGGGGGAAAGAAACACGCCTGAGAGGCCGACCTCGTCACGGGAAGTGAACGATGAGATCGGCTGACGTGCAGGAAAAAATACGACTCGGTGGCAACGTAAGACCATGGGAAATGAGAATGGGGTGGAAGGCCCTTCGTGCAGCAATGGGTAGAGCAATGGCTGATGATGATAATGCAACTCATGCTGCTCCCGTTCCAATAATAAACGCCAACCCCCCATTTTCAATAACATGCAATTTAAAACACACCGCGCATTAACCAATCAATGAAATAAATCATGCGTGAGTAAAATATGCAACATTTGGATCCAACGTAATTTAAAATCTGGCCAATGTAATTACTACTTGTGAATGCATAGGGGCCTCGTGTGGTCCAGAATGTCAGATCAAATTATACCTAAGCCCAAGAATTCTTAGCAATTACGTGGCATAATATTTTCTGCGTGCTCGGTAAATATAACTGGACGAGGGGAAAACTGAATTGAGGGCTTCCGTAGGTCTGTTACTGAACGAATATTCTCTGATTAATCTCATACCATTTCCGAGGTCAGCCTAGGGAACGGTAGAAAATGCTAATATCTCTTCAGCTATAAAGCGCATTGTCATTTGGATCAAGCGATGTATGCCACATATGCCCTGTCCTGTAAGCATTGCAGAAATCTTCAAAGAAATTGGATGAAACATTTTGTTCTCCATCATTACACGAGCCGATAATTCTACTTTTTGCTGTGTCCTGGAAAAATCATGTCCATCTGTCCATCAATCTGTTTCGTCTGTCCATTTGTCCATTCGTATCTGTCCGTTCAAGGACACTTAGCACATTTTCGCAAAAACACCTTTAACCGTTCGATATGAGACTCATCGCAACAGCTTCCCAACACCAATGCCCAGATGTGCGTGGTTTGTAGGCAAGATTGCCGTCAAATACCACCCCAAAAAACAAAAAATTGCTTAAATGAAAGAATGACAGGCACACGCACGTCACAACACGTAGACACAAGGGCATAAGCAGGTGTGCCAAATGCGTGCGTCCGATAAAAAAAATGGTAATGTTTTCACAATGCACGCCACATCGAATGGTACACACTTGAGAGTTATTTCTATTGTAAGCCCACTGTTGGCCAAGTGTACGTTAATGTACTGTTGTGGCGAATGAAGCAAACAAAACTGTGCCAATGAGGCAGGAAAGAAGGGAAGAAATACAAACGAGATGGTAAAAATGAACCGAATGAAAATCGATTCCTGAATGAAATACCTCGTTTGTTAGTTGTGCAATATTCCTTAAGGACCGCAGGGTTCGTTCCCTTCAACCTCGATGTTGTTGTCTTTGTTTAGTTGTTGTTGCTGTGCTCACGCAGCACCACGGATCTCCCGTGTAAAATAGTCGGGACAAACTGGCTAAACGGGACCACCATCATCATCATTCGCGTAAAAAAACCAAATTAACTTAAAGCATGACCCAGAATTTTCACAACGCATTCAATCAACGGGCAGGGGAAGGCTGGATTGTTGCATGCTGAGTCTGTATGTGCCCTTGCGTGTATTCATTCTGCACGGTCGAGTCCAAAAATCTAAACCTGAGTTTCCTTAATGGACTTGGTGGGGGTGGGATGCTATCACGGGTGTAATGTCTAGCACACTGCTCTTGAAATCCATGCCTGGCTTCAACCTCACAAAGCGCCAGCGGGTTCGGTTGAACCGCTCCAGGTGTGACGGGGGAGGGGCAAGGTGTGTGTGCTGTTTCAGAACATCGATGGGGCGTACTGCGTGACAACCCCGCCGTGTGAATCCACGTGGAGCCAGGAGACCGTGGCCCATGCGTCAGGGCGTGCCGGGCGGACTGGTTGTTGTTGTTGTTGCTGCCCTGCATGTGCTGGAGGAGGCTGTCACGTGGTTACGTGGGGCTAATGTCCACCGACATATATACGTAAAACATTGTCAAAACCTTGATTTATTTGTCTTGCATATTCAGCGCTCCAACTGGATGGCAAGTCACGTGCGAAAGCGCGTCTCGAAATCAACTTGAAATCCAAAGGTCAAGTTTTCGATCGCCTGGTGCCACAGAGCTGCGTCCACCAGGCAGTTTAAATGGGTACGCAACAGTGAGTCGATCGGAAAGGTCGTGTGAGGTGGCGTAACGTGTTGGGTGTTCCTACCCCTTCCAAAGATGCCTGGACAGCGTGGACCAGTAGGCAAAAAAACACCATCTACTCTCCAGAGTTCCTTGTATGTACGTTGAACTTCTTTCGCACCGTACGCGGCCAACCGCGCTAATCGGAGGTGCGGGGGAAGGATAGCACACTAAACACGAAACACAGTTCGAAAGAAATAAGTTTTCAATCGAGATGTTTTAAAAGTGCATGGCTCCAGTGGCTTCCTAATATCGGAAGGAAGAGCATTCCAGACGGCCGCAGAAGCGCATCTGAAAGCGCGTGATGCGGTGACCTTCTTTAGCGGAGGCCATTCCGCCAGCAGTGGAGTGAGCAAGTGGTTACAAAGTTGCATGCACCTTTACGTTGACCCAACAGACTAGATTTCCGGTTTGTTTATTTTTTTTTGCCACAAAATTCTACGGAAAAATGTTTGTCCCGACACCGCGCCCCAACCCTCGGTCGTCCTGTGATCGCGGTGGAGCTCCGCGATGGAGTCTGAAGACCCGTGCTGTGCGCCCCGCTGTGCGCGTGGCAATTTAATTCTGCGATGAAACGAACGCTCCTTCGACCACCAACCCACACCCACCACCCACCACCCCCTCTCTCGCCTCCCCCCCCCCCAACGCCTGGGATTATAAATCTCAAATTGGAGCCGGAATGCATTAGGAGTATCGCAGGGCCATTAGCGTATTGGTGAGGGGATTAAGTTGACTCGCGTGCAAAGGGGCTTAAATGCGCACACATTCGCGTGCACAAAAACTCATACGTGCGTATAATAATAATAGTATACACGGAGACAGCCCTCTGGGCAAGGGTTATTAGCAAGAACCAGCACCATGCCGTGGCCACCTTTGCACGCAGCACTACATATTCCCATGCAGCCGTGACTAGACTGTTGGGGCAAGTGCTGTTAGCGAGCACCTATTAAGGCCAGATTGGTGCATCGTGTGATGGTGTGGCCGGTACTACGCGCAGCTGCCGTTGTCTCCTCGCTCCCCCCAATTGCTGAGGTTTACACATCGCAGCAGGCACTCATTTAAGGCTCAGTCGACCTAGGGGAGGCCCAGGACCATTTCAGATATGTATGTATACGCATACACGCAGCCATACACACAAAAGACAAGCAACAAAAACAACTGCCGGTTGCCACTAAGTGGCAGTGATGTCAGTGCACGTTTGAGGCCACATGAAAAGTGGATGGCTCGCTGGCAGGTCATGGGACAGACCCAGGTGTTATGGGTTAACTGATTGAGATGACCGACAGACACAAGCGCATACAAATACAAAGATTCCCCGTATAGCCTTAACAGACTTACGGCCAAGTGCTGGTAGCGAGCACCTATGATGAATCTGGCCCAGCACACGATGGCGTGGCTGACCAGCACCAAGCCCGGCCGCCTTTGTCTCCCTCGTGGCAATGTTTACGCATCCCACCAGGTACTCAATTTAGGCTGAGTTGACCCAGGGGAGGCCCAGGGCCGGGTCACAAAAGAGCCGTTGGTGTTGGCTGTGAGCAGGAATCAAACTCGGGTCGCCAGGTTCGCACATGCAGTCGTCTCACCGGCTTTTTGCCCACAATGGACTTCTCCACCTTGGCCACCTGTGACACGTGGTCCTCGTTGGTCTTGAGCTCCTTCTTGGAGATGCGGTCGTAGATGCTGAGCAGCATCTCCCGTGGAATGTCCTTGCCATCGTCCACGCCTGGATGTGCGCCGCCAGAACGATACAATTAGCACCCCTCAAAAGGTCGTCGGTTCGACTGGTCGTTTTCGTACTCTCGAACTTAAACATGTGAGCATGCAGTGACCCGTGTAAGGCTGTACGGCACAATGAACTGTCGCACATTGGGTCAGGTCTGATCAATATAGGTCCGGACGAGTGTTTTTTTTACACAGTTGCTGAGCACAGGTCCAAAGGCCCAAGCTGTCAAGCGGCTAGCAACAAGCTGCACTATCAAAGTTGCCGTACATAACGATGAACACGTGTCTTGAATTGAGCAAGGTTAGGAGAGCTCTCTTGCAAAAGAGACAAAGGAATGTGGTCCTTTGGCAATGTCACGGCCGCCACAAAACGTCTGGGCATTCAGAAAACTGATTTCACCACGACATTTGTCTTATTTACATTAACTTTTACCGCCCAGAATATTCAAATTAAGCTTGGAGTATCGCGGCAACGAGGAATCCCTCTTGGGAGCTCTGCAACTAGCAGAGCATCAGAGAATGACCCCGAAGGATGAGGTCACAATGAACGTATACGTATGTATGTTGAACTTCTTTCGCACCGTACGTAGCCAACGCTGCTAATCGCAGGCCACCGCAAGAGCCCGTAATCCACGCAAGCGGCACACTTTTGATCGCCCCGTAAAGATTGCGCATCGCGTGCGAATCAAATCATCTTTCGTAGCGAGCAGGCTGAAGCCATGGACTCGCTAAACGCATGAACCCGGATTAATGCACGGGCGGCTGACATCCGGATTTGACCCCAGGATATCGGTGGTGCCGGCTCAGTACTGCAACTCCGTCGAGCCACCCAGCCTCCTCTCAACAATGAGTTCTCACGAACACAATGCATTTCTCCTCTTGGTTCTTTCGGTAAAGTCACGTAGAAGGGAAATAATAAAATAAAAAAAATTAAACATAATAAAACAAAAATAGTATCATAGTATTTATTCAGTAATTTATTTAGCATAATATTTAATTATATATTTTTTCATATGATTTTATTATGTTTATTTTTATTATTTTATTATTTCCCTTCTTCGTGACTTTACCGAAAGAACCAAGAAGATGAATCCCTGCAGTCACGAAAGCTTTAAATCTAAATACAATGCATATCGTTACACAATTTTGACGTGGCATTTGTTTGCATACAAATACACAGTCACATGATTTTCAATATTTTTGTAAGATGCACATGTTACATTTTTTTTTTCATTTAAGCAACATTTTAGTATTAGAACTTTGGAAGTGAAGTTATGACGAAGAGTTTTACTTCCAGGATATATGGTCTTTGTTATGTTTTTTTGTGTTTCCTTTCTTCTAATATGTCCCCGATCGAACCATTTCGTTCCTGTCGACTCACATATGGTTTGCGAGTTCATTGGAGCAATTGAATATAACAATTACACGTCGTACATTATTTAGCACTGGCAAAGTTAATTGGCTATATTTTATTACAAAACATTGAATAATAACTCCGGTTAATTACTGTGTGTGCAATTAAGCATTTTCAGTGTAAGAACCTTTTAGCCGCAGCGTTTAAACTAAGCCAAGTCTCGCTGTGACCCAAATTTCCGAGCAAGTATTGAAATTTAATAACATCCAATTATTGTTCCCGCGGTTATAAATGGCACGAACTGCAATGTTACAGAATTAGCACTTTACTCACATGGGCATTTATTAATGTGAAATCACAACTTTTTTATCGTTCTACAATTACGCGTGGGAACAGGACCTTCACGGTGCACTTACGAAGCAAACCAAATTAAACCTTGACTGGAAATCACTCCCCGCTTTTGTCATGAAGGTCGCGTGGGTTTGACACCATACCATGGATGCAATTACGTTCCCTATAAAAAAATTGTATGTATGTTGAACTTATTTCACATGGTACGTAGCCAACCCTGCTAATCGGAAATTCGGGGGCAGGACAACAAACTAACCATAAAAAAGCAGTTCAAAAGAAATTCGTTTTCAATCTCGATTTAAAAGTGTATAGCTTCAGTGGCTTCCTAACATCAGAAGGAAGATCGTTCCAGAGGGCATCTAAAGCGCATCTGAAAGCGGACGATGCGGTGGCCATCTTTGTTCGATGGCCAGCCAAAAGTTCGATGGCTAGCCATAAAAAATAAATGCATCTGTTGGCGTGGAGCCGGGTGAAATTGGCGGCTCGCACCCTCATTTCCTGTGCTTTATTCTGGAGAGTTGTGTTCTCTTGCGTCACAACTCGCGACTTCAATGAACGTAACAGTCGTGACAGTCGAGGCCCATTGAGTCGGCACCAACGCGCCACTGCGTTTTGCCAAATTTTAAGTCTCATCGTGCGCTGGCACATGTCAATGCGCGGGTGGCCGTTTTGTCGATCCACTTCTGGATGAGGGTCTCCCTGCATGTCGTGGCAGTCGTCCATCTAAGTGCCATTCACAGGTGCTTTCCTCAATGCTGCTAAGATTCTGAGATATGACGAGAGTTAGAGGCCAAATCAGTAGCGGTGCACAACTGTGATCCTTAATTTTAAGGCAGAGGTTAGTGAATCACGTAGGTTTGTGAGGTTCCCAAACGTGTTGGGCTCTGATGTGGTCGGGCGATGGTAATGCATCAAGTGGGTTTGTTAACTCCTCGTGTATGCCAGTTTTCTCTGGGTAATCCATTCTCTCCCTGTGTACAATTTCAATTCGTATAAATTACGTGATGCATTCCAAGTGTACAACCAAGCTAAGCGCGATTATTGTGCTGTGATCAGAGACCGGGCTGACACCATCGGCTCACTCCATGACTTGAGACCCCGCTTGAAACTGATTTCTTTAGAACTGCTTTTTGTGTGTGAAAGAAGTACAGGACACATACGTGCATTCATACAGTGGGTCAGTTTATCGCAGCCGATTCACAGCCTCTGTGCATGTGTAATAAAAGGACTCGGACACTTCCTTCTGTCTTCGTGTCTTTTATTGGGTTCTCGTCCTCACCCACACGGCACTCTGTTATAACTCTGTATTTGTAGCCCCCGGCTATTCACTGCTATTATAGCTCCTTCTTCCCTCTGACTCTCTGCTTCATCTACTGTAACCTCCTCCCTGCAGACTCGCTGCTACCTCTATGCAGACTCCCGCTGCTACCCCTATGTGCAGACCCTCTGGCTGCTACCGTATGCAGACCCGCTGCTGACTCTGTATGCAGCCCCGCTGCTGACTGCAGCCTCCTCGCTGCTTCGGGTCGGTCACCGCTGGCCAACGGTGCCGATCCTCGCTCCCCCGTGTTCGTGGCGATCTCGCCACCCTCCGCTTCGCCCTTCGTGGCCTCTCTCTGTTCCTGGTTCCCCGTCACTCCCGTCCTCTTCCGGTTCCCCTCCTTCTATAGCCTAACCCCTCACCCCCCCACGTGACCTAACTCCTCCCCTCCTGACGTCACCTCCGGAGGGCCGCTTACGCCCGCATTACATCACCCTCCCCCATAAAGAAAATCCAGCCGACCTCGGCTGAATTGCAACCTGACAAGAAATGCGGGTGTAAAGGGCCAACACGTAAAAAGACACGAAGCATGCAACAACAATATAACCAGAACACAACACAATACAATTTTAACGAAACGTGAGGGATTTCGAGCGAGTACGGGCAGCCGGGCCGTCTCGGACGGTCGGCAGACCACCCGCCGAGCGGGAACGTGGAAGGGTTTTAGGGGCGACGGGCGCAAGTTCTTCCGTCGCCATTGGAGGCCCGCCACTGTCCCGCTCGCGTCCAGAGACATCCTGTACTCGCGTCCGCGGAGGGATAGGAAGAGCTGCAGGTCCCGTGGGTTCTGCGGCTCCAGTCGACGTCCCACGAGCGGAACGTCCTCCTCCCTGCGCTGTCACGGCCGGCTTGTCTGTGCCGGAGGGTCTTTCTTTGGGGCGTCCGCTGTCGAGGCCTCCTGCTGGGGCGGCCCCGGAACCCGGGCCCAGCAGTCCCTGGCATAGTGGCCCCGACGGCCGCAGCGGAAGCAGTCGACGTCGGGGCGGCGCGCAGCGGGCACCCCGTCCCGACGCGGCCGCGCCGGCGGCGGAGCCCGCGGCCCTGGCCCGCTTCGAGCCGGCCACGGAGTGGAGGCGGCCGACAACTCCTTTGGGCCGGTCGCATCCGGCACGTACACGGCCTTCGTAGGGTCCCACCCTACGGCCCCCCCATCGACGACAGGACCGCCCGTCCACGCCGTCACCTGTTTCCAGCGGCGGAGATTGAACTGGGCGTCCAAACACTTGGCCGCGGTCCGGGACGTGAGTTTTTCGTGACCGCACGCCTGCATGGGAATGCCGAGATCTCGGGACAACTCCAACATCTTCCCCAAGATGAGTGGTTCCAGCAGGTCAGGCTCCGTCTCCGGGTAAGCGGCCATAGCGAGTTCCAACACGGCGCCCCTGTACGCTACAGGTGACTCCTCAGGTGCGCGTTGCCGCTGCACGAATCGGCGATGGGCGTCATCCGGTGGCTCGTACGCGTCCGCCATTTCCTCGAACACCCCTCGCAGAGTTTTCTTCTTCGCAGCTTTTATAGAGCGAAAAAAACGAACGGACTCATCATCAAGAAGAGTCGGGAGCACCTCCAGTGCCTCAGCGTCCGTCCACCTTGCCGTACGTACCGCCGCCAAAAATCTGCAGGCGAACGCACTCCAATCGCCCCCGATGGAGAACTCTTTGACGGTTGTAAGGTGACGACTGCGACTCCTTGGCTTGCTTCCGTCCGTCGCTGACTCTTCCGGCGGTAAGTTCAGCAAGGCGTCGCAACGCTGTGTCGCCAAAATGGCGGACGATCCTCGCGGCGGCCCCAAAATGGCGGCTTCCCGCCTTCCGTGGTGCGCCACGCCCAAGATGGCGTCTTCACGCCGCGTGGCCGATGGCGGCGCCATCGAAGACGACCCGGGCTCCTGCCGATCACCACCATCACCTTCCAACGCCGCCCTTGGCGTGACAAGGTCACACAACTCTGTGATGACGGTTTTTAGGGTTGCCAGTTGCTCCGCCATCCGGATCCATCTTAAATCTTCGTCCTTCAACGCAGATGGGTCGGACGAAGGGGCCACCTCCTCGACGCCCGGGCCCTCACGGATCTCTCCCTCCGCCGAAGTGAAGCCGACCTCAGGAGGAAGATCGTCGTCGTCCGAAGATGAAGCCGACGCCGGGGATGGAATATTCTTTTTCCTCAGTTGTTTCGCCATGCCGTTTCACTTCTGACTCCAGTGTAATAAAAGGACTCGGACACTTCCTTCTGTCTTCGTGTCTTTTATTGGGTTCTCGTCCTCACCCACACGGCACTCTGTTATAACTCTGTATTTGTAGCCCCCGGCTATTCACTGCTATTATAGCTCCTTCTTCCCTCTGACTCTCTGCTTCATCTACTGTAACCTCCTCCCTGCAGACTCGCTGCTACCTCTATGCAGACTCCCGCTGCTACCCCTATGTGCAGACCCTCTGGCTGCTACCGTATGCAGACCCGCTGCTGACTCTGTATGCAGCCCCGCTGCTGACTGCAGCCTCCTCGCTGCTTCGGGTCGGTCACCGCTGGCCAACGGTGCCGATCCTCGCTCCCCCGTGTTCGTGGCGATCTCGCCACCCTCCGCTTCGCCCTTCGTGGCCTCTCTCTGTTCCTGGTTCCCCGTCACTCCCGTCCTCTTCCGGTTCCCCTCCTTCTATAGCCTAACCCCTCACCCCCCCACGTGACCTAACTCCTCCCCTCCTGACGTCACCTCCGGAGGGCCGCTTACGCCCGCATTACACATGTTTGGAATGAGGACCATCATGGGTGCACTTGTTTGAAACACATTCACGTGGAGCATTTAAACCATTGGAACCTCATTTTCCAGTAAAAATATGATAATTGGTTTTTAACCCTTTCATCTGGCAACAAAACTGACACCTTTTTTTACAAGGAGTCATGTTTGCATAGACCACAATACCTGCAGTCATAATGCAAACAAAAAACACAACTCTTATAATGTATGCACTGTCCTTGAAGTTGATTGGTCCACACCCGAGACAGCTTTCCTTAGAGCCTAGTCTCACATGGTGTTGGAACCAGGTGACGCCAAAAGGCCAGTGCACACATTATCAGAGTTATGTTTTTTGTTTGCATTATGACTGCAGGTATTGTGGTCAATGCAAACATGACTCCTTGTAAAAAAAGGTGTCAGTTTTGTTGCCAGATAGAAGGGTTAAAAAACTATTATCATTCACCTGGAGCTTTTCATTTTATATTTTAAACACTTTTGCTGTAAAAAGTCTCTTATCTACTCCCGGATTCGAACACAGGATCTTGGCGGTGCCGGCTCGGCGCTCCGACCTCAGAGCCGTGAGGCCGGATCCGGCGTTTACGAATCGTAACGAGACAGCTTTCCTCACCGCGGAGGTTCTTAATGAAGTCCTCGAGCTTCATCTTGCGCTCCGCCTTCACGTTGGGGCTGTAGCGGTCGGTGTTGAGCAAGATGATGGCGAAGGCGAGGATGAAGATCGTGTCCGGGTTGCGGAACTGCCGCAGCAGCACCGAGTTGCAAACGCAGTAGCGCTGGCTGCACACGGACACACGGCACGCTCAGCAAAAACTCCACATTTGCGGAACCCCAACGGCTCGACTACGAGCCCCGGGGGCATTAACTCTGAACCCTGGAGGTTTGACACGCACGCCGTTTGCTGCCCGGTGGTCGAGACTAGCTACAGAGGGGCGGCCGAGGGAGGGCACCTGCTTGACGTGGTCGTCCGCTGCTGGATTTGGAGCATAACATCAGTTCCAGTAACTCCGATTAATTGGCACGGTTTGCGACGTACGGTGCGAAAGAAGTTCAACATACGTGCATGAATAAACAATGATAATAATTTTCAGCCCTGTGTCAGTCCACTGCTGGATGAAGGCCTTTCTACGATTCGTCAATCGTACATATTCATTTTTTTTAAATATGTGTGTGCATGTATACATATGTGCATAGCAGGAGCGGGGTGGGTTGTCGCATCAGCGCAAAACCGTGAGAGATGGCGACTGCTGGAGCAGCGGCGGATAAGATCGTGGCTGGCGATGATGAAATCTGCGGTGGAGTTGCTGAAGCAGCAATCGCTGGGGAACCACAAACAAGCTGGAACGCAGCCAGGAGGTGAGCCAGCGTGACCAACATTTGCCCAATCTCTGCAGTTCCTCTGTATATGAAGATAATTTCAGTCAATGAGTGATTTGTTTATGCATGCGGGAGGAAAAAGCGGAGCACCTGGAGAAAAGCCACGCTTTTTAAGGGCCAACACTCTATCCCATACAGAAGGGACAGGTGATATTAGTCCGCACTTTGCCTGAACCACCTTCTCTTGGCAAGCCAGCAGTAGTGGTCACCTCTACGGCCACGGACATGGGAGTTTCACAACATTTGTCCGATCCACGAACGCTAGTCCTAGACACTGCCGGATCACAAGCGTGCATAGCCAGCAATGCCTGGCCACATGATGCATCATCACTGATCAGTGAAGCGGCATACAATACAGCAGCACTGTGTACTCGTACAGATGGAATATCCTCCACACGGTACTCCTCAACTGCTTTGAATGCGTCCGTGGAATGCTGCCAATGTGATTGAAAATGTTTTTTTTTTCCATCGTGGTTAGGGGTCGGGTTAAAGTTCACGCATTACTGTATTGCTGGGTGACGATTTTTGCAAACAGCTTAATACTCGGGGTTGTTCTCAGATTTCAAGGCCATTGATTAAATTGCATAGCGCACAGCCAAGTGGACATACAGACACGCACACACGCGCGCTCACACACACCAGGGCCCAATGCTGATAATAGTTTGCTGTATGTATGTTGAATATACCTGTCAACCCCTTATCAGTGCCTACCTTATTACAGACCAATTCAGACCTTATTGGTCACCCTGTGCCCTTATGAATCTCAACGTTCATCCTACAAAGTCCCATCACAAGAGAGAAACACAAACGAACAGACAAAACATTTTTTTTTGCCCGTATCAAAATGGCCGCACGTCGTATGGACCGAAAAACTCAATTTCCCCGTACAAGAATACTGGTAAATCGTATGGGTTGCCAGGTATGCTTGAAGTTATTTTTCACCGTGCGTAGCCAAAACTCAGTCCACAGACTCAGTCCACAGGTTTAACGTGAACACGCGGCCACTTTGTCAATCGCCTGCTGGATTAGGGCCTCCCCAAGCCATGGGGGTCATGGGGTTTGTTCGGTCATACTTCACCATGCTGGTCATAACCAGTTGGCGAATGTGGGGAGCGCTGATGAGGGTGTATAGAACTACTGTACAACAACGGAGCGTTCTGCACTCCCCTCCCCTGGTCACATCGTAGGCCCCGCAGCCTTGGCACGGTAGTCGCCCATTCAAGCTCAATACCAGCTCAAACTCGCTTCGTTTATGAGATCTGATGAGATTGGGGTGTGGGGGGGCATTCCGGGTGATTGTGTCACAGGCGCAGGTTAAAAACAACCCATTGTATTCCCAATTAAGGGGCTCATGAGAGATGGGATGCAAATACAACATGGAAATGTATACCGAGTTCCAGTGCAAGCGTGGAAGAGTAGACAGGTTCACGGTGGAAGAGTAGACCAAATACCCTGTGGATCTGCTCTCTTGGGGTGAACAAGCAATTTCAGGGCTGCCCCTTGACCTTTGTTTATCATTACATGTGGTTCGGCAAGATGTGTAATTTAATTTGAATGTTCAGTGTTTAATAGTTTATTGACCATACTTTTACATGTTATTTATTTGGAATTTGAGAATTCAATTTAATTATCCCAGATAGAGTGTAAGCTACTGCGCCATCGTGCCTGGGTCTTTACACCCAACACAGTGCACAACTATGTTACCAATGGCTCAGAGAGATATCAGCTTACGGAGTCGTGATGTCGAACGGAATTAAGGTAAATACTGTAAATCCTCCCTCCCGCAAAATAAAAATTAGATGACCCACATTCATATCCCACAAATGGCAAAGCTACTGCAGAGCCTCTATGTGCGTTACTGCACGCGGGGTCAGTCCTTGTTCTGCAGAGGTAGTTTAGTCATTCACCATTCCTATTTTATCAGCAATAAAGCACACACAGAGACAAGAATATTAATGTTTTTTTTTCTTCTGTCAGTTTACTCTGCTGCGGTGGTGCAATCGGTTCATATGCTCGCCGCGCTTTGAACCCATTGACCCGAGTTCGATTCTCAGCCGCAGCTAACAGCAGTGGCGAGTGATATCCTCCCCACTCCTCCCACCCACTCTGTAACAACCCCACTGACCAGCACGGTGGAGTATGATAACAACATAAAACCCCGTTGGCTACACGGTATTCGGAGGCCTTCATCCAGCAGCGGACAATAATTACACTTCGATTTAAAGCTTTCGTGACGGCAGGGATTCATATAATTATAATTCGTGATTCTTTCGTTAAAGTCACGTAGAAGGGAAAAAAAATGTGTTTTATTTTTATTATTATTTTATTATTAAATTATGTTGTATTTTTTTATTTTATTATTTCCCTTCTACGTGACTTTACCAAAAGAACCAAGAACACTAATTACACGATATCACATCCATAACACTGGTCAACAAAAAAATAACATTTTTTTCTGACCTGGACTTTTGCAGCTGTTTTAGACTAATTTCAGGGAGCTGATTCCAAATCTGAGATAAGATTTTCTCTATCACATTTTATTTTTATGCTATCGGCATACCCCATTTTCATTGATTTTACCCGAAATGAACTCACTTATGATTGCAAGTTGTTGCGAGTCAGTGACTGCTTTAGTGTTAAAATATGGTGCTGTATTTTTAGGATGGTGTGTTTATAATATAATTTTATGTAGATATCCACATTTATTTAATATTTTTCTTCTGCAGTTTTAATTGAAAATGCAATATTTGATATCTCAAAAACCTGATGTAATAGACAAAAACTGATGCCAGATTTGGAATAAGCACCCCAAAATTACATTGAAACCGTTGGAATACCTTATGCCAAAAAAAGTGTGTTGACCAGTGTAATTACACTATATCACATTCATTATCAGACCGCCGATGGAAACCAACAAGCCACGACTATCTATTAAGTCATCGTGTAATGGAAAGCAATTTCCGACGAAATGAACGATAATTAATTGCGCATTAACGTTAATGATAACATCGGATAAAATCACAATCTTCATTAAATAAAAAAATATGGTACAGTGTACATGCACCACAAAAGTGAGAACCCGCAAGGTCATTGGCTTGGTGGTAATTTAGAATGACTATACTACACGTATGCACGTGTGTGTGTATATTTATTTGTCTGTATACGTGTGCGTTTTCATTTTCTGTTCATATGCTCTACATGACCTGTATACATTAATGACAGCATGTATTTGTATCGTGCTGTATTAACACATATACGTGAGAAATATGTTGAACCATTACTGTTCAGTCAAATAACTTGAATTCAACATAGAATGTGAAAACCGAAGGGCAAAAATATGCACATTGAAGATAAATATCCCCCCATCTAGCATGCAGACTTTTGGGGCAAGTGCTGTTCGCAAGCACCTATTGAGGACTGAATGGTGCACAACGGGGCGTGGTATGGTCAGCACCACAGCGGGCTGTCTTTATTTCCCCGGTGCTGATGTTTACATATCACACCAGGTACTCATTCATGGCTGAGTCGACCTAGAGGAGGCACAGAACACGAGACGAGACTCCGTTTGCCACTGATGTTAGCCAAACTCAGGTAGCTGAGTTCACAGCATAGTGCAACCATGTCATACACACCGAAGACAAAGATCCCCGGTATAGCCTAACAATACTGTCGAGGAAAGTGCTGTAAGCTGAGAACCTATGAAGGCCGGCACGGCACACAAGGGGGTCGGTAGCCAACACCACACCCGACTGCCTTTGTCTTCCCAGTGGCGATGTTTTTGACACACCGCACCGGGTATTCATTTGAGGTTGAGTCGACCTAGTGGAGGCCCATGACCGGTTCAGATAATCATAACCGGTGTTGTCCGTGAGTGAGAATGGAACTCGGGTCGCCGGCTTCGTAGCACAGCGCGCTAACCGCTACACCACCGCTCCCCACACACGTGTAATACTGTGCACTCAAGAGACAATTACAATACCACGTGCCATAATTATTAATGTGAGTCGTGGACCAATGGCAATGCGTGCACATTTGAAAAGGCGAGGACATCACGCGGTGTTCGCAGCCCGCGCTTTGCGCTCACAAAGGGTCAAATCCGACGCAGTACTATTGACGTCATCGCCAAATCCGTCCAGTCGTGTTCCGAGGGCACACGCACGGCGTTATGCAACCGCGAATGCAGGCTGGTGACTTGCCACTCCCATTGCCGTCGGCCAACGTAATGCTATGTGAAGCCTCTCTGTGCAATGCATGAGTTAAAAAAATACCATAAAATCTCTTAAGCTAGGCTAATCTTACACTAAAGCCTTTTAATTTTACAAGGAAATCACGTGATGTTTTTTTTTTCTTCCTGTAAAACCCATTCACCTTTTAGTCATAGAGTCAATAAATAACTATCATGTCCCAAAGGTGTACATTTGACTGCCGCGTACGCTACGGATGGGAACTATGTTTCGAAACTGGACTTGTGCAAGACGTGGGTAAATTGTGACTAAAGGTGTCATGAAGTTAACACCAGGATTCGTGCATTATTTACTGTTAATAGTTTTTTTTGGGTGGGGGGGGGGGGGTGAATTAAAATATGAATTCATAAAGTTACGGCAATTTGACGTTTCCCCTCAAGTGCAAAGTCAGCGAAGCTGAAGGAGGAGAAAAGGAAAGTCATTCAACGGACTGTGAGGAGGTCTCAACCAGCGCAGATTTCTAGAAAACAGAACACGCCACCAATCTCGTGAAAAAAAAAACTTTTTTTGGAAAATCCTAAAATGTAAACCTACGTTCCACCAGTCTCTGTGGTGAGAGAGGCATGTTTTAGTAATGGTCATGTTCTTTCTTAAACTAATTATTATATTTATATATACAGTACTACTACGGTGTCCTGCATATCAACTTCCAAAAATGTTATTACTAGGCATGTAATGTTGCACAGATTTAAATCTTGACTTAAAGCTTTTGTGACTGCAGGAATTCATATTCTTGAGATCTTTCGGTAAAGTCACGTAGATAGGTTCAACGAAAATAAATGCGTTATTTTGTTATTTTCTTTGAACCTATCTACGTGACTTTACCGAAAGACCCAAGAATTTGCACAGATTTAACTCTGAAATTGTATTCTCGCCCGCATGATGCATGAATTGTGCGTGCGAGAAACTAACTGGTTTGCACAAATTTGACGAATATTCTATGCTCGTGTTAATCTTGGGACATGGAAGTGAGAACATATTGCAGTTGAGTCGAAACGAATGAGGAACAACAAAAAAGTCATAATAAATTCGCAAATCGAATCATAAGCCAGCATTGTGACAAATCTTAACATTTTCTCGGAGATGAAAAGTTACATGCCTCATGTTTACCAGTCAATAATTGTGTTTATGCAATGGAGTGTATCCACTAAGACTGAGATACGACAAAACATCAAAACAAAGTGATTATATAAAACTGGGTGATTGGCAAGAGAATAGTAATGGCCAGCACTTGCATTGTACAGTATGAACTTTTGGGATGTTGCAAAGTAGATTTAAAATTTGTCACAGACTGCGTAGATTAGCTTACCAGTGATCACACTTTGTCCAGCGTCCAAAGATTTGACAATAATCTGTGTATACGAACATGAACCAATTGCATTTCCCCGTTCAAAGTGTGAAAAATGACGGCACAGTCGTTAAATGTGCTCGTTCATCGTTTGTACGTTCAGAGGCTAAACAGAGGCCAAAGCACATTCGTAAAATTCATCACAAATAACCGGACGCATTTCGTGCTGCATGTAGAGAAGGCTATGGAGGAGGGAATAACCACTGCTTGACATGCTGAGTACTCAATATGTTTTCTGTTTGGGATACTGCCACAGTGTAAAGGTCAGCACATTGGGCTTGCAATGCAGAGGTCACTGGTTCGATTCCCTTTCCTGGTGCGCAGATCTTAAATCTCCCCACACCTCTGTCCACCCGGCAGCATTAATGGATACAGGCCGGCAGAATCGCGTGTGGTGGGGTAAAGTGTGAGTTCTTGCACCCCGTTTCAAGACGTCCAGCCACATGAGGCCCACCACTTCCAAACGAGAGGAAAACATGTTTGACCAACGCTGGTGTTACTCTCATTTTGCAATGCTCAAAGCACTTCTGTCAATGCGACTACCTTTTTTGCTATGACCATGAGGTATGCGTCGCGTGCGCGTGTCGTTAATCTGTGCTCCCCACAAAAAGGTATGTGAAAGCCCTGGGTAGAAAAAGGGTCCTCCCCCCCCAGTCCTGGTTTACATGTTGGATAGAACTGATGAACAGCTGATGAACAGCTGGAGTGAATATCTCACCTTTTTGGTTCTTTCGGTAAAGTCACGTAGAAGGGAAGTAATAAAATAATAAAAATTAAACATAATAAAATAATTCTCACGACGTTTCGGCCACAACGCAAGCAGCCGTCCTCAGGTGAAGAACATGTCTGTCGATAAGACAGAGTCTAAGACAGAGTCTTTTTTTTTAGACTCTGTCTTATCGACAGACATGTTCTTCACCTGAGGACGGCTGCTTGCGTTGTGGCCGAAACGTCGTGAGAATTATTTTGTTATGTTTTATTTTTATTATTTTATTACTTCCCTTCTACGTGACTTTACCGAAAGAACCAAAAAGATGAATCCCTGCAGTCACGAAAGCTTTAAATCGAAAAATGAATATCTCACCTGAAGGCTTCAATCATCCTCTCCACCTTCTGGGCCTCGCCCTGGACTCGAACTTGTCCCTGGAACTTCCGCAGGGCCTCATCAATATCCATGCCCGCAAAATCCATCTCCTCCACCACGCAGCTGAATGGACAAAGAGCCGGCGTCAAAAAAAGAGCGGTTGGTTAGGAACGATCTTGAGAGAGTGCGGGGAATGACACCTCAACATACGAGGCGGGAACAAACGCATCACTGAAAGTAATCTGCACTTTGCCAGGCAAGTGTGCATCTCAACATGTCAGTATAGGGGTAGGCGTGGAATGATTCACACTGCCAGCGATTGGATGGATTGAAATGTAATTCAGGGTCGCGTTTGTTTTGTCACGTGTTTACTATCTCACTCGTATCGTTTTGTTGGGGCTCTTGTTCCGTCTCGCTTGAACAGTTTTTATTCCGCACTATCGGCCACAATGTCATTGACAGCCCCATGGCCAATCCACTGTTGAGGCGGAGGCCTCTCCACACTGTGGTTGTTCAGGACAGTCGCTTGACTACACTTCACCAAGCTGGGCAGTGGAGGTTGGTCAAAGGATGGGGCATGCGCGGGGGCCCAGGACTGGTTCAGATATCACTCGCCACCGATGTTAGCCGTGGCCAGGAATCAAATTCAGGTCGCCAGATTCAAAGTGCAATGCGCGAACCACTGAACCAATGCTCCACCCCTATAGGAATGGAATAGAGTAGAGGCTGGATATAAGCACACCTCTCATATAAGCAACACATTTTTATATTACACTAGTGGGGGGGTGGGGGGGAGAAGGCAAAAAGCATCTTCGGATATAATCACACATGGACTTGGCTTCCAGACGGTTTGATTATATGCAGATTTGACTGTCGTTGAATATAATTTGCATACGATTTGCACACATCGCAAAATAATCAATTCTTACACACACACACGACTCAACGCTTGTATCAGGAAAAGCTAATCAATTCTAATCGAGGAATCGATGCAACATACTTTAAAAAAAATTATTTGAGCAGGTAAGGCCCACTGAGCTATATAGCTCTTTTTCAGAAGCGACCTGGCCACCAATTATATCACGTGGAAATTTATAGCAGCCGAATACTCTAAACGCATGTTTCGAAAGTTGGAGGGAAAAACCAGAAGACCCAGAAAAAAATCCACGTGACCACGGGGAGATCATGCAAACTCCAAATATACAGGCATCGTCAGGGCCGGGATCGAACCCAGGAACTCCTAAATACCACGCGAGCCAGTTTGCATCTCGCTACCGCGGTGCCCACTAGGCACCATCGCAGGCCTGATGATCAAAGGATAGATGCATTGCCATGTGTGCATGCCTCACAAGAAGAAGAAGTCTTACTCGAGGACATCCCGGTTAAACTGCTTTTGGCGGTTGCCGAGAAAGTCTCCGATCATCTGCCGACTGAGGCCCTTCCTCTGCAGCAGGAACTGGGCGACTCCGTACGGCGTGTCGGGGATAAACCCACGCTCCATCAGGAACTGGAGGCCCTTCTCCGCCTTTCTGCAGAGAGAGAGAGACACGCACGCATGCGCGCGTGGAGACAGAATGTAAAGCTTCGGAAACAAGCGGCGGGAAAATATGAGCGTGCCTCTCAATGCAATCGTACGTTGCAATTCGGATTTATTCAGCCGCGTCTCGAGGCGCCGTGCCGTCGCAGCCGCAGAAAATTGGGAGGCATGAATAACGGACAGATTGTTTTTCAGCCTCGCATGGGAAAACGTGATTGCAATTGCTTGCGACAAAAATATGTCCGGGTACGTGCTGAAAAAAAAAACCCGAAAACTTACCAAAACCCATTTGACAAGGATGAAGGCCTCCCCATCCCATGTTGTTTATGGGGATTGTTTGACCATATTTAATCAAAACGGTCAGTGCGGGAGGGATGCTAGCTGTGTAGCCGTGGCCGGGAATGGAACTCAGCTCGCCGAGTTCATAGCACAGCGCGCAAACATCTGCGCCACCACTCCGTCCCTCTCCCAGCATAAAAAAGAGCTTTAATAAAGACTAAATCAATAAAAAGGCCACGATTCTTTCACAAGCTCGGAGGCGGGGCCGCACGCGAGGGACGGTCGACCACGCACTTGTTGAAAAGGTTGAGCCCGATGCGGTAGAGGCGCTTGCGGATGACGTCGTTGGTGAAGGCGGGCGAGTCCCAGCTGTTGCACGTCTCCTTGTGGTAGCTCGGCTTGCTGTGCACCGTGTCGCGCAGGCTGTCCCGCGACGACTCCGAGCTGCAGTTCACCGTGTCGTTCGAGTTGGACGTACTATTCACGCTGTCGTTGTCTCCGTCCGAGGCGTCCGACTCCGACTTTGGGGGCCGGCCTGCGCCGCTCCCTCCCGCTCCCACCCCGCCCCCTCCGCCTCCGTTGATGCCCAGGTGCCCGTCGAGCCTCCCCCCACCGGCCCTGCCCAGCAGCGCGGGATGCCCACGGCCCGAGACCGCCCGCTTGGCCACCCTGTGGCCCACCGAGGGGTCCGCCGCCACCTCCGCGGCTTGCTCGACCGTCAGGAGCGGCGGCTGTCCGCACGGCTTGGTCGGGTCGCGGCAATCCGGACAGGACACGCGCCGCTGGTTGTCCGCCGGGACAAAGAGCCTCCCGCCGCCGCCGCCGCCGTTGCCGCCTTCGCCGCCGCCGTCGTCGCGCTCCGAGGTGCAGCGGACGAGGTCGCAGTAGGCCCTCGTTTCCTGGCCGCCCGGCGGCTGGAGGAGCCCGGCGGCCTCCCCGCCGACGCCCGACTCGTCGTCGATGTACAGCGTCACGGCGTCGTAGGGCGACGGCGGCGGGTAGACGATGGTGCCCAGCTCGTCGCCGCTCAGCATCCGTCCGCCGCCGCCGGCCATCCTCTGCGTCGCGGGATCGAGGACCCCGCCGTACTCGCCCCGGGCCGCGCCGTCCGCCTCCGAGCCCCGGCCGCCGAGCAGCGCGTCGTCGATGGTCTCGGCCAGGGAGCGCACCTGCTTGGAGAAGGCGCTCTCCAGGTCCGTGATGCCTTCCGCAAAGTCGCCGGCGGCGCCCGGGGGCATGGCGTGCGCCAAGCCGGGATCCATCATCCCCTTGCTGCTGTAGAAGGGCGGGCGCATCCGGTCGTGGTGGCACGGCGGCGGCAGGGAGCGGTCGGAAACCTCGTAGGGGATCTGCGAGTGCACGCCGCCCAGCGCGATGCGGCGCGGGAGGCGGCTCTCCGAGATGGAGCTGCGCAGACGCTCAAAGTTCCGGTTCATCTGGTACTGCCGGTACGCGGCCTGGATGGTGCAGGCAGCGCGGTGGGTTGCGAACCGCCCGCCGTATTTCCGCTCCAGCATTTCCACCTGCCGGAAGCGGAGACGGACGATCGGTCGCCGTGGAGTTACGACGCGCGGCACCGTTAATGAAGCGTTTGTTTTGACGTCTCACTTAAAAAACAAAACGGTCAACTGGGTTGACAAACGCTGTAGTTTGCACAAACACAAACGCATGAAAGCAATTTTCAGGTTCAGTTTCAGCGTCTAATTAGGAGTGCAATGTGCAATGCTGCTGCAATATCACTCTGCTGCTGTTAGCTGCGAGCAGGAATCGAACTCAGGTGGCTGGGTTCATTGAGCAGTGCGATGACCACTGCACAATCAATTTGCCACTTCTTAACAATATTTACTCACATTTTTGCACTTTTTGTATGTAATTAATCAGTGTACGTTATTTTGCAAGTAGTGCGAATGTTAACACAGTCCATTAATTTAGTTGACTGCCATATTATTTATTTTCAAACAATATCTGATTTCAAGCGAACGGTTATAATCCGTAGGGGTATCGATAATTGCGGGGGTCGGGCAAAGTATTTTTTTCATACAATTCTTTTTATCAATTTAATTGGCAGGCCAGGTTCATTTGATGTCACTGAAATAAAATACCAATGCAACGGATGTGGCTTCGTTGAGCAAGAAAAAAAAGGCGCACGTTAATGGCAGAGGAGAACCGAAAGGGTAAAGTGACATCTGAAAAGGCCACAGTGCTTCGGCGATGCAAACTCGTCACGGTCACAAATGAACAGTGCTACAACGTCTTCCCCCTCGAGAGGACTCAAATGTACAAAAGAAATGTATCTTCTTGGTTCTTTCGGTAAAGTCACGTAGAAGGGAAATAATAAAATAATAAAAATAAAACATAATAAAATACAATTCTCACGACGTTTCGGCCACAACGCAAACAGCGTCTCCCCGACAGACCTGGTCTTCACCTGAGGACGGCTGCTTGCGTTGTGGCCGAAATGTCGTGAGAATTATTTATTATGTTTTATTTTTAATATTTTATAATTTCCCTTCTACGTGACTTTACCGAAAGAATCAAGAAGATGAATCCCTGCAGTCACGAAAGCTTTAAATCGAAAAAAGAAATGTAAGCAAAGGCTGGCAACTGTTGTTATATAAATTTAAAAAAATTACCGGTTCAAGAGGGTTTGTACAAATTTACTTGAATCCACCATATGTTGCCCTCACTCAGTCCATACCTATAGCTAAAAACAAAATCCAATTTCCACTTTTTAACCTTTTTGTATCACCCAACAAATCTGGCCACCGTTTAACCGATTTGACTTCGTAATCCCCGTATCCGATGAGCGGTTCGCTCGGAATTCATTCATCGCTCTCCCGCGGGACGTTTTCAGCGCACTCGGCCAGTGGTGCGGCATTGCCATCATCCCGAGGGTTTGACCTTTGCCCTGCTAGCACAGGACTTGGCCGAGGCGTATTCTCCCCAGCTGATCGCCAGGCTGGCAGAGCATGAAAGCCACGGCCTCTCAGGAACCGCGCGACCGCCAGCTTCGGCATACGCGTAGACGCACAGCCCGATTGTCAATCAACTGCTGCCCGTAACCACTACAACCCATGCACGTACTATCCATGCGTGTCCCTGCTTAGCTTCCAATGTCTGATGGGATCAGGTGCATTCTGGGTGATTTGGTCATAGGCGTGGCTGCCAAAACATGAATACATGCAAGCTACTGTCATTGATTGATTTGCTCAGACACAATGAGAAATTCCTAAATCACCAATCCTTTGGCATTACTGGTGTGACGAGCCTTGAACCGTGGATCCCACCAGATCTACAATGTAACCGGTGTAAAGTAAAATGAACAAAACTATCACAATGCTACAGCATTGCGCCTTTACCATTGTCAAGCACCAGAGATATCATATGAGTCAAAAATATTTGATTTAGCAGGTAAAGCCTATTGAGCTTTAAGCTCTTTTTTCAAACGCAACCTGGCTACAAATGATAGCTCAACGAATTGGCTTATAATGTGGAAAGGTATCGCAGTCAAATGATCTAAACACATGTTTCTAAATGTGGAGGGAAAAACCGGAGGACCAGGAGAAAAATTCACGTGACCACCGCGAGAGAGACACACAAACTCCAAATATACAGCAGCAAGCGTCAGGGTCGGGATCGAACCCACGACCTCCCGTATACCAGGCGAGGGAGTTAACATCTCGCTACCGTGGACCGCGGGCCCCTCAAGGCCCCTGCGACAACCTGGCCCTGGCGATCGCGTGTCTCTGCGCAGACGCGGCCATCGCAGGAGTGGCCGCCGCAGACGCGGCCATCGCGCCGCCGCTCATCACCTGCTTGTCCTGCAGGTCCGCCGACAGCTCGTAGGCCCCGGCGTGGTTGCGCGACCGCTTCACCGTCTCCTCGTCCGCCTGCGTCCGCAGCAGGGAGCTTCCGCGCTGCAGCTTCAGCTTCTGCGACTTGGCCGGAGCCAGCGAGGACGAGGCGCTGGACCCGGCCGCTGCCGCCACCGCCACGCCGCTCCAGAAGCCGCGGGGGCAGCGGCTGCCCCTCTGCTGCGGGCCCGTGGGGTCCTGCAGGAAGGCTTGGCGGGCGCCCTCTGCGGAGGTCCGCACATCCGCCTCGCTCTCCACACTGTGGGGGTTGGGGGGGGAAGCGTCAATTTGTAAAAGTTCCACAGGCTGAGTGTCATTTCTATTCCATGTCAACAAACCCGCTTAGAATGCTGATGCTGGTGGTGCTGATGATGACGGTTCTTCATGCGGTGGCGGTCAGCGATGTCTCTGTCTAGACACAAGCTATGTTGAGAGCGAGACTGGAGGTGGTATGCCGGCGGTGGTAACAGCCGAATGAAACAAATAAAAGAGAACAAGGCAAAACATACGAGACAGACAATACCAATGTTATCATACAAAAACATTAAAACAATAAAAACATTTGAATTGAGTCAAATTCGCCACAATTCTTCAAATCACCAAAGGAGGGTTGAGTTGAATTACTATAAGCGTAAAAATGAAGAAAATGTTGCCGTGTATTTACCCAATAACAAGCATAGTTTCAATGACATTTTCAACCACTACTCGAGGAGTCTCTGATGGCTTTGGATGTAACACTCAGGCCGATTCGTGCAATGGCGATAACAAAGGCCCCTTTATAAACACACTGGCTGTTGAAAATTTATCTCCCGATTTGATTGCACATCCGCTCTCAAAACCCACCACAGCAGGAGCCCGAGCCCAGCCACCGTGGCTCTCCTGCAGTACAGCAAATCGCTCGCGGTCTCGTCGTCAACTTTATGGAGCCGTTCCCCAACGGCTTCCTTCCGTTGCGCCATCGCCGATTCGTCGCGGAGAGTTTGTCACGGAGCGCGACAGGGCGCGAGAGCCCCTTCCCGGCGCTCGCCGCATGCGGGAACGCACCGGTCAGTGTCTCAGCTGATTGTGAACTCACGACACGTAGCGTGGTCGCATAGCAGGCGCAGGAGCAGTCGGCCCCAGCACCGCCCCGGCGATTCGACGGAATGTCAAAGATACGGGGCTCGCCATTCGATCCGAGAACGTTATTTTTTCGACTTGACTTGCACCACGTTGTTTGTGTCGTCTGTCTGCATTGTGCTGATTGTCGTGTTCGGATTATTTTGATTGATTCGTGTGTTCCACGTCATTGAATTGTCTCCTCGCCTATCGTCCCATTAGTTTCTGCTCTTTGGTTCCTTTGCGTTGTGTGCTGCAATAGTATTGGCGGTCTCCCATATTCCATCTAATGTGTTTCGTCTAATCTGTGGTCTATGTGTCAAATGTATACCTTGTTGCTTGTCCATCGATCTCATTTGCTTATTGTGTTTCATTAGCATTGCCTGTTGGGTTCGCACTGCCAGTCTCGTCTGTCGTCTTTCTTTAACAATATCTACTGGACACGTGTGAAAAAAAGAGCCTCATAGCTCATCGGATTCCTCCACTGTAAATATTCTGATGTCATTCTTGCGTGTGTTCCGTCTCCTTTGCAGTTTGTCTCCTTCCCATCGCCCATCTCATTTCCTCCTGCCATTGTCTATTTTGTCTAGTTTCTTTCCTTAGCCCCCAAACACAATGGCACATATTTCGCACGAATCATAAACGATCGATCCTTGCACGCAACGATTCCATACACGCATCGCGAGCGTTAAGAATCAATATTAATTGATGATCGAACGCATCATTACATGCCTGGTCACGTACAACTACACACAACACCGCACATGCTCAAAGCGTGCATCACGCGGCAGACGCGGCGATGCGCTGTGAATTGCTTTATTTAATTCTGCGCTAGAGTAGACATACTCGTACGGCCCTATGTCAAGCTACCGCTGGACGAAGGCATCCCCAGACTGCGTCGGCTGTGGGGGTTATTTGACTATACTTCACCACGCTGGTCAGTGGGGGGGGGGGGGGGGGGGGTTGATGAAAAGGGGAAGGGAGGGAAAGGTGAGGTTCCCAGGATCGGTTCTGATTTTACTCGCTGCTGATGTTTGCCGTGGCCTGGAATGAGAGTCACGTCAGGCTGACAGCACAATAGCGTGGCGAACCGCTCTCAAATATTTAATGTTAAATATAATTAAATGAACAAGCTGTTGTAAACGAGACGAAACCACCCCAACGACAAATACGAGGACACTGAAAGGTCGACATTGATGGGACATTTTTTTTTTTGGAACGGCATTTTTCAATATTTACTCTGGTTTCTTAAAAAGCAATGACAATAGCATCCCAAGCAGCGTTCTTTACCCTCTAACCTTCCTGTTTACAAAACAATCGCTCGCCAAACGGTGAACGAGTCACCGTTCCTTGCCCATTTGCCCCCGAACTCACGGTTCACATATTTTTTGCACCACCAAAAAAAAGTGGCAAAGGAGCTATTTGCATGTCAAAGAAAAAATAAATAAGCCAAACATTGAAAAAAACACACACAGACGGGCGCGCGGTTTTCATGTAATTTTTTCATCGAGCGTTCATCTTGAGAGTAAATGTCATCGTCGCACAGCGGTGGCAGCCACCGCGTGAGGAAAGGGGAAGGAGCCGTCACAAATTTGACGGAGAGCCACAAGTTCCCTGACATTCTCAAACAACTCCGTCACCTCTCGTGGCCCCTGCCTCTCGCTGCGTTGAGTCACGTGCTTAAAGGTCGGGAATGAGGGCCTCGCCACTCCATGCGGGCCATGGGAGTTTATTTAACCATACTTTAACCACGCTGGTGAGTGCCGGTTGGTGAATGCGGAGAGCATAGCCTTGGGAGCATAGAAGCAGAGTAATAATACCGCATGGGTATTTGGGGTTGTGCTGTACAACTTTTCTCATCTTTGTGGGAGCATCTTCAGAAACTGGCCGTTCAGTTCCTGAAGAATCTCCCAGCGCGTAAAACGAAACGTCGGACATCATACCGAACGACACGCGGTGCAACCCAAAAATCAAAGCGAGTACGATGTTTAACACGTAGGCAATCGCGACCAATATCATCCATAATACAGTTTTTTTTGGGTTAGATCGTGTAAATATATAAATGTGTTGTTAAACCCGCCACCACCCGTCACAGCCAATTAGTGCTCTGTTTACGTGACAAACCTTATTAATTGGCTGTGTCGAGTGGTGGCGGCTTTAATGACACATTTATATATTTACGCGATCTAACCCCAAAAAAAACCTGTATTATAGTATGTGTTACGCTGAACTTCTCACGCACCGTACGTAGCCAACCATGCTAATCGGAGGAAGAACAACAAACGAAACGCTAAATAAGTAAATATACGGTACAACAATGGATGTTTCTGCACAGCCCTCTGCTGCAGTTGGGGGAGTGGGGGGAGGTGAAATCTCTATTCTGGCTCCAGAATAGCGATTTGGCGGGTGTGTTACGGGTGATTTGGACAACAGGCAGAGTTGTTGGGGGCAACACCTCGCATAATGCTGCAGCAGCAGCAGTAGCAGCATTTGAAGATGTGATGTTTGTCGATCACGCTGAGATCATAATTTGCGGTAAGATTCCCTCTTGCGGGCGAAAGGTTTTTTTTTGTGGCTGTTGTTAAAGTGACCAAATGGGAGTAATTGAAAATGAACGAAAAATAAGCAACGATGAAAACAGAGAGTGGTCGTGTGCCGCTCTCACGATGCGGCAGATGAAGCGACGATGGACGGAGGAGCATTTGTCTTGTTATCCTTTCAATTACAGTCGCTGCGCGGCAGAGTTTGTATTTCATATCACTCTCCGGTGACACTGTGTGATGCGAAACGCCACAATACACATTGTGGGGTTTTTTTTTTATCGATGGCGAACAACTAAAGCAAACCTAGGCTAAAAATACACACCCGACTATGCACACATTTCAGATGTCGCTGGTTTTTTTAAATATTTATTTCAGCATTTCTTTGCGCTAATTCTGCCAGTGCAGCAGCCAGCCAGCCAGCCAGCTTGATGAACATTTTAAATGCGGTCATTGCCCGGCTTGCAATTGCAACGGGGGCCCATCAAAGGCAGAGCAATAACAAACAGTGTTACCTAATAGTTTCTGCATGAGGGCGTACGAGATGAACCGACATAAATCCTGAGTTTACGTAAGATGCCTCCCAGCATCATGGACAAAAAATAAAACCCCAATCACTTTGGATTCCTATCCGAGCTGATGTTCATGCAACGCTCATGTGCAGGCAGGCCATGCAGGGAGATGAAAAAAAAGGAAATTGATGCAGTGCAACACGTGGCACGCGTGTGATTAGCATTGGGTGCGTGTCGATTTCAGTGCAGCACAGAAAGGGGATGATTTTTTTTTGCTGAATGGGTTTTTGTGAGCGTGTACGCGTGTGTGGGAGCGGCGGTGTAGCGGTGTAGCGCATTGCGAACCCGGCGGATCCAAATTCGATTCTCGCTAGACGGCCAACACCGGTGACGATTATCTGAACCGGTCCTGGGCCTCCCCTAGGTCGACTCGGCTTCTAACGAGTACCTGATGCGGCGTGTAAACATCGCCACTGGGGGGAGACAAAGGCGGCCGGGCGTGGTGTTGGCCACCCACCCCCTTGTGTGCCGCGTCGGCCTTCATAGGTGCTCGCTAACAAAGCTTACCCGCCAACAGCCCGTCAAAGGCTACACACGAGGGCATCTTTGTGTTTTGAGTGTATGTGTGTGTGAGCATTGAGTGGAAGGCGTCCAAACCCGAGCTGCGTGTGCCCCCCCCCCCCCCCCCGTAAAACGAGCAGCGGGTAATTATTATTATTATTAGAGCCACTGCGCGAGGGTCAAATGAACGAGGGGGCCGAAGCCACATCTTGCGCCGCAACGAGGGCGCAATCGGTGCCGATTCCCATGGTCGCCATGGAGACCACGCCATCGCTGGAGGTGGCGGTGGAGGTGTGCGCATCGCGGGATCCATTCATAGTGCGAGTGAGATGCGAGCCCGGGCGATATTCGTGCGAACGCCGCTTGCGATCCCGTGCTTGCTTGCACATATCCTCTCTGCATCCCTGCATCTCTGTATCTCTGCATCCCGCGAACCCTATTAAAAAAAACATTTCTCACAATTTTTTTATAGAAAAATTCCCAATTTTTTTTTTTATAATTCTACATTTGTTTTTACCAGGTCAGGTCCACTGAGCTGTATATATCTT